AAAGCCCCAAGAAAAGCGATTCCCAAAACCCTAAATCCCCACAGCCCGAGACCCCGAAACCCTTAACCCGAAACCCGAAACCCTAAACCCTAAACCCTAAAACCCTAAACCCTAAACCCTAAACCCGAAACCCTAAACCCTAAACCCTAAAACCCTAAACCCTAAACCCTAAACCCTAAACCCTAAACCCTAAACCCTAAACCCTAAACCCTAAACCCTAAACCCTAAACCCTAAACCCTAAACCCTAAACCCTAAACCCTAAACCCTAAACCCTAAACCCTAAACCCTAAACCCTAAAACCCTAAAACCCTAAAACCCTAAACCCCTAAACCCTAAACCCTAAACCCTAAACCCTAAACCCTAAACCCTAAACCCTAAACCCTAAACCCTAAACCCTAAGGTCATGCAGACCATCACCGCACGGGCGCTGCGGCCGCTACTCAACCGCTGGCTCGGGGGCTTCGAGTCCAAGGCGGAAGTTGGGGGCCTTCCGGGTTTTTCTAGGGCAGTTTAGGGTTTAGGGTTTAGGGTTTAGGGTTTAAAGTTTAGGGCTTAGGGGGTATCGAGGGTTTAGGGGTGGTCTTGAAGTCTTGAGTCTTACGTGCTTGTGGATTTTGGGGTTCGGGGTCTAGGAGTCTTGGAGTTTTGGTTGCTGTTCCGGGTCCACATCTCTTAGACTCCGCGTGGCTGCCATTGCGAGGCCCTTCGCAGTTAACAGGGTTTCATGAACCTGGATGGGAGTGACGACTGTTTGTCCTGAGTGTGTGTGTGTGTGTGTGCTTGAGACCTTCAAAGTTGTTTTCATGCACGAGGATGGAAGGTCTACCGATGGCGGTGAAGCTGCAAGGCTCGCCAGATCGATTCCTGCGCTGGAGGTCCTGTTGTGAGGGGGTGCATATTGTTACTTGTTCTCGGGGTTTCCATTCAGCAACAGACATACAGAATGCATGTCTCTGCTTCTCAATCTACCAGTCTGCCACGTGCTGTCGAGTCGCGTGCCGTCCGCAAGACATGGCCAGGGCTTTGTGGGACTCGCTCAGTCCTGGTGCCGTGGTCGAGTTCGTTCACGGGGACAGCGGTCGGCCGCTGGTGGGGAAGGCAGGGGACATGTCATCGATTCCATGTGTTTTGGCCGAATTCATGCTTTGAGTTTTTTGCGATGCAACTGCAAGGGCCTGTCCTGCTGCTTAGTTGGGGCGTGCTGGAGCGATGTAGTGCGATGCATGGCCAGGTCGTGTCTTTGCGGGACAACTCAGCTGCGAAGGCGACCTGCCCGCAGATCCTAGGAAGGAAGTGGGGATTCGGATTCTGGGCAAAGGGCGGCTAGGGCTGGGGTTTCGGGGATAGCTCGACCATGCTCGACCAACCCATGCGGAACCTCTGGCTCGGTGTTGCAAGTCACGCGACGTAGGCGTTGAGCCCCCGTGTGTTGTGGGTGACATGGCCAGTTCGTCCGGAGCAGAGCCTCCAGGCTTCGTATCCAGAGCATGGCATGCAGTTGAGTTGAAAGTGGATCTCGGCCCAGCAGAAGATCGTGACCCCTGGGGCGAATCTCGTGAGAAGGTCATCACGGCTGTGTGTGGACCGAAAGATAACTTTCGATTCCGAGTGAAGGTGTACCCTGAAGGAAGATTCACGACCAGCTATGAGATGTATGGCTTGGGGGTCTTCATTGAGTTGCTTCCTCCGTCGCATCTCGCGAGCACGGAGTGGGCCTGTGAAAACGTCCGTTATGCCCTCAAAGTGTCATACACCTTCGAGGGCAAGAGCTGGGCATTTAAAGTCAAAGATCAGTGGAGCTTCACCAAACACACCGATCAAGGCCACGAGCTCTTATCCAGCCAGGACATCCGCGCCTGGATGCCCCTTGGACAGTTGGTGTGCATCCGAGCCGAGGTCGAGTTGCCGGATCCTACGGCTGCCGAGTCCGGGCCCCTGGACTTCGCGGCGGAGCCCGCCTTCACGGCCTTCCGTTTGGCAAAGCCTCCTGCCTTGTTCTTTGATCGGCGCATCCTGATACAGCGCTCCGAGTACTTCCGCCGCATGCTGACAGACGCCGCGTGGCAGGAAGGCTCTACGAATGAGATCGACCTGAGCAACAATCCGAACGCAGACCCCTCGTCCGTAAACGCGGTCCTCCAGTACCTCCTGACAGACCGCACCCCATCGGGGGATCTTGAGGAACTGGTTTCCGTGCGAAAGCTTGCTGATCAGTTCTGCTTGGCGCAGCTGGTAGCCCGAGTGGACCTCGAGCTCGAGAAGTCGTTGTGCCCGGAGAACGTGCTAACTCTCTTGGGCCACGTGGTTGGCAGTGAGGGTCCCCTGGAAGCCATGTGCATGAACATGCTTCAGGCGAACTCCTGCGAGGTTCTCGACCGCCACCGCAGCTCCCTGAATCAGGTTGTGGATGAGAACCCCGACATGGCGAAGAAGCTGCTGCACCTCACGTTGAAGGTAGCGCGAGGCAGGGTGCAGTGAGTCCTGCTGAGACGTTGGAGATCTGTGAATCTTCGGATGAACCGATGAAAAGGACTATATTCTTATATGATAATTGTGTGTTATGTCGTATGATAATATATCATATGATATATATATATATAGTCTGTTACTATATATATATATATATGTATAGATCTATCTAGATATTGATAGATAGATAGATAGATGCCAAATGAGTCCCACAGCTCTAGATTCGCAATCCTTGGGATTGAGTTCTGTGCATAAAATAGGTTCTAAGTGTCCACTATGCTTCAAGTAGCATTGCAGAAGCTCCCCCCCCCCCCCCGGACCATTATGCTTCAAGTATCCTTGCGCTCAGAATACGGTCCGGCTTTTTTGTCTGTCGAAAAGTTCATGCCAATGCCAGGGTGGAGGTTTTTTTGTTGGGATGCCACCAGTTCGGCTGTTGGAGAGCGTGGTGGGCGTTTGAGTTTGGAACTCCTGTGTGACTCTTGGTGTGCTCAACTGGGCAGCTCAAACCTTATAGACCCGAAACCCCTTATCCCAAACCTTTTCGGCCCTAAAAACCGCTAGCCCTATACCCCCCAAACCGAATGCCCTATGAGGTCGCATCCCTGAACCTTCTGCAGCAGAACGCGGTGCAGCAGGACCCCTAACCACCCCTTCCACTGCGAAAACCCCTTTGATAGGGCTCGGGGTGAAGGGACCCCAAGCCCGAACCCTGCCCACTGTGTGGGAGTGGTGGGTCTGACCCCCCGAACCATTCTTGTGCTTGATCTTCTTGCAGGTTGTAGGGGTAGATGCCTGGAGACGTTCTGTATTTTAGATTTCCCTTATTGGGGTAGGTCCAGCCTAGTACGGTCGGATGCCGCTGTGAATCCTGGCGTCCTAAACCCTAAATTCCCTAAATCTTAAACATAGACCAATCCTCGTGCGTCCTGGAAGGAGGTGCAGCGCACGAGCATCACGAAGGCTCGAGCAAGCGTGGCTTTGTGTCTAAGCCTCAAGCCTTGCGACCCTTCATCCATCTTCATCCTCTGTAGGATCCCCTAGCCCGCAAGCCTCAAACCCCCAAGCCCCCAGGAGTCAGCAAAACTACCCTTTTAATCTAAGGCCCCAACATCCCCCCAACCCGTCCTTCGCTGACTCTGACACCGCAACTGGCCAGAAATAGCAATCGGGCTTTGTGTGTTCTTTGAGCTTTTGGGCTTTCTGTTGGGCCCCAAAAAGCCCCACGCCCTATGACCCTCCCCCACCCCTCCCCACCCGACCTGCCAGGTACTGCGCGGTGCCGCGAAACCCGCGCTGCGAAGCCGCGAAGCGGCCGTGGGCAGGGCGCTGAGCGGGGGTTTGGGGCTTTTTTGGGTTTGCTTCTGGCTTTTGGGTGTCAGCCCGCAGACCCTCTTTGGAGGGTAGCTATAAGTAGTGATATATGTATGGTACTGGTAGCTAAAGCTCGAACCCTTTTTTTTGAACTTTTACCCACTTTTGAGTACCTCCAAGTAAACTCCAAGTCCAAAGCATCCCTAGCCTCAAGCGGCTTGGCGCTTAGGTTGTTGAATTCAAGGGTTTAGGGGCTTTTGGGTTTAGGGATTAGAGTTTAGATTTTTTGGGTTCAGGGCTTGGGGCTTTACTGTGCGGGTTGGATGAGGGTTTAAGGTTAGGTTCCTGGGTCCCCAAGTGCTCGCCACATGGTCGGCGATGGAGTCAAAAGTTGGTATTGCTTCCTAAGCCCCAAAAGTCCTTCAATCTTCCTTTAACCCGAAACCCACCCTCAAAAGCCTCGTGCAGACCGAGGTCCCGCCTGCTGTCCCAGCATTTGCCAGCTTGACTGAGTGGCGGAGATGGGAGGGGGGGGTTCGGGTTTAGGGTTGAGGGTTTAAGGTTGGGCGGGAGGAGGTTGGGCTTTAGAACTTAGGGGCTTTTCGGTTTGAGGGGTCCACCATCCAGCTTGACGACGCCCAGTCGAGACAGACAAAAAGCTGCACACACCAGCACGTAGGTTCTTCTGCGATGTAGTGCTCCGTGTCGTTTCGTGCCTTCCTCCTGCAGCTCCCGCTCGGCAATGGCGCATTCACGGAAGTGTGCATGTCTGGCCATGTAGGACTGCTGCATCTGCGAAACGCAGACTGCCGTAGAGTCTACCGCAGAGCAGAGCCATCAACATCGCGCCAAATGTGTGGGGTGTTCTAGGCTTGCACCATGATGCCCCATGCACCCTACAACCTACAAACCCTAAACCTGTGAAACATCTCGAACTCCAAAACCCTAAACCCTAAACATTAAACTTAAACCCTTCAGCCTAATTCCAAAACAGCCTAAGCCCCGCCCCTCCCAGACCAAAAACCCTACTTGGAGGTATTCCTTCTAATGAGGACCAGGTACCTTAATTTCGGAAACCCCCAGAATGTAGGATGATAAGCATAGTTGCCAGACTGATAGCCCTACTTATAACTACCCATGAGCCTGCAAGTAGGGTTTAGGATTGCTCTACTTATCACTACCTATGAACCTCCAAGTAGGGGTTCTTGGGGGTCAGGTGGCCCTCCGTGCCGTGGCTTTGAAAAAGGAGCTGCAAGCGGAGGCCAGGGGGACGCGCTGCAGGTGACATGGGGTCTCGGGTTTTCGGGTTTCTGGGGCTTTAGGGTTTCAGGCTTAGGGCTTAGGGCTTTAGGGTTTAGGCGCCTCCCTTGGCTTCTGGGGCGCTTGGGAGGAAGACATCTTGGAGGCGGCGCGCGAGGAGCGCGACCGCGAACTTGACCGCCTCACGGACGAGGCGGTTTCGGGGTGCAGGGGCTCAGGGAACCCAGAAGCCCTAGACCCGAAACCCTAGATTCCATCGGGTGTGCAGAGAATTCAGACCCTTCGCGGCACCTTCGGGATGATAGTTGGCGCTATGTCGCGCCGGCCGACTGAAAGGCCTGCTGCTTGCAACTGAAGCAGGGCCGGGGAGTTTGGGTCTTGTGGGTTTGCGAGTTGAGCTACTGTTTTTTTTACTAGTGTTACTACTACTGCTGTTATTCGTAAATGTATTACGATTAGTACTATTACTGTTAGTAGTAGTGCTATTAGAACTGCTATTTTAACGACTACTAGTATACTTGCTTAGTATTACTATTACTACTTCTGCGATTACTAATAATTTTACGTCACTATCACGATCACTATCACGATTATTATTACTATGACTGTTACGGTTACTATTGATATGAACATTAATCCCAATAGTAATCCTAGTAGTAGTTATCGTCAGAGTTGAAATAGAAATACTAATATTCGTAGGAGGAATACTTATTCAGTAGTACGAATAGTAAGAGCAATAGCAATCGTAATAGCAATGGAAACGTACTAGCACTAGCAAGAGTAGAAGTAATAGGAATAGTACTGGTACTAGCAATAGTATTAGTAATAGTACTAGCAATAGAAATAGCAAAAGCAATAGTAAAAGAAATAGTAATGGTAATGGTAATGGTCATGGTGATCGTAATTGTAGTCGTACTAGGTTAGCACTGGTAATCGTAATGGGAATGGTAATAGTCACAGTAATAGTTGTAGTATTTGTAAGAGCAATAGTGCTAGTGTTATTACTACTATTAGGGATGCCCGTGACAGGTCAATGCGATGAAGGAGCGCACCGCCAAGGCCAAAGAACTGCTGAGGCCCGAGGTTCACTACGGTTTCCGGGCTTCGGGATGCTGCCAACGTCTGTTGGGTTTAGGGTTCAGGGTTTAGGGTTGTTAGAGTTGAGTGTTTAGGGTTATTAGAGTTTAGGTCGTTCTGAACAAGCTAGAAGGACCTAGAACAACCCTCACATAAAGTGCATTAGGTGTGGTTCCAGGGTCTCGGGATCTTGCTGAGGGCCTGTTGGCCCTCTTTGCAGGCAGCACGCTCGTCTACAAGAGGTCGCAGGCGCGCTGGGGGCGACTTTCGCAGTCCAAAGCGCCCCCAAAACCCGAGACTGCCAGCCCTCAACTCTGAAAACCAAGCATGAATCTTAAGCCGTTTCACCCAAAACCCTAAACCCTGAACCCTAAACCCTAAACCCTAATCAGATTTTAAACAACAACGAACAAAAGACACAAAACTTGCCGTGAAGGCCCTGGTGCCAAGGAATCACAGCGCATCCGTCGGCTGGCAGAGGCCCAGGGCCGAGGGCCTTGCATGGGTTCATAACGACTGAAGGGGTTTCGGGGTTCAGTTTCGGGTTCGGGCTTGTTTTGTCCAGAGATGTTGTAGACATGAGGGGTAGGGGGCTTGAGATGGAGGCTACACCCACGACATCAGCGCCATTATATGGCAGGCTTCTGCAGCAAGCGCAGCCTTCGATGCGGCGGATCGACGGGCGCCTTGGCGGCACCCAAGAAACGCGGGGACCCATTGCCGGCACATTCGGCCGCTGCTGGCCCATAGCGGAGCACCTCTTAAAACAAGCCGCCTTTGGGGGCAACGGCATGCAAAAAGGCAGCTGCGCATTGAAGCGCCTTTCTTGCACCGAGCACTTTTTGCCGTTAGGGTCTTACCTGCACAGAGCTGTTGGTTCCTCACCCTTCGAAGCCCCTGACCTAGCGAAAAACTTAGAACTGAGCCGTGTCCGTGACCTGGCTCAGGCCCGGCAAGAGCGCATCTTCGAGGTGGGCACTCGTGGCTTTCTAGGGTTCACGTCGGGGTATTCTTAGGGCAACCCGTCTATCCTTCTAAACAGGCACAGCAACTAGGCGTTACGTGCATTGAGATAGAGAGTCGGCTAAGCCAACAAGTTGTGTGCAAAGCGTTGCCATGGCCAGGCTGCCCACGGTCCGCATGCAGGCGCGGGCGAAATCACCCAGCCATTGTTTGAGGGGGTTGCTATGAATTAAATTTGGGGAGGTTTACAGAAGGGAATTCATGTAGAACACCTTCCCACTCCTCCCCGCCCCTTTCCACTTCTCCCCGCCCCCACCCCCCCATCGCCACACCCTCAAGACTCGAGCCTGGCCGGAGGCCGCTCACAAGAATGAGGCCATAGACTTTACAACTTTAAAATATTAAACAGGGCTCCAGGTCTTACTTTGTAGCTTTCCCGAGATAGGCACTTGCCACTGAGCTCCCTGGATGATCAGCCCAGCTTGCTTTGATAAGTGGAAGACTTGGACAGACAGCACATGCCAGAGGATGAAGGGGCCAGGGTGGGCGAGCTTGAGAGCACAGGCTCTGCACAGGCTGCACGGCTTCGGAGACTAACTTTGGCTTACTCTTAACGGTCAGACTTGGCTAGTGCGGCCGAAGTTCGGGGCCAGGGCGAGGCTTGGCAGGCTTGCCTCTTGCACAAGCAAAGGCTCATGCGATAGTCATGTGATAATCATCGCGTCCATATTTTGGGGGGTGGTGGTGAGAGCTCCTTATTGTAAGGGTGGTGCATGTCAGCAGCACAGCAGCTGATTTGGCTTGCGGTTGGTGTTTGCCAGGTGACCGGCCTTTTTTGCGCCCCCGACTGGAGGCTGCCTGAGCCCAGAGCTTCGGTGCTCACAAGAAGTAGCCCATGTAGTTCGGAAAGGAGGGAGCCTTCCACCAACTTCCGCACAAAAACAAGAATGACTAGGCCGATGAACGCGTATATATGTGTACACATCTATATCCAATATCGATGTCTGATGTTTTCATAGCTCACTGTCTAATATCCAATATCTGTATCTAGAATGATCTAATGATCTTATGATCGAATTGAGCTGATGATCCAATGCTCTGATGAAGCTAATTATCTAATGGTCCAATGATCTAATGATCTAGGGATCTAATGTCTCGTGTCTAATCTCTAAGGTCCAAGCTGCAATGTCTAATGTCCAATGTCCAATGTCTACGTAATGTCTAGTGTCTAGTGTCTAGTGTCTAATGTCTAATGTCTAATGTCTAATGTCTAATGTCTAATGTCTAATGTCTAATGTCTAATGTTTAATGCCTAATGTCTAATGTCCAATGTCTAATGTCTAATGTCCAATGTCCATGTCTATATCAAAACAAGACTCTAGTTCTTACCTATTTGCAATGTCTATGTCAAACTACAACTATATCCGTATCCAAGTCTAAATCTAGCTCGTTACCTGTATCTATTCACACATACCTTTTTTGCAGATCCTAAGGGTTTGCTTTGCGTGGGTTCGAGGGTAAATAAGTTCAGGGTTTAGGGTCAAGCTCGTTCGGTGACGAATGGGGCGAGCGGTTTGCGGATCGAAAGTCTTGTTCGGAGTGTCAGATCCAGGGGGCCCCTCTGGGGTTCAGGGTGTAAACTTGCACCAGAACTCTTGGAATCTTGAATCCCCAAGAGTGGACCAGATCCTTGCTGGGTTGACGCATGAGTGCGCTTCAGAGTCTGGTGTTGACCCATGAGTCCTCTTCACAGTCTGCTGGTGCCAAGTATATAGATCTAAGTGGTCTGTGCTTTAGGATGCCCCCCCCCCCCCCCCACATTCTATGGAATGGATATATTCAGGCTATACTGAGGGGTCCTGCTGTATTCATGGCTGTCGTGGTAGCATTTGGGAGACGTCCCACCTCATTCTTATGACGCTCCCAACCTGGCTCCGCAGGGCCGCATGCGTTGCATCGACGAGCACATCGCAAGGCAGGGGGGACAATGGGAAGCCAACAGGGAGGCAAATGCCAAAGAAGAGGCTGTCAGATGATAAAAAGAAGGATTGGACTCAATTTCGGTGCTGCTTCTGGTGGCTCGGCCAGCCATTCACCCTTTAACCATGGCCCAGCCTCGTGGGCTGGGCTCCTTGCAAAGCAAACAGAGCGATGGCAGGTTTGCAGTCGTGTTGCCTGTAAACAGTCTCGTGTGCAAGCGCAGCTTGAACTGATTTGGTTTCCAGATTGGTTGTGCAAGAGTCCCCGACCGCCACGAGCCCTGCCCCAGGGCCAAAGGCGAGGGTCTTCAGCGCTCGCAAAGCGAAGATCGCTTGGGAGGCCAAAAGATTTTAGGGTTGCCAGCGGGACTGCTCAAGGGTTCGTCAGGGGGCCTTGAGAAAATTAGGTCCCCGGTTCTTCGGAGTGCTCGCACTCAGAGGCCTCATGCCTTCAGACTGCGGATTCTTTCTGAAACCTGACGCCTCAAATCCCGAAACCTCCCCTAACATCCCAACCCCCCCCCCCCCTCCCCTCGGCCCTCCGAAACCCCCACCTAACCCCTCTCGAAATCCTTTGACTCTTGCAGGGCGTTATCTGATGCAGCGGACGGCGGGAGCCCTGGGCGGGAAAGAGGGGGGACAGCTTGAAGATTTGCAGGTTGAGAGTTTGGGAGTTTCGGAGCCAGCATTGCCCACCATGAAGTGAACAGGCCGCGTCTGTGAACATCAGCAGAGGGGTCGGAAGAATCATTACATATGCTACTCCCTCCCACGTACTTCGACCCCCCCCCCCCCCAAGAAAAAAACACAAAAAACCTATTGTCACTGTTAATGCTCCTATATTGCATCCCAAAAGCCTATGTGTTTTAAGAGATCCAGACCTCGCTGCCCTTATTCACGGGACTCTGGGCTCCGAAGTTCGAAGCATGACCTCATCTCGGGCCTAGGGCGCTTACAACCCTACTTCTTGTGGTTTTAGGGTTTAGGGTTTAGGGTTTAGGGTGTAGGGTTTAGGGTTTAGGGTTTAGGGTTTAGGTGCCAACAAAAAAAGCCCTCGGCAGGCAGGCGCCAACTCGCGCTGACAGCCGGCTGCAGGCCCAGAACGCCTAGTTACCCATACTAATAGGCTACTATACCCCCAAAATGGGAACTGTAGCCCATAACCATCGCCTACTGGCTTTCAAGGAAGTGATAAAGTTTTGTGAATCCAGGCGCCTCTGGTGTGTAGAGTTCTAAATCTTGCGCCAGAACTCTTTGAATCGTGAGCCTCCCCCGAAAGCGGACGAGATTCCTGCTGGCTGTTGACCCGTGAGCCCTCTTCAGACTCTGCTGGACAAACAGCCGCCTCGTTAGGGTATTCTGAGTGGGTTCGTGGGTCCATGGGGGTATCCATCTCATGTTGCCGTCCTTACTTTCGGATGTCTCCCCCCCCTCCACCTTAATGGATAGCTACAGTCGTTCTGCCATGCTATACTAAGTCTATACTAAGTAAGCTATACTAAGTCTATACTAAGTAAGGGGTGCTGAAACTATGGCTGCCTGTGTGGCAGCTGTTGGGCAACATCCCTAAACCCCAATCCTAAACTGTAAACCTGAACTTTGACAGGAGGACCTTCCTGGAGGCCATGCAAGACAAGAAGCAGAAAGAAGTCCAAGGCTGAGCGGGGCAGGGATCGGGGCTGAGGGATCTTCAGAGGGTTTGGCATTGGGTGTCAACCCAGCTGGAATGATGGTTCTGTCGTTGCTGCAAGGGAGCACTTTGAGGGCTGCAGCACTTTGGCAGGAATGGGAAGCTGCTGCATCTTTTAAAGCTGTCCATGCTCCGCTGTGCTCAGCTGCTTAGAGAAGAAAATTGGGCGCCATGAACTAGCTGAGATCCATACTCCCTCCCCAACAGGCCAACCTTCAGCCTTATAAGGATCTCGACCGGTAGACAGCCGGCCTCCGAAGTGCCCGATTTCATGACATCCCCCCCCAAAACATCCCCAAACATGCAAAGACCTACAACTTGCAGCCCAAACTCAAAGCCCTCAAAGAAACGAAGCCCGTGAAGTAGGGATGCCGCAGCATTCCTGAGCCTCGCGCCGCCATGCGCTGCTGGGGAGTGCTGGCTTTCTGGGTGCTGCGATGTTGCCTGGGCCATGCCGAGGTGCCATGAATAGGCTTAGCAGGCTCATGTGTGTTGGGGCTTCCGTTGGGGCTTAGGGTTTCGGGTTGTGAAGGTTCTTGTAGGGATATGCACTCAAAATGCTGACGAACTCCCGGAGGAGAGGCAATTGCCGGGGCCCAGCTTCGTCTGGGTGCCGCCAACCCTGCCACCGCCGCCAACCCTGCCACCGCCGCCAGAGACCGCCTCGTTGTGATGTTGAGGGTTCCGGGATGCAGGGTTTTCGGATGCTTCTTGGGTTTGGTTTTGGGCCGGAGGCCTCACAGTTTAGGGGCTGGCATGCTGGGCAGAACATCTCGCAGCATCTCGCGCTTCATGCTCGAAGCGACCAAGTCGCCGTAGACTGCGAGATTGGTCGCGCATGCCATGTTCATCTCGCACGCGTGCTACTTGCCTTTGGGCTCGGACCGCAGCTGCTTGGGACGGACACCGTGCTGGCAAAAGCGGCCACGAAGGAAATGGGGCGACTGGATCATGAGCCCGATGAGCCTGGTGCCTTTGGCGGCTGCCGGTGCTTTTGGCGCTTTGCTCGGTTCGGATCTCGGCAGCGACTGGCCTCGCCAACGAAGCTTGGTGCGCGCGAGGGCCAGGGAGGCGGCTGGATGCGCACGCTGCGCAAGCGCCGCGCCAGCGGTGCCTGCCACGGTGTCGGCACCCGCAGCGCCTGCGGCGGCGCCTGCCGTGGAGCCTGTGGCGGCGTCGGCGCCGTCGGCATCGGACATGGAGTTCCAGCGGAGCTTGCAAGAGGCGCTTCAGCCCAGCTGGCGCTTCTTGCATTCGGGCCTCGTGGACCGAGCCCTGGAGGCAAAGCTGCTTCTGTTGGCGGCCCTGGCAGGGGAGCATCTTCTGTTGATTGGCCCTCCAGGGACAGCCAAGAGTCTCTTGGCGCGGCGCCTGGCCACGTTGGGCTCCGCCCGCTACTTCGAGCGCCTCCTCACGCGTTTCTCGACGCCCGACGAGGTCTTTGGCCCCCTTTCGTTAAGGGCACTGCAGGAAGACCGGCTCGAGAGAAAGGTTGACCGCTACCTCCCCGATGCCGAGGTGGGCCCGGGCTATCCCGGGCTACAACAGAGTCCTGACAGGGTCTACAAGTTAGTCTACGAGTGTAAAACGCAACCAGTGAGAGGCTCCACTGTGAGGCACCATGACGTGAATTAGCGGGGAAGGAGAAACAATGGCTTCCTTTTACCACCAGTGCAATAATTGAGAGCATCAGGTGGCCTTTCTGGACGAAATCTTCAAGGCCAACTCGGCCATTCTCAACACTCTGCTGACACTTTTGAACGAACGGCTCTTCGACAACGGCGGCCTGCGATGCGAGGTTCCGCTCTGGTGCGTGGTGGGGGCCTCCAACGAGATTCCCGCGGAGGGGGAGCTGGACGCTGTCTTTGACCGTTTCCTCCTCAAGCGATTTGTGGCCCCCGTGTCGGATGCGAGGGCCCGGGCGCTGCTGGCGGCCGCAGCTTCCCCAGCAGAGCCCTTGAAGCCGCAGACGGAGCCCACGCTGAACCTCGGCTCGGAGCTGGGCCGCCGGGTCCGCGCCGCTGCGTCGCGCGTGTCTTTCCCCCCTCGGCTGCTGCAGATCCTTGCACGGCTGCGGCGGTACCTGCAAGAGGAGGAGCCGCCCGTGCACGTCTCGGACCGGCGTTTGGCGAAGGCTGCGCAGCTGGTGCAGATCGTCGCCTTCACGTCAGGTGGCCGAAGTGTGAGCGAGCTGGACCTACTTTGCCTGCAGTACGTCCTGTGGGATCGAGACCCGGAGTTGTCGGAGCGGATCCGCTCCTGGCTACTGGCCGCCTTTGCCCCGAAGGCTGCTGGTGGCGAGGTGGGTGATATTCAGGTCGAGGGTGCTGGAAGGTCCGATATGGATGGCATCTACGAGGCAGCCGCTAAATTCCAGCAATCCCCATCAAACCCCCTTGAGCCCTTGAACCCACAACCCCTTGACGCCTAACGCCCCCCCCCACCGCCCCAAATAACCGCTTATAATAGGGCATAGGGACGACATGCTAGAATGCCCAGTAGTGCCCTGCATTCACTTTTCGTTGCAAGCTGTTGGTTTTAGGGTTTATAGAGCTTGTCAACCCCTTTAAGTTCGTGGGCGACCGCGATGGCAAGCGCTCCTACCAGCAGCAGGGAGGTTCTGGAGCGATCTACTTTGACCTTTTCTGGAAGCTGTGCGACGGATCTTTGCCGGGAGGACCCGGCAACCCCCCGTGGTACCAGAGCATCGAGGACATGGAGGAGATCGAGCCCCCCACTGGTGGCTGGTCCACGTGCTACGCTGTGGCCGAGCCTTCTCCGACCCTTTGGAAGGTCTTGGATGGCAGCGGCAGTAGCGACAACCCAGTGGTCCGAGCCCGTATCCGCCTCGAGAGTTTGCAGCGCCGCGGAAGGAGGCCAAAGAGGCCCGATCCCTCGCTGAAGCGGGATCTGGCCTCGTTCATGAAGTCGCTGAAGGCTCTTCGCCTGTCACGCCTCGAGATTCTGTCTGCCTTAGAGGCAGTCCTGGGGCCGAACACCGGCTTGCGCTCCTTCTGGCTCGAGGCGAGGGACATCTCGGATGCGCAGACGATTGTGCTGCCCAGTGCCCGAGAGGCCGTGAACCAGGTCGAGCAGCTTCTGCTTGGGGCCGAGTCCCTGCAGGCTGCGCTGGACGGCGAAGCGGGTCCGGCCATGACGTCAGAAACGCCGTTGAGTTTTCCCAATGTCTTCCCGGCATCTGTGATCGATCCTACAATCCATAAGAGTACAGTAGCACAGTAGCTGAGCCTCAATTGCCACCTCCTTTCCTATCTCCACCCACATGGTCCACGACGGACTTGCACCCTTCAGCTCCCCTCAGCCACGTCTTTCTTCCCATCTCAAAGATGTTCTGAATGTTAAGAAGATGAACCTGCCAAGCAGAATCCGCCGGTCACACGTCGCAAGCAAGCAGACGGCAGGATGCCAGAGGCGAATGCCCCTTTGGCCACGGAGGCCATGGACGACGCCATTTGCGCGGTGCCCCTTCGCCCCAAATAACAGGGGGCTTGGTACCGTGAACCCCAGCGACCATGAACGACTGGGAGGGGGGCCGGGAACCCTAAACCCTAAACCCTAAGCCCTAAACCCGCCATGAACCATGGGGGGGCTGGGGATACCAGGAGAGGGGGGGGGGGCTGAGGAATGTGCTGGCTTCCATCTTCTACCTAGACCAGGAGCGGAGGGCTTTGAGTATTCTTGGTGATAAGTTTGCGGGTTTAGGGTTTGGGGTTTAGGGTTTAGGATTTAGGGTTTGTAGGTGTTTGTGGGCTTTTTCGGGTTGTATTATATATTTATACTTCTGGCACCCCCCCTTCCCCCCCCCCCCCCGCCCCCTTCCCCCCCCCCCCACCCCCCCCCCCCCGCCCCCTTCCCCCCCCCCCCCCCGCCCCCCCCCCCCCCTTCGCCTTCCCCCCCCCCCCCCCTTCCCCCCCCCCCCCCCCTGCCCTGACGAAACTCGAGTTCCTGCAGTTTGGCGTGCCCAGCCTGGCAGCGTTTGGTTGCCCAGGTCACAGAGGGAGCTGTTGTTGTTTTCTCCCCCCGGAACCCCGCAAACTTTCGGAACTTTCCTCGCAGGCGCTGGTGGAGATCTATGGCGCGACCATGGGCTGCGAGGGCGAGTCGATGGAATCGAGGGATGGTCGCATCGGCTGCGCCGGCAACGTCTTTGGCATCCTCCAGTCCTTCGTGAACACGGGCTCCTGGATTGCTGGTCTGGTCACGCAGCGCCTTGGGGACCAAATGAACCCGAAAATTGGGGTCCTTTACCTTATACTACTATAATTCCTACTAAGGTATATGAACCCAAAACCCTTTTAGTGGGTTCATGTCGTCCCCAAGGTGTAGTAACGTCACGGACCTGGAGGCCGACTGTGCGTCGGTGGTGCTCAGCTTCCCTGGGAACGTCTTCGAAGCGCTTGAGGCGGGACTGGACAGTGTCTCTGCGTGCCGGGAGCCAGCAGCAGCGGTCCTGAACTCGTCACGGCGGCTTCTGAGGGATCGTGGCTGGGCGTCGCGCTTCGCTGACTTCAAGACGCCCGCGCCCAGGCGACACTTGAGTCCGGGTCTGGGGTCTCCGGAGGAGAGGCTGGACGCGGCCTGGTGCCAGGTGCACGTCTCGCAGGCAGCCACCTACTTCGCACAGGACCAACGGGACCCGCTTTTCTGTTTGAGTCTTATCAGAAGAACGTAGAACGGGAGTTGCCATGAAGGGTGTGGACTTTGTGGAGTCGGGGGGGAGGACGGGAGACAACCTAAGCCAGGCCGGCATCTTCATCGACGTGGCTGCGAGGATTGGCTGCCGCAACACCACCGGCGCCCTGAACCAGGCAAGCTGCGCTGCGACCGTGACGCTGATCATCGCAGCCATCGCGAACGTCGTGTCCTACCTCGCCGGTGCTGCCCAGCGATGCGGGGACACTGTGCAGATGGGGATCTGTGGGAGTGATGCTGGGAGCATCGCAAATGCGATTGCCGGCATCGCAAATGGAGGCGCAAGTCTTCTGGGGACATGCCAGGCGATTGCCTCTCGAGGTTGGGAGAAGCTCCGCGAGTTCAGGCAGCTCCTAGGATCATCCCCGACAGAATACGGCAGGCATTTCATGTTTTTTGTTTCCCCTGCTTGTCGAAAGAAAACGAGGATTCCGTATATCCTGACCCGCCCACTCCAAATTCCTTTTTGACTTTAATATCGTCCTCCTTTTTTGGTTCAAACAGTTTTTTTGGGGAACCCAAGGCTGGAGCAGCAACCGTTGGGTTTGAGGGTCAAGAGGCTCAGCTCTTGACGTTTGTGTGCCGCTGAGGGGCTGCGAGTGCCTGCTTTCATGGGCAAGAGGCTCGGAAGCAGAGCCATTTTTTCTTGGAGGAGTCCTTGCTAGGACCCTATATGCCCAAATTCGTGGATCCACAAGGATCCCCGACTAGAAAGGTCCCAAAAGTGGAGCCAGGATCACCGTGCTGCAAAGGACAGGGCGGTGCCAGAAAAGTCACAAGCCCATGTGCTGCATTCTCTACCCTAACGCTACCCCCCTTGGCTTGTAGCAGCGCTTATAGGGCGTGCGATGCATGTGGCATGACCGGCATACCGTGTATGCCCTACAAGCCCCCACAAGTCCTATACGATACCCACTGTATATTCCTCACCCTATTGAGTGCACGTGGTCTTCACGATGTATAAGGTTTTTGGGTTAGGTTTTCGGGCTTAAAGTGCTAAGCCTTGCCCCGTCAAGCAGGTCCGGATCGTGGCGGCGCGCGCCGAAAGGGCCAGCAGAAAAGCGGGTTTTGTTTTTTGGGGGCAACGAATTCCACATCACCCCAGGCTTGGTTTGTTGGTTTTGTACTTGGGGGCAGTCACTTCCACATCCTCCAAGGCTGGGTTTTGTACTTGAGGGCAATGCCTTCCACATCAGCCAACCTTGGGTTTTGTACTTGGGGGCAATAAATTCCATCATCATCCATCATCCACAGCTGGGAAACCCTAGCATACTTTCAATGTACTGCTCGTCGGGAGTTACTCTATCGGCAACTCTGAAGGGGGCAATGGGAAGCCTGAACAGTTGGTATTCACATCCCAAGCTGCCGGTGCCAGAGCAATTTCCAACCTGGAATGGGTGAGGTTGCTCTGTGCATCCTTCGCAGCGATGAAGGGCCGAGGGTTTAAGGAGGAATGCTTTAGGGATTGCCTGGCTTCGGCTCTCGTGCTGCGAATTCAACCTTGTGGGGTTTAGGGCTTAAGGAAAAAACGGGGTGGACGGGATTCATCTATTATAGCGGAGTGTCATTCTAATGGGCAGTGCGCTGGGGCGGCGAAGTAAACCTCATTTGAGTCTTGGCGATGCGGCTCAAGATCTGAGGATCCCAGCGCTTTGAATTGCACGAATGAGAGAGGTTTGGTGGCTGGAGCTTGGGAACGAGAGTAGAAACGGCACCCAACGCGCCCAACGGCTGCAGTACACAACCAGAGAACCTTTGTTGCTCATTGGGCGGCCTTGGGTATGCTGCAGAGTGCGGCAGCCTGTGAGCCTGCGCGCGGGGCCCAGCTTCTGCTCAACTAGCGGTTTACAGGAGTCCATGCAAGCCACACCCGGGAAGTTTTCCCAGCTGCATGGGTGCCATGCTAAGGCAATGTGCAGAGACCAAAGAGTCTCAGAGCAGAGGCGCGAAAGATCAGTTAAGCCTTAAGCTCTGTGTGAGGACAGCCCTTCTGATTCTTGTTGCAGTGCTTCGCTGCTACAGGTAGATCCCACTCGAGAAGTTGCCTTGTTCATTATTCGGGGGTGCCACTATCCGAGATAGATGGCGCTGCAGTCCTTGATGGGGAGGCCTCTTGCTATGAGGGCAGAAGACGATGCGGTTCCTACTCTCAGCCTCGGGCACAGTCGTTGAACTGACTCGCGCTGCTTTCGGGAAAGACAAAGAACCGGTGAACCAAAGCACGGCCCGAGGTCGTCATATGGGCTGCGCAATCGGCGGCGGTTCGCAGCGCCACGGCTGCAGGTGGTTGGAGTCCATCGGGGCTCGTCAAAGATGATTTCTTCAGAGCCAGCTTTTTTTTTCCAATTTCTTCTGCTTGGCTGGGGATGGGGGGCTGTGGTGTGACCACACATGAGATACGTTGGGGTATGCCATAGGAGCGGGGCCTCAAACTAGGAGGCCCAGCTCGCCCTGAGGCCAAGCCATCTCGGTGGCCGGCGCGACGCTAGAGGCCCCAAACGGTGCCCAGGCGCCCTTGGAGGGACTTTGGACTTGGATTCGGGGCCGAGGATTTTTGGTCTTGTTTCCCCAAGAACCGTGGGGGAGGGGGGGGTGGAGATTGAGCATGAAGAAGCCGAGGGTACGGAATGGTTGTGTGGGCCTGGCTGTCGGAATGAGTTCTTGAGAACCTCCAGGCCCCACATCCCAAGCCTCCGAAATCCCAAGATTTTAGTTTTTCGAGCTTTCTGAGCTTTGAAGCCGTGTCGACCTTTCATCGCCGTCATGATGCGCAACGACGAGGTGAAAGCGATACTTGAGCTTCGAAGTTCGAGGTTTGGATAAGAGGTTTCGAGGTGCAAGGCGTCCTCATCCGCGAGGCAGCTTGCTGCGCGCTGCAGATAGCTTCGCCAGCCCAGGCGAGGGGCTGAGCGCTCCCCGTACCCTGCATGCCCTTCAATGGTGATGGTGCAATGTGCCTTGTGTGTTGGGGAAATGGCCACTCCCCACCTTAAACCCTGAACCCGGACCTCCCAACCTCCCCTAGGCTCCCCCCCGCAAAAGCCGAAACCCCAGAACCCTAAACCCTAAACCCTAAACCCTAAACCCTAAGCCCCAGAGGAGCTACGGCTGGTGGCCGGGTTGCCTTACTTGCTGGCGCTCCACTCGGCCTCCCAGTTAGGAGGCGACAGTAGGGCTTGGGGCATTTAGGGCATTTTGGGGTATGTAGGGTATTTAGGGCAATTTTGGCGTGAAATGTTGTCAGGGGTTTCGGGCATGCAGGACAAATTAGCGGCACTAAGGTCATGTGCGCATTTCGGCTTACGGTCTGGGGTACAGGGCATTTGGAGCATTTAGGGTCATCGGGGTGCAAGGCTTACAGGCTTCAGGCATTGTAGGGTTGAGTGACCTGAGCTCAAGGTGCTCAAGGTTTTTGATCAACCCTCGACCCTGAGACCTGGGAGGGGAATGCGATCGCATTCCGAAGCGCCGATGCCTGGGCAGAGGGTAGGATTTAGAGTTTGGGGTTTTGGGGTTTTGGGGTTTTGGGGTTTTGGGGTTTTGGGGTTTTGGGGTTTTGGGGTTTTGGGGTTTTGGGGTTTTGGGGTTTTGCGGTTTTGGGGTTTTGCGGTTTTGGGGTTTTGCGGTTTTGGGGTTTGGGGGTTTGGGGTTTTAGGGGTTAGGGGATTGGGGTTTGGGCCTCTCGTAGCCACACTCCCAAACCACCCGCCCACGCCAGGCGAAGCCACCTTGGCGCGGCTGCTGCTCGTCAGTACCGTGTTGGAAGACGGCAGCACCGCGGCAGCGCAAGAAATGTGGAGCAAGCCACATGTGTGAAGATCGGATGTGCTTTGTAGAGTAATCACCCCTATGCCCTAGAAAAGCGAAATGCATCCAAAACCCTGAGCCCGGCCCCTTCTAGCTCCAGGCGAACCACAAAACCCTTATTCACAAAGCATGTGTCGGGCCCGGCAGCAGGCAGAGGGCCATCGATAAGTGAAGTGTTTAGTAAGCCCTAAACCCTAAACCCCAAACCCTAAACCCTAAACCCTAAACCCTAAACCCTGGGGATCGAGCCATGTTGAGCCCGTACCCTTCAGCCGCCTGGTGTGTTCAGTTGCTTCCCCTATGCCAAGGCGACTGTGCAGCGCAAGCCGTGCTCGACTTCGGAGGCGAATCAGCACAGGGAAACAGCAGAGGCTTAGTTTGGGGCTTAGAGGTTTAGGGTTCAGAGATGTTCAGAGGTTCAGGGATTGCGGGTGTAGGGGGCAGCTTGCCAGAAATGTTGGATCACCGTCCCCGTCTGAAGGTTCCAGGAGAAGGATTCTGCAGTATCTTGGGGGTGAAATGCCCTCATTTGAGCGGAGGTACATACTCCGCGTTGGATGGCCTACGGGCAGCTTACCGCGCCACGACGGACACGAACGAGTGGCTGGAGGTGTCGGGGAAAGCAAATTTGAGTATGCATGAGTTCAAGGATGTAAAAAGCAGAGAAAGCCGATAACAAAATGTGGTATACCAAAAGAACAAAACACCAATACCGAAAAAATGCCAAAACAAAACAAAAACCAATGCCAACATCATTTTTCCGGGACTCTTGGGAGAACAATCTAACCAATTTAATCCCGGAATTGTTTTTTGACTTTGTGGATTGTTTTTGGCAAATTTGCCATGTCTGTGCTCCTTTTTTTCTCAGTTTTCCCCCTCTCCCTCCCGCTCCGCCTTCTAAGAAACATGTGCTTTTCTAAGCATCTTCTAGAAATAGTATTTGAAAAATAATTGAGCTAGTTTCATGTTCCCCCTCCCCCCCCCTTCCATCCCCATTCCTTGCCCTTACAAGGCCTGTCTATGCAATTTGTACCTTTTAAGGCGTAGTATATAAATAGTTTGTGTATTTTGTTTGCGTAATTAAACTTGTTAAATGAGCATTTATGTCATATTTTGTTTGTTTTCAATATTTGATGTATTCAGTATGTAATGAGTATTTACGTTGTATGGAAGGAAGATTTAATTGGTGTGCTTTAACACACAGAATTGGTACTTCATGTGTATGGAATTCGCATGGTTGATCGACATTTTGCCTGGTAAATGCAATATTTGTCTATAGAAAAGGCATTTATTGTCCAGATTTGTTTGCTCAAGCTAACAAAATGGCTCTTTTGTCCAGGGAGACCCCAAAACCACAAAATTGTGTGCATGATTCAGCTTGTCTATGCAGATTGTGCTTGTCAGGCATCGTACATTCTAATGGTTGGCCGCGCATGCTTCTAAGCTTTCGCGCACGACTTGCTGCGATCGCGTTTCTACAACCATCATTTTCTTTTTCGTTCGGAAAGTCTTTTGGCATTTGTTTGTGAAAAATCGTTGAAACTACGCTAGCTATGGATCATGTGGGAAGTCCAAAAACCAAGGGGAGGGGAAGGCGTCGCGCACGCTTCTTAACTTTAGCGCACGAGTTGAAGTACTATGTAACGTAGTACTTCAGTAGCTTTTGTTTCATATTCTGAAATTGAAGCCGCTTGCATTTCAGTTTGTGTTGAGCGCATATTTTGCTTCTACTCAGTAGTCTTCGTGTAACTAATATTGAGCTGTTGCTTAGTGCTCGAGAATAATAGAATTCGCATAGACTAAGCTTGAAATAGCATACGGGCTTCTTGTATAGTATCTCATGCTTAGATTCAAAATATGGATTAGTCCAATGCTGGCTTATCGGGGCCTGTGTACACGCGACTTTTAGGCCTTCGATGTTCTGTTTACATTAAAAAAGGTCTCGGGGGGGGGGGGTAGCATATATGAGTATACATATATATACATATATATATATATATATCTATATATCTATATACATATATATGTTCATGCGCATGTTGATTTGTACTGGATATTTGTTTAGAGAGAGAAGGAGGTGGGGAAAAAAACAATGAGCACAAGAACAAGCAATAACAAGCAAGAGTTCTCAAGAGGTTTCTCCAAGGGCCATCATAGTGTTCACAAAGCGTGTGTGGGTTAGGGGATATTTGGGGATTAAGGCTTCGGATTTTCGGGGAGTGCCCCTTAAGGACCCTAAACCCTCAACCCTAAACCCTAAACCCTAAACCCTAAACCTTTGCGCCAGGCGCGCGTACCCTACAATGGGACCTACGGCTTCTGCTACCGAGCAAATGCCTCGGAGGCTTGGAGTGCGGCAGCTCGGCCGCAAAGTGCCGGCAGACCTTTCGATGACCTGAAATCCCCAGCTGTCAGGGTTTTTAGGGTTTAGGGTTTAGGGTTTAGGGTTTAGGGTTTAGGGTTTAGGGTTTAGGGTTTAGGGCAGTTCGCATCCTTGCGGGAGCTCTTTGAGCCCCGCAAGCTCTAATCTGAGCGTCGAGCCTGAAGGAACTGTTGGAGCCACAAGCGGCTGAGGGAGTTTTGTGTGAGGCTTTTAGAGATTTTAGGGTTCCGGGTTTTCGAGGTTTAGGGTGGTGGTTTTGGAGTTTGGGGTTATATGGGGTGGGTGTAGGGCTTTAGGGGTTTAGGGACTTAGGGTTCTCCCACGGGGTTGCCCGAACGATCAACCCGACAGGTGGATGATGACCAGCCGACTGGCCCGTCAGGCCGCCCGAAGAAAACTTTAAAGCCCTCAGGACTCAGAACCCAAATCCCTGAAAGCCTAAAATCCCCCAAGCTCTAAACCTTATAGACCCTAAACCCAAAACCCAAAATCCTCAAGCTCACCTGGACCCCCAAAACGCCCAACAAAGCCCAACCCGGCCCCCAAACCTCTCGAGCTCCTCATGCAAACCCAAAATCCGCAGTCTCCGTAGCCGGTCACCCTAAACCCTAAACCCTGAACCCTGAACCCTAAACCCTACACCCTAAACCCTGAACCCTAAACCCTAAACCCTAAACCCTAAACTCTAAACCCTAAACCCTAAACCCTAAACTCTAAACCCTAAACCCTAAACCCTAAACCCTAAACCCTAAACCCTAAACCCTAAACCCTAAACCCTAAACCCTAAACCCTGCCCCCTAACCCCTAACCCCTAAACCCTGAACCCAGATTTCCTTCTCTTCACCCCCCCGGCCCCCCCCGCCCCCAAGGTGCCCAACGTGACGCTGCACGCCTTTGGCGCCGCAAAGCCGGCGCTTCCCCGGTTCCTCTGCGCGGCGGACCCTCGGGCCGCACCAAGGTTTACTCGGGTTTACAGGGATTTAGGGGTTTTAGGGTTTCAGGATTTAGGGCTGAGGGTTTGAGGGGTCTAGGGTTTAGGGTTGCAGGGATTTTGGGTTTACAGTAGGGGTCTTTTTGGGGTGGGCTTGGGGTTTAATTACATAGGGTTTGGCAGAGGGGTGCAGACGGCTTGGGGTTTTCAGAAGCCGCAGTGGCGTGTAGGGGTTTAGGGTTTAGGGCCAAAAAGTTCAGGGTTTAGGGTTTAGGGGGCTTGTTGCCCTTGTGGGCTGCAAGCAAGCCGGCCTGGGGCGCTACGTCTTCAATGCCATCGGGGAAGGTGCGCCTGGCGTGTTTTGTTGGTGCCCCGGAACTCCTTCCATGGTGTCGCTCACGATTCTGCACAATTTCAGAACCGCACACTGCTTGCTGCAAGACCAGCTGCCCGAGACTCCCAAGACGTGCTGCTTGTCTTTTCCATCTCGCTCCTGCCATGGCCGCCCTTTCAAAACTGCAATTTGGCCTCCGGCTCGCGGATGCTGATCTTGCTGCAGAGAGGCTGAGAGAAGAGCTGAACTTTCTGGAGCGGCAGATTAAGCGCAGGGCGAGACCAGTGAGACCACAGCTAGATCAGGAGCAGGCGGAAGAAGATCGCCCGCAGGAGGAGGGAGATCTGACGCAAAAGCTGGAGTACCTCAAGGGTATGTTGACGATGTATGACGATGCAAAATGCGTGCTCAGGTGCAAGGACCTGGCCATCGACAGGCACTACGTGCGACTGTCTCGAGAGGAGAAGGCTGCAGCTGACCAAGTCCACCTGAAGATGGCGGACCTTCTCACCCAAATGGAGCGACAAATCTACCGAGTTCTTCGAACTGAGAATCCATGGTTCAACGCGCAAGTCCTCAAAACCAGGCGCTGGCTAGTGGAGCACCCAGGAGAAGCGGCGTGTGTGTTCATGTCATGCTCCGCTTTCGCTTCCGGAGCTTTGGGCCTTCTCTGTGTCCAGGGGGCTCATCCATTCTACTGGGCTGGCTTGGTGAAAGCGCCGCTGAGTGTGGCCGCGATGTTTGGTGTTGGTGCTGCTGGCGGCGCGGTGTTGGGAGCTCTCTTCGTCGGTGTTTTGCACTACTGTCTGACAACAGACTGCTGGGCATTCCTCACGGAGTCGTCCAAATCGCATGTTGCTGACGTGAACCGCATGGTGGAGGCCATGAAGACCATGCCAGATGCTCAGTTTGCTGCAAGCCTCGATGACATCTTGGGGAGCATGGCCGCCTTGTCAAGTTCAATTCCGGAGGCACCGGATCGGCTTTGCAACAGTTGCCTGGAGGATGGGCACAACGTCATCGCCCCAGTGAAGGCTCCCCGGTGCCGGGGTTCTCACTTCATGTGCAAAGAGCACTGGAAGGGATACACTCAGCACTTCGGCGACAAATGTCCCCAGTGCCGGGTGTGATGGGTGGCTTTGTGCGCACGCTGGCGCCTTGCTCGGCAGCTTCTGACACAGCATTGGTAGTGCTGAAACAGAGCACAAACGAGCCTGGCGCAGCAACAAATGAACAATCCCTTGTGCGACCCTTTGACGCTGTGACCGTTGCTAGGTGTGCAGCCTTAGTGCATTTGGATCTCAAAAGCTGTCGCCAGTTACACCGGCGCCGCCCTTGTTGAGGGCAGCGCCTACCTCCTCGGGCGGATGGAGGCGTCCCAGGGTTATAGAGTTCGCGGTGTAGGGTTTGGGCTGTGTAGGATCTCACATCGGTTTCTGATGATGGCAAATGCTGCGGCGTGGCACCCTCCGAAACAGGGGCAGGTGAGGATGCCCGGTTTTTTCCCCCTCGCCCAACGAAAGAAGGAAACGAAGAAAGAACCCACAATTACTACACCTTCGGATATCCCCTGTGCCTCACGCCTTCAAAACGTCTGTACACACACCCAGCATCGAAATTCAGCCCCGAACCGCGTGGGCAACCGCGCGGGCGGCGTCAGAACACAAGAGCCCCAGACAGTGTTGTCGGGGGACAAACAAGAGCAGAAGTGCCAGGAGGAAAAGGCAAGGATTCCAACCAAACATGAATCAGGAAACTCAACGACGAGAAAGAAGTGGATGCAGCCAAGAAAAGTGAGGAAAAGATCAAGGTACCGCCTCAGCCAAAGGCAGGATAAGGAAAGTAGGGAAGCTGTTGGTGGGGCTGTTTCATCATCGGCTGTTTCGTCTTCTGCATGCTCCTGAGTGCAGCTGTGGTCTGGTCTGGTTTGCATCAAAATCATGTGAAATCATACGCTTACACAGCAACCGACATGAGCAACTTTGATGTGCCTTTGTGCAAGAGCCAATCTGAAAGGGCTTCCGTCGTACTTAGCGCCTTCGCGCGTCGCAAATGTTTGTTTGCAGTGACAAGCAGAAACGCTCGAGCTAGGGCCGATTAGAAAGACGTTTGCTGCGGATCGCTCGGTAGGGCCTTGGGGGGCATTTGATATTTACCCTGAATTGGGTTGAAGAGGATCAGATTCAGGAATATGTTGGGCCATCCTAGATCGGAAGCCTCCCCGAAATCCCTCCGAAACCCCAGCCAGCCCATGTGCGGACAGGTCACGATCACCGGGCTCATCGTGGGCGTCTTCAACTTTCGCTTCGAACACCCTCACTTCCCATCCCTCAGATGGTTCCACCGCCCCTAACTGGGGGTTTTCGAGTTTAGGGGTATCTTCTTGGGGTCCTTTAAGGGGGGGCCCTCCTATTTCGGGGTCTAGTTTGGGGTCCCCTATTTTCGTGAACCCCCAAATCTTTGTGGGCACAGCCTTCAACCCACTATTGGCAACCAGGGAGTTTCAGGGTTGGGGTGGGGGCCCAGGAGCCAGGGGCTTCTTGCGCAGTGCCGCTGGCAAAGGCGGGCCGCATGTAGGGTTTTTCGGGCTTGGGGTTTAGGAGTTTAGGACTTAGGGTTTAGGGTTAGGGTTTAGGGTTTAGGGTTAGGGTTTAGGGTTTTGTAAGGTTTAGTAGGGTTTAGGACTTAAAGGGTTTAGGGTTCAGGGTAGCTCACAGCAGCAGTTCTTGGCATGTCTTGGCATGTCTTGGCATGCGGGTGTCCCTAAACCCTACGTGCGGTACAATGAGGGGCGTATTGTTGCTTGTCTGAGCGTTGGTTCCGGTGGTGGCTAGACTGCAAGACATCAAAGAAACCACGAGCAAGCTTTAGCCTGCGGGTACCAACGGTCATCCTGCATTTATCTTCGTTGTTGCTGTGCGCTCAAGCATTTGTGCAGTGTATGCTTGCGTCATGGTAGCTATCGTGTAAAGTCGCCCACCCATGCTGCGCCCCCCCCATTCAAGCAAGCAAGGGGAATTTTGTGTGCAAGCCGGGGCAGTGTGGCAGCAGCTTTGATGTCTGCTGTGTGCCGATACGCATGCATAGCATTTGTGCAGTGTATGCTTGGGTCATGGTAGCTATCGTGTAAAGTCGCTCGCGGCTACCTCCAGCCATGGGTGGGTGAATCAAACAAACACCGTTACCTGTGTCATGCTGATCAATTTTGGTATGTCCGCCCTGCGCCTTTCATTGTCAAGGCTTTCTTTGAAGGTGATGGCTGCTGTGGAGCTCAACTTGCCAGAGTTGAGGATCGGATTCCGCCACTGAATCTGGTAACCACCTTCCCGTCCTTATTGGCGACGGCTGCTGAGAATTTACGTGGTGCGCTGCTTGTATGGTGCGAGCTACCGCCCATTTCGGGCTGGATGTGCAAACTTGCACCTGTTGGCAGCTTGACCACGCTTTTGAATTCAATATGTACAGGAGGGCAGCCAACACACGCCGCAGTTCTCCGGGCATTTGGTTGCTGTGGATTGCGGACGGGTTTGTGATGCGAACCTGCTTTCTGATAGCAGAGACTGCTACGGGCAGCCATCACATGACGCGGTGGCTTCTGCAAGCTGCCGCGTACCTCAATTAGCGGCCGCCTCCGCCGAGCGGCTGCTGCCAGTGCTGGAGAGTGGGAATTTTGTGTGCAAGCCGGGGCAGTGTGGCAGCAGCTTTGATGTCTGCTGTGTGCCGATACGCATGCATTTCTCTACCTTCTGGCTGCTTTCAACGGCGGAAAGAACACTCGCGATTGCTATCTTGGCTCGGCGCCCCGGGTGTCCTCAGGGACCCTTGCGAGAGCGAGTTCTGCAACAATGAGGGGCGTATTGTTGCTTGTCTGAGCGTTGGTTTCGGTGGTGGCTAGACTGCAAGACATCAAAGAAACCACGAGCAAGCTTTAGCCTGCGGGTACCAACGGTCATCCTGCATTTATCTTCGTTGTTGCTGTGCGCTCAAGCATTTGCGCAGTGTATGCTTGGGTCATGGTAGCTATCGTGTAAAGTCGCCCACCCATGCTGCGCCCCCCCCATTCAAGCAAGCAAGGGGAATTTTGTGTGCAAGCCGGGGCAGTGTGGCAGCAGCTTTGATGTCTGCTGTGTGCCGATACGCATGCATTTCTCTACCTTCTGGCTGCTTTCAACGGCGAAAAGAACACTCGCGATTGCTATCTTGGCTCGGCGCCCCGGGTGTCCTCAGGGACCCTTGCGAGAGCGAGTTCTGCAACAATGAGGGGCGTATTGTTGCTTGTCTGAGCGTTGGTTTCGGTGGTGGCTAGACTGCAAGACATCAAAGAAACCACGAGCAAGCTTTAGCCTGCGGGTACCAACGGTCATCCTGCATTTATCTTCGTTGTTGCTGTGCGCTCAAGCATTTGCGCAGTGTATGCTTGGGTCATGGTAGCTATCGTGTAAAGTCGCCCACCCATGCTGCGCCCCCCCCATTCAAGCAAGCAAGGGGAATTTTGTGTGCAAGCCGGGGCAGTGTGGCAGCAGCTTTGATGTCTGCTGTGTGCCGATACGCATGCATTTCTCTTGTTTAGGATCCGAAGCTTTTGAACCCTGGATCCAAAAACCCTAAGCCCTCCAGACTTAACTCTAAACTCCCCAACCCTAAGCCTGAAATCCTAAACGCAAAGAACCCGAACCCCGAACCCCAAAACCCCTGAAAACCGAAAGCCTCAAAACCATCAAGCAAAAAGACCCTACATCCCGCACCCCAAAGCCCCTTAACTCAATAAATGCCTGAAAATACCCTCAAACCCTCAAAACCCCCCAAATCCCACAACCCTAAATCAATAAACCCTATAGACCCTATAGACCCTAACCCTATGCGGGGGTTTGCGATGTTAGGGGTACCTTATTACCCTACTATTTGGGGGTCATATTAGGGGGCCCCTTCTAATCGTAAACCCCCATAAGCTCTGTACCCTAAACCCTAAACCCTAAACCCTAAACCCTAAACCCTAAACCCTAAACCCTAAACCCTAAACCCTAAACCCTGAACCGTCCCTGAACCCTAAACCCTAAACCCTAAACCCTAAAGCCTAAACCCTGAACCGTCCCTGAACCCAAACCTGCTGCCGGCTTGGTCCAGGCCGCGGCTTCGTCACGGCTGCGCCTGGGACATGGGGCCGCAACCTGCGGCATTCCGGGAGGCCAGGGCTTCAGTTTTGGGGTTTAGGGTTAGGGTTTAGGGTATTTAGGTTTTAGGGTTTTTGGGTTTTAGGGTTTAGGGTTTAGGGTTAGGGGTTTAGGGTGTAGAGTCTAGAGTATGGTGTTGAGGGTTTAGGGTAAGGGGTTTAGGGTTTAGGGCTTCAGAAGCTCTGCAGCACAGCAATGCAAAGCGGACGTCCCAGTGTTCCTTGTAAAGAACCCCTGGATTTCCTGCAGACAAGCCTAGGACCGCAAGAGAAAGTGAGCTTCGGGCTACTTGGAGGTTCATGGTACTGATTAGCTGTACTTATAACCATATTAGGGCACGTAAGGGGCTTATAAGTGGTTTATAAGGACAGTTATCATTGATTAACAAGTACCATGAACCTCCAAGTACTCTTTCCGATGGTTCGCAGGTGCTCCTAACCAGGAGCCCTTCGACCAGAGCGTCTCCACGCCCCTCCTGGAAGGCCTCGTTCAGCGTTGCTTGCTTGCCATGTGCGATCGGGCTCTGGGCTTAGGATGTGTGGGTTTAGGGTCTGAAGCGTGTCGGTGCATGTGTCAAGGTGTTCAAGCCTTTTGGGCTCAGATTTGGGGGTTTCAGGCACAGGGTCACATCCTGAATGTAAGCCCTGAGCCAGTCATGCTGAAACTCTGAAACCTTCAAACCCAAGCTCCCGAATCAAGCCCCCAGGGCTCCGGACCATGGGACCCCTGACTGGAGCCCTAAACCAGCAAGAGCCATCCCAAGCCATCCGGAGCCCTACACAAGCCATCCGAAGCCATCCTAGAAGCCTAAACCGAAACCTAAACCCCCGCCCCCGCCCGCCAACAGGAGATGTGACGTGGCATCGCCTGGGCCGCGCCCAGGACAGTGCCACCACATCCGAGAGGTTTAATTTCATGAGTCGTCAGTATTGCATGGGCATTCAGACGTAGGGAAGGCGTTTATTTCTTCATAGTGTTTGTGGTGCTTGCAGGAGATTGGGCTGAGCAGCCTCCCTGGCACTCTTGCGTAGATTCTAGATTCGTTTTTCATGTCGTCATCAAAGGGGTCATTCAATCTGCAAAGGTTCGGCGTAATGTCTCAGCAAGGGCATCCTGACCCTGAGCTAAACCCTAAACCCTAAACCCTAAACCCTAAGGCCCTCAGCGCCCGAGCGCCCAGACCCCTAAAGTTCCTACTCCTTGCGGTGCAGGCAGGGGCGGAAAGCCCCAGGTTTCTGATTTGCTTCTGTGACGGCTTTGAGCAGCTTGCCCAGAAAATATGCCGAGGGGTTGTGCTTCTCCAGTTGCGGGAGGCTTCTGCGAATCGGGGTCAAAAAGTTAAAGCTTGGGGCTTAAGAATGCCGAGAGTTGGGAAAAGTTTTTTGTTTTGTCTTGCCCGACCCTCTCGAGCCGTTCAAATGTCAAAGTCTTAAAGGTTTACACAGCCCGAAGCCACAACTTGGAATGACGTGGCAAGATTTCTCCTCCAAGCCGCTCCACTTCGAAAGGAAACGACAAACACAAGAGTGTTCCTCAAAAACGAGCAGATTTCGAGTTCGACTTGGTGAACTGGCACACCTCCTGTCAGAGCCATGTTATAGAATAGGCCACGCAGTTTCAGTGCTTCGACAAGCAGATGATGAGGCTGGACGTCGCGAGCGATGGCTCGGGCTACTGCCGCAGCAGCGGGGTTGAGGAGCCGGGTCGTGCTTGGATTGGTGGCCGGCAACTTCGGTTGGATTACAACGGGCAGAAAATTGCTTTTTAGGTGGGGGCCACGGACAGGCGCCGGATTCATGGTCTCCTAACGTGATGGCTTTGCTTCATGGTGCGATGACAGACCTGAATTTAAGCCAGCCAACTAAGCTGTCTGTCCTATGTCTACTTCTTCTGCTTGGACTGATCAAACCAGCATGCATCTCCTTCGCATCGGCCACACATGCCCAAACCTTTGCGCATCATTCTCGGGATCCCAAGCTCTCGTGCCCTGCATGTGAGGATTTTCCACAGGCCCTTGGTACCCTTCAGCTGCTGCGGATGGTTTCACAACCAGGTCCATGCGAGCTGCTCTCGATGTGTTGGTGTTGATGGGTCGCTTGTGGGGTGCAGGTCGGGGTGTGGATATAGAGTGTGTGCAGCCTGTAGGTTCGTAAAGTGGATGTGCCTCCGGTTTTCCGTGCTAGCCTGTGGCAGATCGTGTTTTTACCGGACAACCCTTCACTTTGGAAATCCGCTGCAACATCACCAGCCGGTCGCTCAGATGGTGGAGCGGGGTGGCTTAGAGCTAAACCGTAACCAAAAACCCCCGAATCTCGTCATTATTGCCGCTTTACCCCACTTGGAGCTTCATGGCTAGGGTAACGTATCTCCATGAAACCTCCAAGCATCACCCAGAAGCTTAGGGTGGTTGCGAGGAGCTGAAGTGGAGGGTTGGCGTCCCGGGTTGGATGGAAGTTTAGAGTTCGGGGTTTAGGGATCTTGAAGCTCCTGGTCCCTGAATCACGAAACTCTGAACGCCCCAACACCTTTCACCCGAACACTCTGTAGGCAACAAAAACGCCTGCAACCGCAGCCCAAATCCTAAGACACTCACCCTCGAACACCCTCCAAATAGCCAAAGACTCGAACACCCAAATACCCACAACCCACCCCCCCTCAAAACTCAGACCCTGAAGACCAACCTCAGGTGCGGTTGGCTGCTCGGGTTTGGGCACCGCTAGGCTCCGCCTCATCGAGCCGGGCGAGGATCCCGGTCCTGGCCCGGAAACCCCTCAAGCCCCCAAGCGCACACAAAGTTCAAAGCGCCCTAAAACCACCCAAAAACCCTGAAACCTGAACCTGAAGCTCCATAAAAACCTCCACCCAAGACCTCCACCGAAAGTTCTCTAAGCCCTTCCTTAAGCTCAAATGCCCTAAAGCCCTAAAGGCGTTTAAGCTCCAAGAGCCACAGAGAGGACGGCACCTTCGGCGAGGCTGGGCCGACGGATCGCTGCCGCTTCGGGGCAGAGACTTCCCTGCAGGCCCGGCTTGGAGGGCTCAGGATCTACCTGAAGAATCCCAAAACCCACTTCTTTCTAGGATTCTTACCTTAAGAACCTCCAAAAACCGACTTCTTCACAGGATTCTTTCTTCGAGCTTATGGGGCCTCTAGGGCATGGGGTTCAGGGTTGACGGGATCTAGAGCAATCTGCAGGGCTTCTGGTCTAGGGCTTCGGGCTCAGCCCAAATCCTAGACCCCGAGACCTACCTGGAGACCTCTAAACCATTCTAAACCCCTTAACATCAAAACAATTAAAAACCTACTAAACCCTGTAAGCCCTATGCCTGGACCCTAAACCAGAAACCCCAAACTCTAAACCCGAAACACCGTAAACCCCCTCAACCTGGAGGGCCCCCCTGGAAGCCCCCTCACACCGTAGGCCGGGCCGGCGAACTGCGGCCCTGGCGGGTTGCCCAGCGGCGTCGCCCCTTTCAACTGCCAGCTGGAGCCCCTGGTCGCCACAACCGCAGGCTGAGCTTATGGTTTATGGGTTTTTGGAGGGTTTTTAGTGGTTTTACGTAGGGTTTTTGAAGGGTTTTGCTTTTGGTAGGGTTTTACTGGTCGACTTTGTAGGGTGTGTATAGGGTTCAGGTCATTCGGGCGCATGCAGGAGGTTGTGGGGAGTCGTGTAGCAAGGGCTTGCTGTACCTGCAGTGCGTCGAAACGACTGGCTGCTTTTTGCACCTCCACGTGTGTTGTGCGTAAGAGACCCCTAAATGAACCCCAAACCCCAAACCCTGAACTTATACAGATTCTGGGAAGGCTGGCGCTGGGATTTGGAGCTGCGGCCGAGACTCCGGGCCCGTGCAGCGCTGCCCACAGCACTGGGCGTTTGCTTCTGCGAGCCCGGGGCGCAAAAGCCATGTCATCCACCCACCCCCCCAGAAAGACCCAAACCCCTTCAAGCCTCAAGCCATGGGCTTCTTGGGCTCTTGAGCCTTCCGACCCGAGGCCCGAAAATCCCAAAGATTGCAACCGCCTGAGCGCAAGAATTCCCAAGAGTTTGGGGATGTAGGGTTTAGGGTCTAGGGTTTAGGGTCTAGTGACTGTGATCCCCTCCCCTCAAAAAGTTCCTAAACCCAAATCCCTGGAACCCTTGATGCCGAGGATGGACTCGGCGAGGGCGGCTGCAGTAGTGGTGCGAACTGGCTGCGCCGCTTCGCTGCATTCCAAGAGGGGACTCAGGCCTCGGGTTTAGGGTTTCGGGCTTAGGGTGGAGGCCTAGGCTGGAAGACTACTAGGTTCCCAAATCATGGACCTCAAACCAGGAAGTCATGTAGGTATTTTGGAGATCCGTACCTGGTGGAGTCTTCACGCAGACAGCAGCTGTCTAGGGGATAATGGACGAAGCTCGTTTCAGACCCAAAATGCTGAAGACCTTCTCAACCCGAGATGAACCACCATCACCTAAACCCTACGTAAACCTCAACCTTGTCCCTCTACCCCAGGAGTGGGCTCCCTCACGGCCGAGCCACTGCTCCTGAAGCCCGCGAGACGGGCCGCGCTTGAGGTGGAGGACCCGGCTTTAGGAGAGTTTACTGACTTGAGGCCACTTTCACTTACATGCCTTTCAATGTAGCGCACAAAATACACAATTCGCGGCGCTGTTGCAGTTCGTGTTCAATGCTTCCCTCTGTCGGCACAGTCGATTCAATCAACGAACGCTGGGTTGTTGGTTTTCGCCGTCGTTTTGGAGTCGCCATTACTACAAGGGAGCTGCCCGAGAAGAGCCCCGCCCATCTGGGACGCATCTTGCCATCCAGGACCTCAGGCTGGAGGCTCCCGGAGGCCTGGCGCGGGTGCGAGGGGCGGCTGAAAACATCAGCCGGCAGACTGTAACCTTTTTCAGTTTATCCGCCTTCATTTTGTGTAACCTATCCGAACTAGCTAGGCGTTTTTGGTGAGTGCGATGTGGCAAACCTGGGTTCTCTCAGAGGCAGCTTTGACACAACGGCCCCACACATCCTCAAGCTCATCGCAGACGATGCCGGGACGTTGCAGGAGTCTTGGGTAAGTGCACCGTCTCCTGATCGAGATCTGTTCAGGAGTAAAGGCCCTTTATACAGGTTCTCTTCATAGCGCCGAATGATTCAGGTCGGATATCCCAGCAACATCCTACAAGCTGTATGCTGCGACGTCTTGATAACCACGACCCTCAACCCTAAACCGTGCAAGCCCTACAAGCAATGTAATTAAGCCCATGTACCCCCCACGAGCCCCAAAAAGTCCACAAACCGCAACATGAGGAGTCCGACTGCTCTTCGGCAACGCCGGAGCCAGAACGGCTGAGCCTCCGCTGCTCTGCAGAGGGCTGCCCCTCAGCGGACCAGGCAGGTCGATGGCTTTGTATCCCTGAAGGGGCTAGGGTTTAGGGTTTAGGGTATTCAGCAGCGCTCCTGTCTGACTCAAGTTATCGCGCTCAACCCCTCTCTCATCAAACCTCCTGCCCGCATCTAGAACACTGTGGGGATACCTTAGCTAGAAAGTGTACTTCTACAAGGGGATATTCTTGGTAGCTATTTCGGCTCCTGCAGTAGCCTTCACCCTGCGCCAGCAACTTGCAATCCCGCCCCAAGCCACTACACCTGAACCTGCCATCCCCCCAGCACCCTTAAACGCCCAAGCTCGAACCTAAATTCACACAGGGCTAAGCTTCAAAGCAAAGAAACCAGAAAAAACAACCGGGCAGAAGCTCCCTATCCTATCGGGCTGTGCGGGGTCACGGATGCAGGTGGCTCCCGAGGTGCTGGTGTGGCAGCGCGTGGAGATCTCACAGCCAGGCCGCTTCCTCCCCTTCTTGCACTGAGTGTTTGAGGGCCATGGGGCCCCTATTTCCGTTCACGGCTTTGGAGGCCTTTGCAGGCACGAGTGTGAGGAGACTACCCGCAAAGGTGTGTTTTAGGTTTTGAGAGGGATAGTTTAAGATTGAGGGTTTGGGGTATTGGGTTTGAGGGTGTAGGGTTCTCGGTTGATTTGGATTTGGGGCTTTTGGTTTTTTATGTGAACGACATAAATTACTAGGCCCAAAGCGCCCTAAATTGACAGCCCGTGCATGGCAGGCTGGTACGCGGCGTGCTACTGCCAGGTGACGAATGCCACAACCGGCTGCCAGGCATCAATGTTCTGTTTCCCTCACTGCCGCTCTTCAGTACTGCCCGAAGTCTTCAACCAGAGGGGGGAGGGGTGTTCTAACTTAGATCCTCTGAAGACCTAGGTCCTAGGTCCTCAAACCCTACAGTACCAAGAACCCTAAGCCCTTAATCCCCCCCGACTATTGGGGGCATGACCCCCAAAAAGGCTGCGGACCTGAGACCGAGCTGCGCTTCGCAGGAGGGCTCCTGGCGACTCCTGGGCTGGCAGCTCGTCGCCGGCATCACGTCGCTGGCGGCCGGGAGCCGCCTGGGCTCGGGAATATAGTTGACATACGATTGTTGGTTCTATTGCAAAAAATAAAGAGATAAAGAAGTAATATATAAACGACCAAGATATATATGTATATGTATGTATGTATGCATGCATGCATGCATGTATGTATGTATGTATTCTCTAATCTTATCTAATCTGATCTGATCTAATCTAATCTAACTGATCTAATCTAATCGAATCGAATCGACTCTAATCGAATCTAATCGAATCTAATCTAATCAAGTATATGCAAACAAATACTGCGATGTGGCTTCCATTGTGCTAGGTATGTTACATTTGCATGTTTTGCTAATCTAATGTTCTTCTCGTTCCATTGCCGCCCAGCCTATTCTGCTCTATTCTGGATTAGCGGCCAGCTTCGTGCTGGGGTTGGCCCCCCGAACTTAGCAGCCCTTGCATGGATATTCGCTGAGCTGATTCGTGGTTCGCAGTAGCATTCGGGCTAGATAACCCTGCCCCCTTCCCTAACTGCCCCAACGTCCCTCTGAGCTATTCCATCACTGCCCTTGTGCTCGGGAGCCACTTTTGTGTGTGGGGCATCCAGTGATCAGCTTTCAACTGGCAATCCTCACGCCCATCCCTCGTTCAACCCCAGAAGCTGACAGCCTGAACCCAGGAACTGCACGTTACGACTCCAAACCATAAGTCATAAGCAAAACTCCGCTCCCCCAATGCACCGTGCTGTCTGCAGAATGCTTTAAAAAGTATCTAGTCCTGGCACTCTAGATTCCTACTGCAACGTTACAACACCGGTGTGCATTCAGAGGGGTGCATTTCGTGGGGTGCATTCTCATGCCATTCGCCCAGCTGTGCCCAGTGTTCGAGCATGTAAACCTCCTGTTCTACTTGTACGGCCAATGTAGGGTTTGCACCAACTCGAAGCCTTAGCCTGCGTTGCATGCGACGAGCCAAGGCGAGGGGCAGGGCTCAGTGGTGTACCGCGGCGGCCACTTCCTGCTGACCCTGCGTGGTGCGGGCTTCACGCCAGAGGATGCCGGAAGGGGGGGGGGAGGGCTTGAGGATTAGGGGCGTGGGAAGTTGCTGTGGGGAGAAGTGCCTTAAAGCTTTGGGGGCCGCAGGGTTCACTCAGGCTGGTCCGGCCGGATGGGGTCTTCAGACCCTGGCCCGCCAGGTCTAAGACCCCAACCCCTCGAAAACCTTAAAACCGCTGGGCCCTGAACGAGCCAACAACCCTTGCCCTTAAACCCAAAGCTTCCCTAAACCCTAAACCCTAAACACTAAACCCTAAACCCTAACCCTAAACCCTAAACCCTTTTGGCTCAATGGGCAAGGACCGGCTCCACATCCAAGCCGGGGAGGTCGCCTGCATGCCGTGGATGGACTACCAGGCCCGCAGGGTCCAAGCTTGTTTCCTCCTCTGGGGCTTTGGGGCTTTGGGGCTGTGGGGCTCTTGAGCTTCAGTGTTGAAGGCTCTTTCGGGCTTATGGGGTTGTTGGGTTTTTGCAGGGTAGGGTTGTACTGGCATCTGTATGGTGGCTGATGATGCGCGATGCAAAGGCGCCCCGCATGAGCCTCGAAGTCGGGCGAAGTCCAAGAGCATCCTCCACCCAGTGCAGCTCCCAAACCTGAAGGCCCCCAAACCCTATAAAGCCCCAAGCCCCTCAACCCCCAAAACCTCACAAAACCCCCAAAGGCCCCCAAACCCTCAAACCCTTGAACCTTTAAACCCTTAGAATACCCCTTTATATCAACCCTTTGTACCCTTAAACCCGAAACCCCTTAAACCCTTCAACCCTGCAACCCTCATACCCTTGGGCATCCTACCCTTGTACCCTGAACCGCTTAAACCTCTAAACCCTTAAACCCTTGGACATCCCACCCTTGCACCCTTAAAATGCTTTCAACCCCTGAAGCCCGCTTGAAAGCGCAGGCCAGCGCCGCCTCGGCTCCGGTGGCTTTGGCTGCCGGTGCCTCCGAGGAGCCAACGCTGCCAGGCCCGGGGGGGGTGGCTGGGTTTTTTAGGGGTTTTGTAGGCTTTTTGGATGGTTTTTGGGGGGCTTTAGGGTTTAGGGGTTAGGGGTTCTAGGGCTCAGGGTTTAGGGTTTTAAGGTTGTCGGGTTGTGGGGCTTAGGATTTAAGGTCTCTGGATTTTTGTAGGAGGGGACACACAGAGGGCATGTCTTGTCAGGGCTTGTGGGGTTCCATCGGGCTTCTACCATGTCTAGGGCAGCCTAGCTTCTGAAGATACGAAGACAGAAGAGCAAGCTCCTTGCCGGCTAAGGGTCCCTGGCGCCTGGCGAGATGCGCAGCTTCAGCCGTGAGGAGGGAGATGGGCGGAGATCACCTGATGAGCCACGTAGACTTAGATATGTTCTTAGGGGTTTTGGGTCTCGGGTCCCTTTGTTGAGGTTCCGTGATGGTATACAGGGTTTCAAGGGGGCCCCCCTGCGTTTCGAGCTCTGCAATGTGCCTGTGTAGGTGCCCTCGGCGTGTGAACCATCCTCAAGCCTCATCTCTCATCCTTCTCAACCCTAAACACAGTAACCTCTGAACCCGAAGCCCTTGAAACCCGCTAAGCTCCTAATTCCCTCATGTAAACCCGAACTTTTCGAGAACAACCGCATCTGCCCCATGCTGCACAGGGACTCCGTGGCCGGCTCTCCCTCACCAGGGCCCATGGCTTCTGGGCTTCGAAGGGAAGGGGGCATTCCCATCCTCTCCTGCCCAGCTTTTGGGGGGTTTATGTCATTTGAGAGTCATTTGGGGGTTTTCGAAGTTCGAAACCTCTCGTTTCTGTCAGTTTAGGGTTTAGGGTCTAGGGTCTAGGGTTTAGGGTTTAGGGTTTAGGGTTTAGGGTTTAGGGTTTAGGGTTTAGGGTTCAAAACATCCTGCTTCTTCTCGGTCACCTTGAGGCCTCCAGGCGGGCGACACCCTCCGCTTCGCGGGGCTGGTGGTGGTCGGTCCAGCCTGCGCCAGCGCCCTCCGCCCAGAAGCACTAAAGGGCCCAGGGTTTCAGAGCCTAGCAGAACTCGAATTTTGTTTCAAGATATGTTTCAAGTGCCTGAATGGCTTATTCTGATCGTTGACCCTGAACGTCAGAAAATCCTCCCCCGCCAAAATTGAGGTTTACTCTGTGGCACTGGACCGCAATGTCTCGGACTGCTGGGGCCCTACTTGCCTGAGCATAAAGGCTCACTTTTTGAAAGGCTGCCGTTACTTGTGAATTTAGCACTGTTTGTGCAGCTACCGTGGTGGTGGGGCTGCCACACAGAGGTCTGGAAGTCCTGGAATCCGCACCCATCAACGTCTTCAGCGCGCCTTCTGAGACAGAGGCACAGATCTTCACTCGAGACGAAACGGATCACTTCTCAGCTGAAATGGTCCGAACGTTTAGTCATCTGTGCTTCCTGGGCCTTGGAGGTGGTGCTGGACGTGGCCCTCTCCGAGGAGGAGCTTCTCGGCTCTCGACGCAGTGCTGCGTGGGACTTTGAATTATACTGCCCTCGAAGGCCATTCCCCCCTGAAAAGATGCCCCCCTTCCCCCCCCCTCCCTCAAAAAAAGAAGAGAGCAAAAAGAGACGAGAAAGACCAAAAAAGAACAACAACACAACTTTAAAGGCTCCAGTCCCTGGACCTCTCCTTGGCCACTTGGCTCGGGGCCTCGGCTGCAGCCTTCGGCCGCTTCGCCGCCGGCCGCAGCGCCACCGGGCGCCATGCGGCGGCTGGGAAGCAGAAGGGGGCCCTACACGCTTTAGGGTTTCCGGTTTTGGGGAGTTTTTTTGTAGCAATGGTCATCGCAATAATTCATGCTAGTCTCTGGCGCGGAGCAGCCCAGCAGGCGACGGAGTCAAGGCTAGGGCCCGGCTACTTCCCAGGTATGCTGGGGCGGTCGTGATGCGAACTTCTCCTCCTTGGCTTCCATCCTGGAGGCAGCTCAGAGGGTTTGCCACGTTCAGGGCGTGGGGAAGAAAGCAGGCATCGGACAGAAGCATGAGCAGCATGAGCAGCATGAGCAGCATGAGCAGCATGAGCAGCATGAGCAGCAGCTGGTGGAGACAAGTGCAAGAGTGGTTGGGTCACTCTTTTCCTAGTAGCAGTTGTTAAGGCCCCTATATTACTTGTACCCTCTGGAGGTTGTGGATGCGCCTCCCTTTCCGCACGGAAGCCCAGTCTGGGGTACCTAGCGGGTGGATGCTTCAGGACTGCAGTGCGCTCTGATGGATCACAGCTGGCACTGTCTTGTGAATGGCCGAAGTAGCTCAAGCTCCGTATTTGTGTCGTTCAGAGCGATGGAGAGGTCAGCCCTCCACCTGACCACGGCGCTGCCCCACGTCCCGGCTCCAAGTGGCTTGGACATATGAGGTTTTCCGAGAGGAAGGGCTTGAAGGGCTTGGAGGGTGTGGGGGCGAACAGCCTCGCCCAACAAATCTCCAATGGGCGAAACATTTGACAAGTGGTCGCAGCTAGCTATCTCAAAACAGGACCTTTTTTGGATCCTTGTCAGAGCATGCCACCCAAGTTGGGACCCCTGACTAATACCCACGGCAACAGCAATGGCACGCACAACAGCGTGCGCACCTTCATATAGAAGGAAGAAGAAGAAGAACCCACTACCCACACGTGCTGCCAGCAGAGCATGCGACGAAGGTGTCTTGGCCTTCCAGACCAATGGAGCCGCGCCTTACAGCGAGGCTCCGAATCTCCCCAGTGCTCGCAGAATTCAACAGAACCGTTGACTGCATTGAATGATTTCTGATCTCGACGGGATTGGTTCAAGAACGAGTCCTTAAATCTCCCCGAAACACTGGATATACTGGATTTGTGCCTGGCATTGGGTTGCCCAAGAATAGGGACCCCGTTGAAGTATTTATCAGCCCTGTGCAAAAACCAGGACCCTTCCAACAAGAAGCCCTAATGTAGAACGCCCATGAGCGGATACGGGCGAACGACCAGCTCTTAACCACCGGAAGTTCCAGGCAGCTGGGCCCATGCGGTTGACTCTGACCTTTCGTTCCTCCGGCCCGCTACGTGGCGGAGCCGCATATTGCTGCGGTGTGTGGTGTGCTGGACAGTTCTCCATGCACGGAGCACTGGAACCCTGGAGCGCAAATGTGTCAAGTCGCGCGAGGCCATGCTTTCAGTGCTGCCGACGAGAGCGGCGCCCCCAGCGTGCACTCCGCAATCCTAGCTTAGGGTGGTGGAGGCCTTCTTCTTCGGCTGGGCTGACTTTTGGAAGGGATGCGTCGGAAGTCCTCAGTTGCAAAATAAGTATCCTGGAAGACTGCAAGCAATGACAGGCGCGGCCCTGGCTTTGACCTACGATCAGGCGGCGCAGGAGGCTCGCACACGTGCCACTCTCGTTTACGAAGGGGTCTTTCGCCAAGGGGGCTGCCATGCTGTAAATCCCCTGAGGTGCTGTGCATTGCGTGCTACACTCATCCACTAGTACCTCCCGACTTCAACTCCTGGCAGGTGTGCGGCCGCCTCTTCCGCGAGCTTTGGTCTGAGGACGAGGCGCGGGAGCCGAGAATTGGCTGTTCAGAGCCCACCTGCTCCGGGAGGTATCGTGGCACTCGGTACAACTGCTTGTGTGAGAAGACCAAGCCCAAGCCTACTTTGTTCCTCGATGGAGGATGGCTTCCCTCAGCCAGCGGGCTGCTACTACAGCGATGCCCTTGCAGAGCGCCTGGGCAAGATGACATCAGTCATGGGGAGGACGAGGCTTGTGAGCATGAAGGGTTCAGGCACGTGCTCTTGCGATAGGGGGTTACTTGAAAGAGCTGGTGCCCGCAAACGGCTGCAGCGTGGGCGTGGTAAGCTGTCCTGATCGGCTGAGGTATGGCTGCTCGGCCTCATTGAAGCAGATCTGTCAGTGATTCTGCGAGACTGAAGGGCCTTTTTTTGGTCTGGTGCACATATCCGGAGATCGTGTGGACCTACTGACCTACTGTGGACTGCTCGAATGATCGGAGTTCGGGCAAGATAGCAAAGCTCACTCAGACCTTTGTCTCGATGCAATGTCCTTGCGATGTTTCGTGGCGCTGAGGAATGGTTTTCCCTGCCAGGGCTGGTCTGAAACCAGGCACGCGGTACCAGGCCTGCGGACATCACAATTCATGAGAAATGTTGCAGTGAGCGTCAGAAGTGGAGCTGCAGGGCCGTTCGGGTACAGGGACCTGATTTTGGGGCAGCGGCTGGTGGATTGCCCTTTCGCATCGTCGCTTTGCACTGTTGCCCAGATCGTGATGATGACCCGGCTCAGCCGTGGCATCTCCACGCAACATGTACCTTGACTTGGACAATGGCCCAGTTCTTCGGTTCGACAAGGTGTCGAGAAGTGGGCACGCTGATCTGGATGTCATGCTTGGCTCCTGACATGTCAGACCAAGGACTGGATGCTCGTATCTGACACGGTCCCGCTGCCGGTCATTGGACCGGAGGAGACTCGATACACGAGTGTCCTGTCTGCTTGTGATGGCGGCTTCGTCGGTGGGCCACGGACTCGCAAACTCATCCTCCTTTAAAAAGTTCAGGCTCCAAGCATTCCGAAAGTACAAGTCGACCCCTTCTTCAGTGCCGTGCAGTGCAGCTGCTACTTGACACCCCCGTTCCTTTCCTACTTCGTCTTGTTGCAAAGCAGGGCCGGTGATCATGTACGTGGACAATCAACTAGAGCAGGGTCTGGGTATCTTCCTACAACCAGGCAGCAACCCTTAGATGAAGCCGAGGTCCTCAGTCGTTTGGCGACTTGGGTGCTCTTCCCAGCTTGCTGGCCTGTCAGGAGGCCGAGACGGCGGAAATTCTTCTTCAGTACTTGGTTTGTTGTCTCTGCTAGCCTGGTCATCTCTTGTCCATCTACACAGGAGGTCATCCGCTTAAGTAGCCAGGGTTTGCTGGTGATGCAGGCCTGCGCGCAAGTGCTGCAGTGTGGCGTGGCTGGCACATGAAGTCCTTTGCATAGGAACCTGCCTCTAGTTTCGTCATGCGCATGTCGGATGTCTGGCACATGATGTCTGGCAATTGCATGCAAGGGCATGGGGACATGGACAAGTTTCAAGGGGCGTGCGGTGTGCCTTCAAAGGTTGACAGCTCCGAGACTTCGACGCCTGAAATTGTCCTCAATCCCGTTGTTGTCCCCATGCTCTGAGTCTCAGGCAATGTGGCCGTCTATCGCCTCTCCTCGGACCAGCACTGCCTCATCGCGGACTTCTCGCAGCGCGCGCAGCCTTTTGCCACGCAGCCGGCACCAGGCAACTTGACCCTCTTCGTGGCAGAGCCTCGGCGCGAACTGGGGGATCCCAAAGGTTCGGTCCCAGGTTGCCAAGGCAAGGGTTGCCAACAAACCTTCTCATTGTTGTTTTGGGTAGGTTCGGCGAAGTCGGCGAAGTTTTGACCGTTCCTTCGCAGGGACTCTGGGCTTTGGTGGGTAATTTGCCGACTCCGACTTCTTTGGGCTCTGTGTCTAGGGCGTGCCCAGCTGAGGACAGGCTGAATGGAACAGCCCAAGATTCGCAGAGCGTGGTGGCGGATCTGTGGAGCATGGACGACATGCTGACGAGGCCGGACAGCCTGCACGCGTGTTAGACTCCGAAAGGCTGAAAGCCCCCCAGTGAAAGGCCCCGTGACGTCGTGCCGATGCAAGGCCTTTCCATGCAGTGGAAGCCTCTGAGACCATCCTCGCAGCTCGTGCGGCAGCCGCTGTGCTGCCCAGCCCCTGGGCGAAATACAAGGTTCTTCGTGCCAGGGCAACAGAAGCAGGGGCTGGGCCCCTGGGCGTGTGCCGGTGGTCCACGTGCTCCATGTGTCTCCTACCTCTCGGCCCAGTTGTAAAGATGGTCTTCCATGACTGAAGACAGTCTGGGCATGAGGTGATCCTCGCTGGCACACGCAGGGTCTGCCACTTGGCTTGGATGAGTGAAGTTGGCGCCATTCAGCATTGAGCCGAGCAAGCTTTGCTACTGTAGCCGCTAGCCGATGTCCATGCCATGGCAATTTCCTCCAAGAAACGTGCACCAGCGCCCTGCATCTGAGGATGGTCCTCGATCCCGATGGCATTGAACCATGCCATAATTCAGTCAAAGTCGAGTTGTTGGAGGTTTCGCGTGTGGGGTTTTTGCTGCGAAGAGAGCATTGAATGGCCACAGCCACTCGAAGAGTTTCTGCCATCATCCTCTGGATACTTTTTTCAGTCAGGGTCTCGTCTAAAGTACGGCACCTTATTCACAGGACCCCCCAAAAGGGACCGTAACTTAGGGAACTCCCCATCTTGTCGAGCCTTTTTCCCAAAGGTCACGACCGAGGCGGCGCCGCTGCTGCTGACGCAGCCGCGCCTCGCCCTGCAGCTCCGGGCGGCGCAAGGGAGCAGCATCGAGGCCCGGACATCTTGAACCCTGAGCTCCGCATGCTTTGATTCTAGATCCTAATTAGGGTTTTTCACTTCTACGCTTTTTTTAAATCCTAAACCGAAGCCCTGAACGGGCTTGGGGTCTTTTGGTTGGCGGCTTCAGGGTTGCTTCGGGGTGAGGACGTGGTTCGGATTCCTCTAATTGCACTCTTCTGCGGCATTGGCTTTTAGGGAGTTTAGGGTATAGCCTTCAAAGTCTTTGCAGGGCCTTGTAGGGATTAGGATCATTGTTCAGTTCGATCTTAGAAGAGGCCGGGACTTTGCTGCGCCTGTTCCTCCGGCCGCTGACGCAGTGGGCGCTGCCGGAGGAGGGCTGCCCAGTCCACTGCGCTTGGCACTCGGTCGTGGGTATTTCCCATGGAGGGGGCTCCCTTGTGCCACAAAATAGGGACCTAGATTCCTAGATCACGGGAAGAAGATGCTTCCTTGGCCGGACCAGTCATGTGGGCGATGAGTTAGATGGACATGTGCCAGCTAGATGCAGCGAGGTGTGATGTTTGGCTCCAGACAGGGATTATTTCCCCACTATAGGGCTCATTAGGGACAGCCACCCTCCATCAGTTCTACGCGATTGAGTGTCCTGAAGCATGAAACTCCAACCTTTTTTCGGCCCACCACACAGAAGCCAGAACCCATTCTTGAGATTGACAGCATGACACGGCCACGACACTCGGTGGTCGCCTCCATGGCAAGAATCGAGAGCTGTGCTGCCGGGCAATGTCCTTCTTGAGCCAGGCCAGGAAGGGGGCGTACGACCTTTGATTGCAGAGGGATGCTTCATGTGTGACCCTCCAACTGGCAGCTCATACAGGCTCAAGAAAGACCTCAAGTGCTACAGCCCATCCTCCGGTCCTGCACATGCAGGCAAGCAGTAGCATGCCAGGCGTCCCCTGGCAACAAGCTCTGATGAAAGAACAGCCCAAGTGCAGCCTGGACACCTTGCTGCAACTTCTGGCTTATCTATGGCGGCACCGAGACAGGTGCTGCATCTTTTCGGACTCCTCCGGCGACATGGCTGTTGTAGCTTCGTACGGAAGCTTGATCTGTTCTGTCATGAGTGTCTTGAAGGGCACGGCCGACGAAGTGAAGGCGTGGGTTGCGGCACAAAGGGAACGCTGTCAGCAGGACCTTGAAAGCCTGAAAAATGGTACGGAATGCTTTGCTTGTCCAGAGGAGGTTGAAGAGCTGATTCGTCTGCTGCACTTGCGCTTTCGGCCTTTGTTTTCCATGCCTAGCGGACGTCTGTTGCGTGTCTTGCCAGACCGGCTGGAATTCGACCCAGACACGCCCCTGCGTGACAACCCGGACACCTCGATCGAAGCCCTCCAACCGTGGCTCCGCAAGGTGGCTGCGGACTTACTCGGGAAAAACATACAAGCGGGACCTGAGGTCTTCGAATGCGACTGCTCGGATTTAGACGAGGCCTCGGATCGCCTCAACGATGCCAAGTACAGGCAAAGTCTCAGTTTCTTGGTGATCCCCTCGCGACCGCCGCAGAGGAAGGGTCGTGAGGGCCAGATGCCCGCATCCGACTCAGCAAATTCCACCGTGCAGCCGCAGGACATGCAGGAGACAGACTCGGCTTTAATGCGAGACCACGCAAAGCTTGAGGAAGAATGCGAGCGGCTCAAGCAAGAATTGGCCGCAGCGAAGTCCCAAGTTCAAGCACTGCAAGATGAGATTGCTGTGACCAAGAAGCAGTGCCAGCAGCTCACAGAGGCATCCGGCATCTCACTTGGGGCTGATCTTCGGACCTTGCTCATCGAGAGTGCGACCTACAAGGAACGGTCCGAGCAGATGAGCAAGCAGCTTGATAAGGCTGAGGCGGAGTTAGCCCGCAGGGCCAGTGAGAATCAGCGGCTTTTGGTCGAGAACGCCACCTTGAAGGAGCGCTGCAAGATGTTGACGGTGCCCCGTCCTGCCGAAGGAGGAAGAGGAGATGAGAGCAGCCATGTGCGGGGCATCTCTCCAGTGCTGCATCCACAACGTGTGCCGAGGGGGCCTGCGGGGATTGAAGTCTTCGCCAGCCAAGACTCGGGCCTCGCAGAGCGCATGGGCTACACTCTGATTGAAGATGACGGGGCCAGCGCGTCGTCAGTGTCAGTGCTGAGCCAGTCGTCCTGGTTCTGCGTCAAGCCAAACTGCTTCGTACTTGATACCATTTTCCGGACACGGAGCTGCGGCATTGACTTCTTCCTCATGGGAAAGGACCTTACTAAAGGGTCGCGCGTCGTCGCTGCGGACGATGAGACCATCTTGGAGGTTACTACCGCACCCGAAGTGTGCAAGGCGACGGACGGCTTCGACCTGCATGCCGGGGGTGCGACCCTGCGGGTGACGGCGGACCACATGGTTCTTGTCCCCGACCCTCATGGCGTGTCGGACAAGGGGCTCTATGTCAAAGCGGGCGACCTGAAGGAAGGCGACCTCGTTCTGGTTGATTCATGGGAGCCTGTGCCCCTGACGCGCAAGGTTCCCTGGTCGGCTGAGTTCGAGGTGTTGAAGATCATCTTCCAACCTGACTTGCCTGTCGCTGTCTTCTCCTGCCCACCTTGCATCCTCAGCAAGGGCCACAAGAAGAAGACGACCCGCCGTGGAGGCATGCGCCATGCGAAAGGGAGTGGCGCAACGGAGGACCAGACCGCAGATGGTCATTGTAGCATCCCTAACACTCGGGGCGATTACATGGACTGAGGTCCAGCCTATGCAAGGTCCCAGCAGTTCGACGAGTTCCCCTGAATTCACAAGTTTTGGCAGCCATGCCAAGATGCCTAGTGTACGGCCTTCATGCTGGTGCGCGCGGCTCTATGGCTCAGTGCTGGATTCGCTGGAGAGCAGTGCACGCGGTCTCCCCTGACACGTAGTGCAAGCACGCCAGTCATGCAATCTTCCCTAGGCAGCTCGCTCGTTCCCTTGCGCAGAAGACCACAAGTGCTGAAAAACCTGCCCATGCGCAGACACGCAGTCTTCCTCATGCCCAGCCGCTGCTTCTGCACGGATCTCCCATGGGACAGGTGGCTTTCATCTCGAGCCTGGCTTCGGCCGGGTTGGCTGATGTGCCCCCTGTCAGGGCAGGCGGCTGTGTTTGGGTATAGGGCAAGGGTTGATGGTGTGGAGAGGCTCCTCCACATCACATGTCAGCATGCTGCTGGAGGTTCAGAAGCATTTTCTGCGCTCCGAAGCTCTAGTTTAAGAACGCAAGCTCCACGATCGAAGCGCTCGGATCGACTCCCATGAAATCCTAAGCCACGTAAGCCACTGGCGAGCCTAACTGGGCGCTTTCGTGCTCTTGGGCCCAGGCCCGTCCCTTTCTTCGGCGCGCTGCCTCCTGGGGTGGCCGACGAGGGCTGCAAGGAGTGGAGCTTCGGGGTGCTCACGCTGAAGGGAGATTCGCGCTGCACTTGCTTGGCGTTTAGGGGGTGGCGACAATTCTCTCGGTCCAGGAGTCTAGGCCTAGGGATTTTTAAGATTTTTTAAGGGGGTGCCGAGATGTCTGGTTGCCGAAGTTGCATGCAAGGCAACGCGCTGCCGCGCACAAGGATGGTTTAGGGTTGAGGGTTTAGAGGGGTTTAGGGGAAAGGGTTTAGGATTCTCTCTGCATCCTCACAAGGGTCCACATGGGTCCACATGGAAATGTGACCCTACGGTCGCATATGCCACCATGTCACTATGTGTTGATCCTTGTTGTCGATCATCCCTGATCCCTAATATTAAAACCCTCCTACCCCCTGGGCGGAGGGGGGGGGGGTAGGGGGTTTCATATTAGGGGGAAGGATTATCATCCCTGATCCCTAAGCCCCTATAAACCACAAACCGCCAAAACCCGAAACCCGAAACCTCTGTGCCAGGACCGGATCCAGGCCTGCGGCGGCGTTTGGGGTTCCACAATTGACGACAAATAGATCATATGGCAAATCGAGTACAGTCCATGCAGTATAAGAATGTAGTTTGCAGTCTTCAATAAATCGGAGTGTTCGTGCTCGTAGCAGGACTGCGCTGCTCTGGGACGACAGCTCTTCGACATCGGCGGCCACTCGGAAGCTTCAGCAAGCAAAGCGGGTTGAAATCCCACACTCCGAAGATGCTGCTTGCGAGTTGCGTTGCCCGGTCGGCTCGCGAGGTCGGTGTCACTATCCTGCCGCAGAGCTCTGTGCCAAGCTGAGCTTTCACAGTCTTTGTGGAACTGCGTGGCGCGCGTAGTTTCCCAGCGCGACGTGGCGCTGCACCATCAAGCCAAAGAAACCCCACGTGGTGGACAAGCTCTTAAATCTGCAAAGCCCAACCGAAGACCCCGCAAGTTCCTGAAGCCGCAACCCGTTTCAAAATCTAAACCCCGATGGAATCAGCCCAAATCCTAAGTCCGGAAGCCCCTGAAGCCTAAGCCCGAGGTATGAAGTGGGGGCCCAAGCCTTCTGCCCTCTGCGGGGCAGTTCTGCCTCATGCGATGTGGGAGCTTCTGTGTCCTTCGTCATTTTGGTCACCGGGCGCTTAACATGAGGGCGTAGGGCTTAAGGCTTTTGCTTGCTTATACGGTTTGTTCAGTCGGATTTCTGATTTGGGTCCAGAGTTTTAGGTTGGGACTTTCCTTGTGCAGGACCCTTGGGGAAGCAAACCTTTGGCAAGAGGCTCTTGCAAGTCATGCTAAGAACGTGGCATCCTTCCGTGCCTGACCTCTATCCGCATGAGCCATCAGCCCTAAACCCCAATCCCAACAACCTAAACCCCAAAACCCAAAACCCCTGAACCCGAAACCTTGACCCCAAGTCGATACTCGTAAGTGCTCAGACAGTCATACATTTTTCAAAAGCCCTAAGGTTTTGGAATCGTTCCCAGGACCTGCGGCCTCTGCTTTCGCGTTCGGGCGGCGCGGCGCTGCGCTGTGCTTCAGGTGGGGGGCGCGGGTCTTTTCTCGGGCCTCAGGGTTTTGGACATACGCTTTGGGACCGACTTAGGACCTAAACTAAACTCAAAGTGTAGATGTAATCATAGATCCAGCCGTAAACACAGAAGATATTGACTTAAGCCTTGATTGGTTGATGGGTTGCTGGAGCTGTGGGGCTTGATGCGAAACGTAAGGCTGCCCACGCAGCTCTCTGTCTTACGCAGTGCACGCTTTGTTTTGCGAAAGCGGCAAAGCGAGGAGGATAAGGGCTCCTGTAAAAGACGAGAGTGTATCCCTGTGGAAATAGCAGTAAACTTGCTGAGAACTGCACAACCAGCATATATCGGGAGCAGTATACAACTGTAGCCGTCAAGACGACTAGAGCTCCAGAACAGAGCCGAAGCCCGAACCTCATAAGCCTTAACATCCTGGAACCCTAAGAACCCTTAGTTCCAAACCCGAAACTGAGCAGGTGGATGCCGGGCGCTTCCAGGCAACTCCGCGCGATTTTCGAACTCCAGACTTTAGACGGGCCGTGACAGGCTGCCTTCGAGCATCAGTGTGCTTTGACTGGAACTTTCCATTACAAGGCGAGTAGGAATCTGCGGCTTGACGAAGAAGGTTGTGGATTGAGTCGAGGGCACTGGATAAGTCGTGGCACTTGCCAGGCGCAGCACATGGACTGGGCACCGAAGCTGCAATGTCAATGCCGAGCGCAGGAGGTCTCAGGATCCAGGGTCTAGGGCAGTCTAGGGTTGCGGGTTGAGGGTCCACGTGAGCTTGACCCCCTTTGGCCCTGGAGCCGCCTGAGCCCTAAGGCCCAATTCCTTGGGGCCGCCGTGGAGAGGTTGCCTGGTGCCAGGCCAGGTTGCTCGGGCTTGGGGTATACTGTAAGCGCTTGGACTTTAAACTTTCTGAGCCTTAGAGGCTTCAAAGCCCTAAGATATCCTAGCCCGAACAGCCCTCAAAAAATCCGATAAGGCACCACAAAAGCCCTACTCACCCCACAGCCCAGCCTCCAAAAACCCTGCGATACGAACAACATGTCTGCCCCATCTTTAGCAGCAGCCTCAGTAGCTTCATAGTCTAAACCCCCCAAGAAGAAACCCCTAAGCAGTCCCAAGCCCTGAGCCCTAAACCCCAAACCCGAAACCCCTGAACCCTCCAAACGCTCTAAACCCTCAAAACCTTCAAAAACCCAATTAAACCCCAAGCCCCCCTAAAGCCCCCCTAAATTGAGTAGGGGCTTTGCCTCAAAAAAGGGGGAAAAGCACCAGGATGCTGAGCACCCAGAAGCCCGTGCTGGCCGAGTTCCCGGGCTTCTTCAGCGCGGAGGAGGCTCCCTCAAAGGGGGGGTTTTTGGGGTCTCTTCTTAGGCGTTCAGGGGGTGTAGAGGGTTGGGTGTTTAAGAGGGCTTCGGGTTTGCAGGGTTTTGGGTTTTGGGTTTGGGTTTTGGGTTTTGGTTTTTGGGTTTTGGGTTTTGGGTAGGGATCATGGAGTACAGGGCTTCATGCCCTACGCCTACGCGTCCCTGAGCCCGAAGTTCTTGCAACTGCAAGTCGCCCCATGACCAGGCGAAGGTGTTGGCTGAAGTGGGCGTTGCTTCGGGCTTCCGGCAAGAGGAGAAGTTTTTGACAGCGCCTGCACGGATGCCATGAATACTTGGAGGTTCATGGGTACTTAGCAGTGGGGTTATAGGTATAGTTACCATGCTTGTGACCCGAGTTATAGCTACTCATGAACCTCCAAGCACCTTGAGCCCATTAACGGCATGTTCTGTTTTGGAGAAGATGTTTGCCTGCTGCCTGCGAGGATGAACTGCCGCGCCTTGGTGCTCATTAAAATGAAGGGCGGGCTCGGTCAATGATGTGATTCGGTTGGAGCCGATAGGTGAGGTTTATAGATGAATAGGTTTAAGAGGCGATGTGAGCGAAGCTTGACAATGTGGGCCACAACTTTGATGATTGAGCATCCTACATTGCTGGCTAAGAGCACAGCTGTGTAATACTTCAGTGCGCATCGACGGGTGAATGAATACGGGTCCCGAGGCGCAGCACGCGCGATGTTGAGAAGATAGACTGCGAAGGCCGCCGCGTGACGGCAGTTTGGGCAACTTCCCAAGTTTTGCGCATCGATACAGCATGGGAGTTTCCGAGTATTGGAGGTCCCTATAGAAAGTGTTGCAGTGGGCCCAGGCCCAGAGCCCATCGCAGGGCTCTGCAAGTCCACGGGTCCGCTGAGAAACCCGAACTACTAAACCCTAGCCTCCGCAATCCCTAACGGCCCTCGCTGAGGAGTCTGTCTTCTGAACCCGATGGTCCAGGAGGTCTACCGGCGTGTCTCCGACCTTCTAGGCGCGGGGCCCTCGCAGATTTTGGGGCTTGAGCGGGGCCTCCCATGCAAGTAACCTCCCGCACCCCAAAAATGCACCAAAGCTCGGCCCGAAGATCAGCCAGGCATCCCGCCATGGAACTTTGAATCCATGGAGCCGCTCGGCCGAGCTTTGCAACCCAAAAGCCGAGGAACCCTCAACACTCGCCACGTCGATGATCGTCGATGCGATCTTCTGATGGCACCCGAGGTTCCTGCAGTACCGGCATGGCCCAGCTCCCAGACACTTAAGGCTTGAGGGGTGTTGTTGCGTGCTGAGACGCGGCATCGCTGCCTCTGAAAGTCCATACTTCTAGTCTAGCAGTTGTGATGAAAAAAAAGCACTCCGTTTCGATCGCCCGCACAATTCACAAGTCCCCTGGCTTCGGCTTTGGACGAAGAGCCTGTATTGGTTGGGTAAGTACAGCAGGCGAGCCATCAAAAGGCCGCGGTGGAAAAACCCGAGCACCTGCCGTGAAACCCTGAGGCCAGCATTACCAGGCGCACATGGACGATGACACTTGGAAAGAGATGCCGGCCCTCAGTGCAGGATTCCAACCAACAGCCTAATTGAGCCACCTGAGAGTGACGGTCCGACATTGCGAGGACTGCGCGTCCTGACGGTGCTGTTTACCTTTGCCGAGGCACCTGGCCGTAGTCACGGCCGGTCGGAGGGTGATGTGGACCCCGTGACCACTCGGTTGAGTTTAGGGATGTTCAGGCTGAAATTGTCAGCCATCACAACCCTGTGAACTACTTGAAAGCGCTCCAAGCTCAACCCCAATGAACTCCTTGAGCCCTGAGTCCCCAAACTTCAGTGAAGCCAGGCGACTGAGGGAGGACGCTTGCCTGCCTTTGGTTTTTTGGGTTCAGGGCCTGATGGCAGTTTCACATCAGGAATCTTCACAGGGGGAGTTGCTCTGTTCGGCACCTTCGGGTCGCGTTCTCAGGGGTTTTCGCGGGAATGTGCCTACAGCACCTTTTACCTCCTTGTTCAACTCCGAGCTTTGGGAGAGAACCTACTTTTTGTATTACTGTCATTCCCTGCCTGGGCAATCCTTCGCAGAAAATAGAGCTCCCTAGCACTCAAGGCGAAACGCGCTTCCCACGGGCCAACCTCGACGTCAAGCCGGCGGCAGGCAACTCTTACTCAGACCCTTCTTCGCAGGTTTCGAACCCATCTGCCTTGCCCAGAGGCACTGCCATCATTTGGGCAAACGCTGCCACGAACATCTGGCCACCTGGCTTGCAAAGCATCCGAGACTCCTGTGACAAGAACTCCGAGGAAGCACCCAAACAACAACTGCTATATCCCCCTTGGGATTTATCTTCAAATGTTGTTTATATAAAACCCAAGAGGATATTAAACATATTATCATATTACTTTGATTAGGGTTAAAAAGGGGAGTATAGACTGTCCATTGGGCCTCCGAGGAAGCTCGACCCCTTCGCGCAGCACCAGGCGATGCCGGTGGTGTCCGGCACCAAGATCGCCGCCTGGCTTCAGGAGAAGTAGCCCGGCCTTGGCAGATCTTCACAGCCTTGAGGGCCCTAAGCCCCAACACTAAACCTCCTAATTAAACCTGAAACCCTAACCCGAACAACCCTAAACCTTAGACCTTAAACCCTAACGCCACCTTCAGCTTCAAGTATACATGGCGGCTGCCACGGTTGGGCCCTCAAGCTCAGACCCTCCGCTCTCTCAAGCCTGGGAGGAACAGGCTCCAAGCGCCAAGCAAGAAGCTGGGGTTCAGGGTTTGGACCAGTTCAGGGCGCAGGCTCGGAATCCCGAAGCCCTTGCCCTCAAGATTCCGAAAATTTTCGGAAGATTCCTAAGTGGCCCTATATGTACGCCCCAAACCAGATAGACCCCGAGCCCTACCACAGGCCGCAAACTTCTGGGTGCATCCCTTCGAATTTCGAGCCTTGGCCTGCGAGCTGTGCATGTCAGGTCATCCCATCCGCCCAAATTTCTTTAGATCACCCAAAGAGGCCTTGTGGGCGGTAACTGCCAACTACCAGGAACCATTTTGGTCTGTAGTGTCTGAAATCTTAAGCAACCACCGACCGGCAGTTACCCTGAGCATCTCACCTCTGCCTTTTGTGTACTTGGGCATGTGCGGTGCGTGGTTTGGGGTGGAGGAACTCCCTGATCATGGTTGGGCCCCGGCACTTTGATGACGCGGGTGCGAAGTGAGGCCGTGTGTCCTACTAGGAAACAACCCCCCCCCCCCCTTGTGGCGCTTCTTTGTCATATGTCTTCCTCTTGTTTCCACATGCTCCGAAGCCCAGGTGCTGCCGAGAGATATTGCGGATGAGCAAGAGAACCTGAGAGTATCATGCGGCATCTGGCAGCCCACCGAGCAGGCCCACGGTCAGACAGCAAAACTGCCAGCGCGCAGCTCCTCACATGGGTCTGGCGAAGTAAGCTTGAACCCAAAGCCCTGAATACCCTGTTGGCTGGCATGCCTCAGCTTTCGCCCAGTATGGCCAACGCGGATGTCAGGGCACTGGCGGCCAGAATCTTGCAAGGCAAAGGTCGCGCGTTCCGGGCCTCGACCTCCACCTCCACCACCTTTACTGGCAGCGCATGCGCGTGCGGACACTCCACCTCCGCTTGCCGAAGCGTACGGGAGCCACACAGCAAGACGTTGACGCTGCGACATTGAAGCCTCGACAGCAAAAAGTGCTTGCGGCCATCGCTTCTTTCGCAGCTTGACTGGGTCTTGTTTATTTTTTTTGAAAGAAAACACAGCAAAGCATATACTACGATCATATGGGTGTACACATCTACACAGTAAAAACCATCTTATTCTGGCGCCCACATCGTCCGGCACGCAGAGGGGTAGGGCCGAGCGGTACCCTGGTAGGTCAAGCAAGCCGATTTACCCATTTCCAAATCATACCAAAACGGGGGTGGGCACATTGGGGTCGCTGAGGAGGAGCCTCTGATGCAACATGGCCGAGTGTAAGGCAATTTTGAGTTCCTTCAAGAACAACCCGGATTCTGAGGTCCCTCAGTCTGTCGCGTTGTCCTGCGATGCCCCGGCGTGTCCTCGGCTCAGCCTCTAAGTTGTTAGTGGGGAATGAAGGAATTTGGTACCGGCCTCACTCCCCAAACCAGCCACGGAGGCCACGCCGTGGCTCTGGTCTCCGCGCCCTGGGAGGGCCAGCGGAATGTGCTGGAGATCGTCGGAGGCTCATTTGGTGCCAATTGGGCTCCCGGGGTGCTAGACTTCAGACCCCAAAGCGTGGCTAGTCCGAAGTAGAAGCAAGACTGCTTGTGAGTGTAGCAGGTGTGGTGCATGCAGAATGCGAGCGCGTCACCAGCAGGCTTTGGCATCTTTGACAGCTGAGGTTCTTCCTCCCAACATGGACAAGATCACGGACACGGCGCGCAGGGCAGGGAACAGTTTCACAGCGGTAGAACCGTCGCAAAGACGCACGTGTGCCAGACCCGCCTCCACGCATGACCAATGAAGACTTGAGTACATGGTAAGCATGCTACTCACTGTCAACTGCGTGAAGGTGATGCACACTATCGTCCTCAGTGGCAGTGACCTTGGCAACTCTGTGAAGTCATGCCGAGGCTGCCCGGCTCTCTCCTGCCAACCTCGGGTTGTTGTGTGCAGTTTCAAAAGGCCGCAACCAAGAAATGATAGTCCATCGGAAGCCCTAGCATCTCCCTCCCAGCCCCCCAAGTCCGCAAGACACCACTTGAAACATATGGGCACACCCCTCAACCCTATAAGGCCCTAAACCCTATCTAGTCCCCTAAACCCTACTACAACCCTCAGCCCTACCTAAACCTCATAGTGTTGCGGGCCTGAAGATCTGCGTTTTTTTTTTACATGCCGCCCCCAGGCCCGACTTTGCATCTGCCGGCGGGGGGCTTCATGCCCTGGGCCCCAGGAGCTGAGGATTCAGAGCAAGAAAAGGAATTTTAAAAATAATGGGCTTTTAGGTTTTCAGGGTTGTTGTCGGTTGGGGTTTAGAGGATTACAGGGAGGACCCCTGACTGCGCCAGTCAGCAGACTCAAGCAGTTGGGGGCCCCAGTTCCCTGCTTGGGGGGTTGCGTGGCCCCTCATTCGGGGCATCCCGGCTTTTACATGGTAGACAATCCATGGACAGTTCACTGGGTCACCCTATAAATCTCAAGGCGGTTCCCTGACAAACCCCAAGCAACTTTTTTTTCTGAGGGAACGGGAGGGAATCCACTCCAAAAGGCTCCCCTTGGCCCCCTGAGGATTTATAACAGCGCCCCCACGGGTTGGCTTGGGTGTTTGGGCCTAAGGTTCGGGGGGTACAAGAGTTACTAGTCGGGGTGCCCTAAGATAGAGCGGTCCGTGTTTACAAGCGTCTCCTCCTAACATATCTGTGGTTCTCTTTCTTAAGGGTCCTTTTTGGGTCCCTATATAAAAAAACGGCGCCCTCATCATACTGTAAGCTCTCTCTGAGGCCCTCACGGCTCTCTGCCGAGTTGATCGCCCCTGGCACGGAGGATGCCGCCGAGAGGTGGACCGCCGTGGTAGGGGTGGGGAGGCTTTTCGGGGTTCAGTGGGTCCCAGGTCCCAGGTGTCATTGTTTTTCCATGTAATGCTCGTAGGCGATGTGTAGTCTTGAGGTTCTGCTTGTTGTTTCTCAACCTGCAGCCCTGAACTCTGAAGCTTGGCTGCTCCAGCAGGCGGGTGTCCTACATGGAGTCTGTTGGGGTCCTTCCCTACGCAGCACTCGCGGTCGTGGCGATCTTGGCCGGTCCAGGGGTTGTGGTGCTGTTAGAGAAGCATTGTGTGCAAACAGGCGCAGGGTGTTGCAACACCGTTGTTACGAGAACGTTGTACTGTCATACTGTGCACGGAAAACGCTCTGCGCTAGATTTAGGCGCTCGTAGGAGACAGGCAAGCAATGGAGGCTGCTGTCAAGCACAAAAGACTTCACGAAGCAGCCGCCGCGCCCAACGCCTCTCTGTCCAACGCATGAGATCAATCGGGCTGATGACTGAGGTGGGCGGCGTGCTTGCGCGTGATGGCGCCGAGCGGCCTTTTGCAGGTGATGCGCGGAGCCTCGGAGGGTTGGGGCATGTTGGGGTTTGGAAGCTGGAGGAATGCAGGTTGCGATCTGTGGACTCAGCGATGAACTCTACATCCTGCGCCCGAAGAACCCTTAAACCCGAAACGGTCGAGTTCGAAGTAGGTCTCGAACAGCATCTACTTCCGCTTCAAGCTGGGCTCCACGCTGCTCTCAGGCCGGGCAAGCCCCATCAAAATCATCAGGGGAGCTGCTGGAGTCCCTCAAGCGTAATGAGTAAGGCAGAGTAAGGACCCTTGATCAGAAGGCAGCCGGGACACAGCTGTAAGGGAGCCCACCAGGAAGCCTCCAAGCGGCTTTCACCGTCCAACTGCCGGGTGCCCACTCCTGGAAGCTGAGGTTTAGCGGTCTCCCAGCTTTCATTCTTATCTCCTCTGGTTCCTGACTCTTGTGTGTTGGATGCATTAGGTGGCAAGACTGAAGTTGCAGCCTCAAACGCTCAAACCTTCTAGGGGCCTTAAAGCCCTGAACCCGCCCACCCTTAACCTTGCAATCTCCAAAACCCTATGTAGATTCTTAGAATCTGAAAACATTAGAAGCCCGCGGCCGGTTTGCCAAGGCCAGCAGGTTATGTCGTCAGGAGCGTCAATGTCGTCGGGGCCCCCATGCTCTGCGCTAGCGGAAGTAGCCATGCATGCATGCCAGAGTCAGAGCGGCCTGTTGTGACGAAGGTATTTTTCGGCAGAAGCTGTATGCAGCTTCGAGTAGATTGTGATCACTCCGGTCGTTTGAGGACGGTTCTGTTGAAGCATGTTTTGTTGACAATCATGGGCGTCTCTGGCGCTTCGCATCAAGAGGACTTGCGCTGCCCGACTAAAAAGCACCCTACACCACAACCCCAAAACTACTCGCACGCCTATGACTGAACTACTCAATATCCACAACTCCCCGATTTGCTAAACATGAACCCCCAGCCCCCTTTCTCCCGAGGCCCCGCCTGACTTGGTGACCCTCTCCTCTCGGCGGCTCTCCGGGTCCGGGGGCCCAGACGGCCTCCCTTATGTTCAGCTGCTTGTCACTTTAATCGTCACCTCGGCCGAAGTTTTGAACCTGTTATTCTTGCACCGTTCGTGACTTTCGCAGATGCGCCTCCCTGATTTTTCATGCTTGGCCCAACCGACGCCGCACTTGAGCAGCGTGTGAAAGATGAGACTACACCGTGACGACGCGACCCTCTTGAGGAGGCCCCTGGCATTCAAAACGGCAGTTGCGTTCAGCCCTTCCCGCTCATGCTTTTTTTGGAAATTGGCCACGATCCGAGGCCAATTTCATTCTCCCATCAAGGTGTAAGCAGCCGTTTTGGGCTCCGATGGCTGGATTTTGATGGGAGCATGGCGGTCCTCAAAAATTTTTAAGAATTCTGGGAAATTCCGGGGGGTGACACAGGGCTCTGAACGCATTGGCCTGTGTTGTGATGCTCGCTTTACTGCGGCATTCGAGTTGTGCATGGTTCTTTCTCTGGTCTTGGGTCCCGAACTCAGGCCACAAAGCCGTGGGCAGTTGACTGCCGGGACGTGGAGTTGCGCCACTAGGACCGGGCTCAGGTTAAGGCTTTCGCGCATGCAGGGGGTGGGTGATGCTCTCGCTCTCGCTCTCGCTCTCGTGCTCTCTCTCTCTCTCTCGCTCTCGCTCTCGCTCTCTCTCTCTCTCTCTCGCGCTCTCTCTCTCTCTCTCTCTCGCTCTCTCTCTCTCTCTCTCTTTCTCCGTCCGCGGGTTCAGAAATTGAAGCATATACAACAAGAAAAGATTTTCAGAGACATGTTCATGGCGTTCCGACGGCTTTCCAATTTTTATCCGCTGCTGCTGCTGCTCCACTTGAGCTTCTATGTATCTTTGGCGTTCACATAAGATTGCCCGTTTGGGACGCTGGGACGGAAAGGACCTGCACCTTCACCATGGACAGCCACGCAGCCATCTACAGTGGCTACGTGGTGGTGCCTCTCTTACGAGTGAAGCTGCCCCCCTCTTGACCTGGGGGTTTTCGAAAATAAGGGGCCCCGAATAAAGACCCCCAATAGTAGGATTCCCTTCTAATCAGGACCCCAATCAGCCCCCAATTTCGGAAACCCCCCACATCGCAAGGTGGTGAAGAGTCAGGGCCTCCCGAGTCGGGATATGCCACGGCTGCAAATTGCAGGGCACACCTTGAATTCGAGGGTTACACGCCCAAAACCCTTGACACTAAATCCCAAATCAAGGGACCCCGAATATAGACCCCAATTAGTAGGATTCCCTTCTAAGCAGCGCCCCACCATTTAAGAATTTGGTTCCTTTCAGGTGCACCTCGTGGTGGACAACCCGGCCATCCCGCTAAAGCTGCAGGACACGGCGAACCGCCAGCCCGGCTGTGTGAGCCCAGGGAGCCGCTCCGCATAAGTCTTCCTCTGCCTTGAACCTCAAACCCTAGACCCTAGATCCTGCACCCTAAACCCTAAACCACCTCTCCCCCTCTCTCCCCCTCTCTCCCCCCTCTCTCGGGGCTTTCTACTCCCCTCTCTCTCCCATCCTCCACCTCCCCCTACCCCCTCCCCTCCCCCTCTCTCCCCCTCTCTCCCCCTTTCTCCCCCTCGCTCCCCCTCTCCCCCGCTCTCCCCCCCTGTCCCCGTGAACTCCCGTTCCTTGCCAGGCTGGAGCATGGCGGTCAGTGGCCCCGGGGATGCAGCGTCTCTAGCGGTGCTGCCGGCAAGGACGTAAGGGACCCGGAGAACGGGCTGTCAGTCGGAAATTCGGGAGTCAGGTGCCATATACAACTGACATACATACGGAAACCACCATACATACATATGTCTTCTGTAATATATATATATATATATATACGTATCCATTGACCCGGGAAATTGGGTCCCCTTTTCCGGGGGGGGGGGGGCGAAGACAAAATTCGAAGACGAAATTTGGCCCAGCCGAAATTAGGCCCTGAAGACGAAATTCGGCACTGAAGACGAAATTCGGCCCCTGAAGCCTAAATTCGGCCCTGAAGCCTAAATTTGGCCCTTGAAGCCGACTTCAAGGGCCCAATTTAGGCTTCAGGGCCAAATTTAGGCTTCAGGGGCCGAATTTCGTCTTCAGTGCCGAATTTCGTCTTCAGGGCCTAATTTCGGCTGGGCCGAATTTCGTCTTCAAATTTCGTCTTCGAACCCCCCCCCCCCCGGAAAAGGGGACCCACTTCCCCGGGTCTCTGTTTCTATCTATATATATATATATATGTGGTGTTTATTATTCCACAAAGTGATGGGATCGACATGTCGGAGTGCTGCAGCAGTGGCTCATGTGCAAGGGTGACCGACAGCTGTACCTCTCTGTATCCACCGGCGTTCTCAGTCCTCTACACGTCGCTCTTGCTCTGGTGCCAAGGCTGGAGCCGGGAACATCATCGGATCAGGCCGGCAAGCGCAACTGAATCGGGTCGTGCAGGGGACGCTGTTCGTTTGCCCAGCAGAAGTTGCTGGTTAATGAAATGTCGAGAGGCTCTGTACACCCCGTCATCTGCCCGCGACCCAGAGCCTCCGGTGCTATCGCCAGGAAGTCGCAATCCGCCTCTCTTCTCGTTCTCCACCTGCCCTTTCTCTTTTGAGGCCGTTCTGGGTCGCCTCTCCGAGATCAGCGCGGCAGCTCAGGGTTGAGGAGCTGGGGCATGGAAGAGTCCTTGTCTCGCACTTTGAAGTTCATGTACTTGTTCTGAAAGTTGAAGCAGTCGAAGGGTCTGGAGTGTTTGGAGTGTTGGCGGGATCCTCGGATGTCCTCGATCGTCGCTCGCTGATCATCCTCATGTCTGGGTCAGATGCTCGATTTCACTCCTTTCTGTTACTTGCTCCGGGCCTGATCTGCGCTTTGCGTCTTAGGCCTGACCCCAACGAATTTCTGGCAAGGCGCGGCCAGGAGTTCGCGGCTCAGTGGCAGCGGAAGTTTCCATAGCCCAGTGCTGCATGACTATACGAGGCGCTCGGGTTTTCGTCAGGCGCTGCTGGTAGGCCGCCTTCAGAAGCAGGAGCCGCGCGTTCATGCAGCCATTTTGGCTCCGCGAGGGTTAGAACCGGCTTCCTCCTTGTGTACAGCTAGAGCAGAGGGTCGACCGCAGGACAGAAGGAGAGGATGGATTTCAGGATGGCGTGCATGATGTTCTTCGCCGTTGTCATGGGAGCTGCGGGGCATGAACCTGAGGGAAACTTGAGGGGAATGAACGACAGCCGCACAGAGAGTGCCAAGGCCCTGTTGGGTGGCAATGCAAGTTGGCGTCTTCCGATTCCCGAGGTCACGAACTTCACAGACTACATCAGAAACAGCTTAAACGTCTTCCAGTTGGCATTGAACAGCGCAATTGGCGGACCCTCTGTCAACAGTCCGAATGGCACACTTGCGAACAACAGTCAGAATGCCTCGCGTGAAGACCTAAAGTACCGGTCCTGCCTGTGCATCTTCGATGTGGACAGGACATTGACTGGACGTCAAGGTGACACACGGAGCTGTCCGGGGAACAGGGTGGTTTCTGGAAGTTATGATGATGCATATGGTGGTGGATCGCTCACGCTCTCCCAGTTGGGCCAGAACCTGTGGCACACGTTCTGCGGCTCGTGCCATGTTCGGGCCATCACGGCTCATCCCCATCGTCGGCCGAACCTGCCCATTTCGGAATCCGTTGTTGGCTGCAACGAGGGCTGCAAAGCATACCATGCTGGGCGGATGGCCTCAGAGCTAGGAATTGCCAAGTCAGAGGTCTACATGTTTGATGACAAGGCCAGCAACATCAACCCTTTCCGTGGCACGGGCATGAATGCTCATCAAGTGTCCTGTGGGAGCCGAGAAGGTGGCCACGGTCTGTGCGGGGCCACGCTTGGAGAGATCCAGAAGGCAAAAGGAGTCACAACCTGCTAGGCCAAAATAGCGTTGACTCGTTTCATTTCGTCCTTCTGCAGTTGGTGGCCACTTCGAAACATCAACACGGTGAGTGTGGCAACTCACTGACTGCTGAGAGGCGGGACGCATGTCAATGTAGTTTCAAAGATGCACTAGCCCGTTGGGCTCTGGAATTCACTCCGACTAGTTGCAGATGCCGTGAGGCTGATGAAACCTTCAGTCCAGTGCTTCTCCTATACGAGACATCCTAAATTGCCTGATGGTGTCTCAGGTGGACTGGACTAGAAATCAAGCCTCACTCTGTGATTGGGCTCTACCCACCCCGAGCAATCCTCCAGCCCTTCTAGGATCCGTTCTTGAGGCATGGCCCGCGTCTTCTTCCGGACGCAGCAGGGCTGGGCAGCCGGCCACCCAGTTTGAGTAGTTTTTTCACGCTTCGGTTGCAGAGTCTATAGAGATTGGGTGGCGTGGGTTCTGAGTTCAGGGTGCTGTTCGCTTCGGAGGCGTGCCTCAGTTAGCTCCAAGGGATTCTGAGACTGTCGCGGTGTCTCGGCACTTGGAGCGTTTGAACTTCCACTGCACTTGCGGGGCCCCAGTGGCCCTTGCTGCCGCAGGGCCGAGTAGCTTTGCAGCTCACGGCCCCCTCCAGCGGCTTTGGCTTCGATGCCGCCTGCACCGTGGAGGCTGTAGGGGAGGTGTTGACTCCGAAACTTCTGATGCTAATCTTTGCAGCTTCAATGCTTCCTGTGGCATGGTAACCCTAAACCCTAAACCCTAAACCCTAAACCCTAAACCCTAAACCCTAAACCCTAAACCCGAAGACATGGTCGAATTCCTTGAGTTCTTGAGCAACAGCCGGACATCAAAGTGCTCTCTTCAATGCGCCATGCAACACGGTACTGTATCGTATCCGTCGGAGGATCTGCCAGCATCCTACTACCTCCCTCAGCAGAGCCTCCTGGGCCGGAGCAGTAGTGCCTCGGCAGCACTTTGCCGCTGTCAGTTCCGCTAAATTGCACGAGGCTTCTAAACCCGAATCGCTGGATCCCTAAGAATCCTGAAGGTCCCTAGCCTTATACATCCTGCAAGCCATAAGAGACCTGGAGATCCTGGAACAAAGGCTTGGTGAAGGTAGACCCTTAACGCCGGCGTCAGCCAAGGTGCCGGGTTTCGGAAGTTGCAGCTTAAAGGGAAGACTGCTGACGTTCTGTTGCGAGCCTTCCTTCTGCCCGCTCGAGTATAGCCTTGTCTTCGCTTTGCTCTGGTGCTGGGTTTCCCATTCCTCACGCTGATGGGAAAGTTCTATGATGCTCTGTGAATGTCAGCCTTCCTCCGAGCTACTTGTACAGGGCCCCTAAGTGAGTGAACGTCACCAGAATCGCCAATCCGTACATCTGAGAGCCTGGATTGTCTGACCAAAACCACAAAAGCCCCTCAGAGACCCTAAACCCTAAACCCTAACCCTAAACCCTAAACCCTAAACCCTAAACCCTAAACCCTAAACCCTAAACACCTTCAACCCCAAAACACCCTTACGAGGTGCCGAGCAGGGCGCGTCTCAGGGAACGGTCCGGAGACTGCCGAAGGCTTCCCGTCTCTGTCTAGGACAGCTCAACGCAGCAGGGCCAACCTAGCTTCTTTTTGGGTTTAGAGGTTTAGAGGTTTAGGGTTTAGGGTTTAGGGTTTAGGGTTGGTGCTAGATTCTCACGCTATCCCATCATCAGGGCTTAGAGCCTGTGATGTGACACACCAGGTGGAGGCCTGCCATGGGGTGCACGCCAGGCACCCAGGTCTCATGCAGAAAGTCTCCCTGCTTCGGATCTTTTAGGAGCGTCCTCGCGGCGGAGTTTGTCATTTCTTTTCTTCGTGGGGAGGGGGTGAATTCCAGTTTGTCATTTCTTTTCTCTGGGGCGGAGGGGTGAGTTCTAGTGCATACATTCCTGGTAGTTCAATGTGCCGAAAAGGACCTTTACGCAGATCAACCCCGAATCGCAACCCACCTCCCCTAAAGGTCTCCACTCTGCAGCCGCCAGAGTCAGACTGGCTGGCGGACTGGAGGGATAAACGCGTCTGCGGGGGAGGGCGGGGGGGGGTCCCTTTTTTCTTGCGGTTCCTTACAGTTATATTAAATTGCTAGAGAAGAGACCCGGAAAGTGCGGCTGGCAACAACTGCGGAGCTTTCCAGGGTTGAAGTTCCAAGCATCTTGGTTTCTGCGAAGAAGCGTCATCTTGACAACTGAGAACCCGGTGAGGAACACGAGTAAGGTAGTGATGTGCACATCCTGAAGCTTGAAGAGTGGCCTCGCCAGGCGTGCCTGTAGTTGCTAGAGTCTTTCGAAGTCGGATGACAAGAATGCAAACGTGGAACCCTAAACCCAAAACCCTAAACCCAGAATTCTCTTTCCAAGTAAGACTGCACGAGGAGTTCTACGCACTGCCGGGCCGGCTGCCCTCCCACGCAGAGATTCTCGCAGAAGGTGCCGATTGTTAGATTTCATTAAAGTAGCCATTTTGAAATAATAGGCTCCATGCATCCGGTCGAACTCTCGAAGTTGAACAGGAAGAAACTGTTGTCCCCATCATGATGCCCGCAGCCCTGCAGGTCCCCTCATCGAAGCTGCGACTTATGCTTTCGCCATCCTCGTGCGCCATACCAACTCCTTCCAGCCGTCGGCAGGCGAGGGGAGAGATGCACGAGTTTCACACGGAGACGCATATCTCCAGGTCTTCTTGGGCAGCGAGAGCCCCTAGCTACAGGCATTGTCAGTTCACCTCCTGCGTGTTCTGGGGGGCATCTATTGTCATCTCATTCGATCTCGATTTGACATGCTGAGTTGCAGGTGGATTCATGCTCGCCAGCTACATTCACACGGAATCTTGGCTGCCAGTACTGGTCAAGAAGGGCTTCGGATAGGGATGCAGAAAGTCGAAAGTCTTTTCCCCGATGAGGTTGCAAGCTACCCTCCTCTGATGTGCATCGTTGGGCGGTAGGCTTGCCCAAGCCCCCATGACCAAGCCTTCCCCCTTCCCCCTAACTCTAAACCCCCAACCCTAAACCCTACTAAACCCCACACCCCAAACCCCAAACCCCAAACCCCAAACCCCAAACCCCAAACCCAAACCCTAAACCCTAAACCCTAAACCCCACCAAGAACCCAGTGGCCAGGAGGCCTCCTGGCAGCTCCTCGACCGCAGCCCTGCGCCCTTGCCGCTGCTGCCCGCCACGGCCAGCGACACCTGGCCCGGGTATGGGCTCTACCTGCTGGTGCGCGCAGCGGGATTAGGGTTTAGGGTTTAGGGTTTAGGGTTTAGGGTTTAGGGTTCAGGTTTAGGGTCCGTCAACCCTAAACCCAAAACCCTGAAACCCTAACACATTCCAGAAGCTGGAATGCCAGGCTGCTCCGGACGGGTTGAGCGCAAGGGTCGTTCCACGGCTGCCCTTCGCGCAGACGGCGCTTCCCGGAGAAGTGCAACCTGGCTTGGGGATTTTTGGGGTTTCGGGGTTTAGGGTTTAATTAAGATTCAGGGTTTACAGTTTAGGGTTTGGGTTTGGGATTTAGTTGTAAACGCTTGCGCGCGCCGCCTCGGCAGCCGGGCCGGCCCCAGGACAGGAAAAGGAGGAAAGAGGGTTTTTACAAAAAACGGGGTGGGGGTGGGGGGGGGTGGGGTGGGTTGGGGTGGGGGGGGGTGGGGTGGGTTGGGGTGGAGGGGGGGGGGGGGGGGGGTGGGGGCGCTCCCTCTACACAGACCCTTCACGTCATCGGTTTGCAGCTCCTCAAGCCGGGGGGGGGGGTGTCTGTCACAAAATTTTGCATGGGGGAAGGGTTGGGTTCGGGCTTGTTCCAGATGCTTCTCGGCAGGAAGCCGAGGCGAATTTAGGGGTTAGGGTTGACGGGCTATATAGGGTTTAGGGTTTATGTTTGAACTTCCAGCGTCGCATGATGCAGTTCATGGCCCCGCCGCGATCTGCGGCTTACCACGTTCTTTGTGAGATGGTTCAGCACCGCCTTTACCAAGTAGACCGGTATGCGACATGCGACACGTTCATAAGAGGGGTGGCAGTGCAAAAGCATCACACGGCTAGACCCCGTAGGCAGAGCAAATGCAAAAGCTTGCCATGCCGAATCGGCACACATGTCAACATACCACAATTCAGTTGACCTGCTTGAGAGGATAGTAGGCTCAGATACATGCTATGCCATCATAGGACAGTGTAGACATGGCAGCTACGGCGCGGATCGAAGAAGACCTCTCGCAGAATCGATTCTTGCAGGTGCTGCGTGCCAGCTTTGAAGGTATTTACCGGCAGGCTGCAAAAGGGGGTGAGAAGACCGTGGTACTGGTTCCCTGCGCAGACTGCCTAGAAGCTGAGCATTTCGCACAGAATTTTGCGGAGACGCACTTGCTTCACGCGACATGCGTTCCTGGATGCTATACAAACCTTCTCGGACAGGGTGTGGAGATCAAGGACAGCAGCGTGTCAACTCGCCTCGGGTTCTCAGAGCAGCGAGTTTGTGAGGTTCTTCAGAGCGAGTCCATGTACGACGTAGGCAACACATTCCGCGTGCTGGTCATCGACAAGCCGCTGATCGGGCGGCACCGGCCGCTGCCGGGTGCCGCCGACCGTGCTAAGGCAACGACAGAGGCGTCCGAGCTGTCCGTGGACGACATGCTGCTGCAGGCCCCGATGATCCAGGGCGACTTCTTCGATGAAGTGGACCGATTCCGGAAGACTTTCGTGCAGGTGGCCGGCTGTGAGAGCCGAACCGCAGACAGGATCCGCGAGATTGTGAACGGTGCGGTGCAGCGCCTCTGTCGACACCACAAGCTGACGTCGTCCTCGCAGCTTCGGCAGCTGGAGTTCACGGTGAGCCGCCAGGCATACACAGCTCTGCACTCCTTCGTTTTCCCCCACTTGCAGCAGATCCTGGAATCGCATGAGGAGCGGCTGCAGAGAGCGATCCGCTCCTACGGCTCCGTGGAGGATGTGGTGGAAGCCATCCCGGAGGGAGGAGGCCGCGGGTTGGCGCTGGTGGACATCTCGGAGGCCGCCAGAGAGCTGGAGCTGATGGACCAGAAGATCGCGCCCCACGAGCGCCTCGGAAGAAAGCCCGGCTGGAACCCGTTGAACTTGGCAAGCTAATGTCCCAAGACCACGACGTGTTCAAGGCTTCGCCTCTAAACCCCCAGGCCCTGGCAGCCTTGTTTCTGTCCTGTAAGGAAGATCGAGTGCATCGACAAGGCCCACAGCTCCCTGCAACGCTGTGTCGCCGACTGTCTCCAGGAGGCCCGGCCGGCGGCTCCAATCGAGATCACCGGCGACGACGTGCTGTCTTTGCTCCTCGCCTCCGAAGTACTCCGACGTGTATCGCGCATAGTGCAGTTTAGGGAGCGGCTAGGGTTCAGAATTGCGGTTTGGCTGCAGCTGTGCTGGAATCGCAGAACAACCGTCATAATGGTAGGGATACCTTCAGTGCCAATGCAGGTTCATCCTCGTGGTGTACCGAAGCCAGGCGCGCCACGAGCGGCCAAACGCCGTAGCGCGCAAACCCAAAAGCCCTCCTTCAACCCCCCTTCCTAAATCCTACACCCTGTACCCCGAACCCCTAATTAAGCCCTATAAACTCTTTGCACCCTCAAAGCCCCAAGACCCCCCCCAACCCAAACCATGAGCACTTTGAGGTGAAATCCTTCCTGGCACACATCGCCCACGTGGAGATGTATCTGCAAGGCTCAAGGAGCCGCTCTGGGGGCAGCGAGGACCGAGCGAAGGGGGTTCAGGGGTCTTGCAAGGGGATCTCTTAGGGTTAAGCCTGCGATTCAGGGTTTTAGGGTTTAGGGTTTAGGGGTTGGGGTTTTAGGTTTTTTTGGCCTAAATACCTCCAAGGCCCAAAACCACCTAAATCTCTACACCCTACATCCTAAACCCCTCCCTAAACCCTAAGCCCCGCCCAAAAGCCCCCTAAATTCCCCCAAAATCCCAGAATCCTTGCGGTCCTCCCTGAGGCTGCCCGCTTCGAGGAGGCCGGCTACGCCGTCTCCGCCCTGCAGGTGGGCCAAAGCTACACAGTCTCTTCTCTTCTGCGGTTTAGGATTTTAGTGTTTAGGGTTTAGGATTTTAGTGTTGAGGGTTTAGGGTTTAGGGTCTAGGGTACTCTAAACCCTAACTTCAGAGGCCGGCCTCCAGTTCTTCCTCGAGGAGGGCCGGGCGACGGCGGCGGCGAAGCCCACGGTCTTCGCCCAGTATTTGCCCCTTGGATCGTCGCTGAGAGGGCTTTCGGGTTTTGAGGTATTAGGTGTGAGGGTTTATTGGTTTTAGGGCTTAGGGTTTTGAGGTGTTAGGGTTTGGGGTTGAGGGTCGAGGGTTTAGGGCTTAGGGTCTGGGACTCAGGTTAAGGGTTCAGGGGTTCTTGCTTCAAGGTTGGATTCCAGGGTTGAGCCAATGTTGGAGGGGAGGGATGAGCAGCTCTCTGGCTCAGAGTTGAGGATCGTCCCTTGAAGGACAAAAATTTAGGGTTTAGGGTTTAGGGCATGGGAGGCTGGTGAAGCAGCCAGTTGAACCCGCTGATGCTTGGGGGACAGTTCAGGTCACTATCACAGATTGCTCAGGTAGAGAGCGTTGAAACCATAGACTTCTCGCATAGACCTTTAGCAAGCACAAGCAAATCCCCCCTTCCGCGAACCGGTCGACAAAGGCAGCAAAACGCAGAACCAAGAGCTGCAACCCCCAACCTTAAATCTTCAACCCTCAACCCTCAACCCTCAACCCTCAACCCTCAACCCTAAACCCTAAACCCTAAACCCCTAAACCCTTTTCTCTCAAGGCCCTCGGGCGGCCTGGCTGGAGACCCTGGTGAGGCGGGACTGCAGGGCCTCGTTCGGCAAGTGAGGGCCCAGGCTGCGATGCGGTGACGGCGAGAAGACAAAAGGGGGGGTTTGAGGTTTAGGGTTTAGGGTTAGGGTTTAGGGTTTCGGGTCTAGGGTCTAGGGTCTAGGGTTTAGGGTTCAGGGTATAGGGTTTTGGGTTTAGAGTTTAGGGGCTTTGGGGATGTACAGGTTACGGGCAGCTTCGGGCTCGCCAATTCTAAAGGTTTTTTCTTTGAGGGCCGAAGCTTGGGGTGCCATGGCGTGCCTGGCTTTGCGCGGTCGAATTGGTGGGGGGGAGCTCGGGAAGTCTAGAAAGGCTTGAAGAATCTAGTTCCGAAAGCCACATGCGGCTTGTGGTTTAGGGTATTCGGGGCTCTAGCGAATCGGACCTTCACGGTTTCAGATCTCAGGGTTTGGAGTGTCGCGAGCAGTCTTCAAGGCTGCTCCTCCTTCGGCCTCCTGTCACAAGCGCCTGGCTCGCCGTGTCCTGGCGCGTGCCGCCGCCTGAGCTTCGGACACAGTCAGTCAGAAACCCGGAACATCAATCCTAAGGCCTAAGACCCTACAACGCCATCCTCAAATGCTACGCGCGCCTCCATCCTAAAACTGCCTTGGGCTCCATCCTCAAACCCTAGCCCCAACCCTAGACCCTGATTGATACCACCGTGAGCCGAGGACCCCCAACATCCTTCCTCATACAGGGACCGATGCAAGTCGGGATGGGCATTGTAGCTTATATATGTGAGTTGTTAGGGGAGAATGCTCGCAATTGTTAAGCTATTTTTCGTGTTCTACCTGCGCCAACCGGGACAGATTCTGATTTCCACGATGTTGCTAGCAATCTCCATGCGACGAGCCTCCAGAGATAGGTTTGCACCGACGACCTATGGCTGGGACTTCACAGACCGAGCCTTCTTCTTCAGGCCGGCATGGGTGGCTCTACAGGAACGTTCGTCTTGGAAATGCTGCCGCAATAACTAGTTTCGCCACCTAGGCCAGTTCGTTTTCTCCCCACGCCCCCCTGCCCCCAGATAGCACACACCTATACAGAGTCTGCATTACAGGGGGGGAGGGGGGTGCTGTTTCGCTCAATGCATGCTTGTGGGCATCCTCTTTGCGCAAGCTTGCTGAGGAAACCCCAACAAAGTCTAAGGGTCTCATGAGATGCATTCCTTCGAATTCTGGTGTAGCACACTCTCACGCTGCTACTTTCAGGGTGTCTACTCTGGACCATGGTGTAGGTGCAACAAAGTTATCCTGAGGGGCTTTAGGGCTTAGGGTCTTTAGGGTTTAGGGGCCGGGACGGGCCTTAAGGCTTTAAGGTATGACTCTGCCAGGCAATCCGAAGTACCTGGCACAACAGCAGACCTTCCGGTTCCTGCCTGAGTTGATTCGTAGCCTCTTGCTTCGGGTTATGGGCTTCAGCGTTCACAGGATGCATTCATGGAACTGACCCTGTGCATGAAACCTCGAGACGACAGCTCTAGACTCTACACCTACAACCCTCAGCCCAAAAACCCGACCATCACGCCCCTGTTGCAGGTCATTCGTGCTCCCACCGCGCCCCACGTGCCGCCCCTCAACGCCTTGATCTTCTACGGCCGACCCGGCTCGCGTGTTGTGGGTTTCGGGCGACTTGGGGTCGTCATCTACTTGAGATACCCTAGACTGAGAACCCGTAAGTCTCGGGGGCTGAGGAGACATGCAGTTTAGAACCCCTGCCATGTCAGGGGCCAATGAGAACCCAACACCCGGGTGGGTGGTCAACGAAACGTACGGCTTCCGCCTCCTGGCCAATTTCTTCTTGAGGGCTGACCGTCAAAAGCCAGAGGATGATGTTGGGCCACTGCTCCTTCTGTTTTGGGGTCTCGTAGCCAAGTTTTTCAGGGCAACTCGGTGGATGGTGGGTTTGGGAGTTTGGGGTTCAAAGTGGGTTGAAGGATGCAAGAGCTTGGGCTCGTGGATGAGGGCTTGGGGCTTAGGGTTTCGGGTTCAGGGTTTGGGGTTTATAGGGTTTAGGGTTTATGAGCTTAGCAATAGCCCAGACGGACAGATGATCAGTCCGGGATCTTTATTTCATGCCAGAAGGTCTCGAATCAGAGGCCGCCGAATCTTCTCTCTGCGTAGCTCCACTAGACACCCTCAAAACGTTTGAGGCCCTCAAAGCGCTCCCCAAAGCCCTTCAGCCAAACCCTAAACCTCAACCCTAAACCCATGACGAAACCCCAAAACCCCTGAAATTTAAGAGCCTCCGGCTCAAGCCGCCGACCCCGCTGGAGCATAGTTGAGACCCGCTCGCATGGAAGATCATCCCCGGCAGAGTTCTGTGAATCGTTTGGGGGGGGGTAGGGGGTAGCACCAGGACAAGCTCAAGCCAAAAAGACAGGTGGGTGGGGGTGGGGGGGGGAGGGGGGGGGGGTAGGGGGGTGGGGGGGGGGGGGGGGTGGGGGGGGGGGGGGGGGGTGGGGGGGGGGGTGGGGGGGGGGGGGGGTTGGGGGGGGGGGGGGGGGGTGGGGTGGGGGGGGGGGGTGTTGGGGGGGGGGGGGGGTGGGGGGGGGGCAGTGGGGGGGTGGAAAAACGCTGATTTTGCTGAGGGCGCCCCTACCCCCCTGTGCTGAACCGCCTGTTTACGCTGTGCGGGTGGCGCGGTCCTCCACGAAAAAATTGTGCACCGACCCCCCCCACCCCCCCCCCCCCCCCCCCCCCCCCCCCCCCCCCCCCCCCCCCCCCCCCCCCCCCCGCGTTTTGGGGGGGTAAGGAGGGAAAGAGGGAGGTTTCACCTTTTTCCCATCCAACACGCCGCCAGGGTCGGCGGACCCTTATTGAACCTCTGAATCCCTGAACCCCAAAACCCCAAAACCCCAAAACCCGTATTGAACCCCGAAAATCCCTGAACCCCAAAAGCCGGCGCCTTTCATCCCATGCCGCCGAGGCGCCGGCGTTCAAGTCCCCACACAGACGCCCCGGCATGCTGTGAACGAGTGGGCGGGCGGCTCAGGTTCAGGGATTCTAAGGGTTCTAGAATTGTAGGTTCAAGGGTGTTCAGGGTTTAGGGTTGGGTCCTGAACGGCTGAAGGGGTTAGTTTCAGGGTTTCAGCCCGAAGTCCTTAAAACCGTAAAACTCTAAACCCTCAACCCCTCAACCCCTAAAACTCTCAACCCCAAACACCCCTTAAACCCCGAAACCCTCCCAACCTAGATCGTGGAGTGGGGCTTTGACCGCATCGACCTCTCCGAACGCCTCGCAGCCGCGACTGCACATGGGGAGGAGGCACCAGAGTCCCTAAACCTTAAACCCCAAACCCCAAACCCTAAACCCCACAGGTGGTGTAGGGTTAACCAGGATTTCCGGGTGTAGGGGTTTAGCGCAGGAGCTTAGCATGTTGGGGTTTTAGGAGCTTAAGGCGTCTTAGCGTTGGGGGTCATGTTTGGGCTTGAGGGTTCAGGGTTCAGGGTCACCTGCTGCTTAGAATTTAGGACATTGGGTGTAGGCTACTGCGGGGGGTGGAGACACTTTCGGAACATGTCGGAACACATATATTCCCGCGGTCTCCCCTTGCAGCAAATATTTAGAACTATCCCCGCTGTCGAAGAGCAGCCGCTGTAGATGACGAAGGTTCTAGCCAGTGGGTGCGAGTGCTTTGTCCGTTGCTGTTGCATCGCTGCTTCACGTACGAAGCTTCCGTATGGTGCCGCAGCGCAAGTTTCCGTTGAGCACCGCTCTCTCTCTCTCTCTCTTTGCAGCCGTATTCCTTGAAGTTGGCTCTGCGGAGGTTGCATCCACATCCCTGCCCCCATCACCAACACCACCATCACAATCATCATCATCATCATCATCATCATCATCATCATCATCATCATCATCAGCCGCACTCAGCCGCACTTAGCATCAGCATAAGCAGGACCTAGACTCTAGACTTCCCAAGCCTGAACCCTCCCAGCTTTCACAGTGGCCGCTGTTCTGGAATGATCTCCCTGGTAGGTGCGAGCAGTGCACAGCTTCAATGTCTGGAGTTTGGGAGGCAGCATTCAAGGCCGGGCCAAGAATGGCACTAGTACTACTGCTACTACTACTTCTGATTGGCCATAGTAGGCTTGCAGAACAGCTCCGAAGACAGCTCAAAGGGGACCCTAAAAATCAGAGCAAGCCCCCATGTTGGGAGACCTCGCCGACTCCCAACGTTTCAGGCCAGAGCGGCGAGCTCTTGTTGGAGTTCGGGTTGGTCTCGGAGGCATGGGGGGTGGCAAGTTGCCTTCTACGTGCATGTCAGATGCACCCTTCTCTGCAACCCTGCGTATGAATGCAAACCCAGTAGACAGAGAGAGGCTGGGAGTGAGAGGCGGGGAGAGGGATAGGGAGACACAGGGAGTCCTTTGGGAGGATGAGGGCGCAGGAGATGTGTCTCTGTGTGTGTGTGCGCGTTGGGATATGAGACGTATTCTCTGCAAAACGCCAGTCGCTGAAGAAGAGGAATACGCGAAAACGAGACAAGAGAAGACACACGAAGACAGAAGAAGAACAAGAATCAGAAGAAGAAGAAGAAGAAGGAGAAGGAGAAGGACAAGGAGAAAAAGAAGAAGAAGAAGGGACCCGCGGAGGAGTGCAAAAGAAGCAGGTGCACGGACGGACCGATAAACAGTGCGGGAGGGTGAGACAGCGTTGGAGCCAGGTGCCGCAAATACGCGGGGCACTTCAGCTGCGCACGCCCCAAGGCCCAATCTTTTTTGGGATGCTTATGCGCGGGTTCGACGGGTACGACTATCAGTATGATGGTAGCTGCTGTGTCTGCTGTGTACCCAGTTTCTGATCGCTTGACGCGCTGTTAGTTTGAGGAAATTGATGTGGAGCGGTTGGGTTCAGGGCTTTGCGGGCTTCAGGTTTAGGGCTTGCATGTGATGCCGGCTTGCCGATGGACAGAGACCAGTTGGGATTGCTGAAGTTGTGAGGCTATGTCTTCGACACCATCTGCGTCCCCTTCCCGCCGGCCGGAAGCTTCGAGCCCTTCCTTCCGCTTCCCGCTGGGTCCTTTGATGTCCTTGGACAGGTTAGCAATTGAAGCGCAGCCATGCAGTCGAGCACTGACACATTGTCAGACCAGGCCATAACGTGATTCCTATTCACCAAAAACACCAAATTTGGGAAGCCCCGCGTGATTCCATGATGACTGGAACTGCAATTTCAGCAGCTACAGCAACAGACTGCAGTAAATGAGGTTATAGGAGGCTGAGAACGAACACTACATCTGTTGCAGTGAGGTCCGTGTGGAATGCACCGCAGCGACATCAGGCTGGACATGGTGTTGTCACCAGCTTGCTACCGGTGCCCCAGAGAAAGTTCACTGGAAACGAGCGTTGCCCAAGATCCCGCAGAAGCTGAACGCATGAATCCCGACCCCCAACCCGAAACAACCCCAAGAAACCCCGAATAACCGAAAGCAACCCTAAACGACCCAAGGCGACCCTCCCGAAGCAACCCTAACCTGAATAACCTGTAGGCACCGATCCAGAGCCTGTCCTCACCATCCGGCCCATGGACGGAAGCCTTCCGCACCTGGGACCTGGGTTTTTAGGGCTTTTAGGGTTTTAAGGGTTTTTTACGGGTTTTTAGGGTTTTTCAGTTTTTCAGGTTTTTCGGGTTTTTAGGGTTTTTAGGGTTTAGGGTGAAGCAAAACGGTCCCGTCAGCTTCATAGGGACCCCGGTTTTCTAGGGATATTGTACTGTAGGCGTTCGTGGGAGCTTATTGGGGTTTCTGTGGGCTGGTAGGGGCCTGGGACGCGTTTTTCAAGATTTTTGATTGGGTTTAAGGGGATCTTATTCAGGATCTTTTTGGTTAGGAGGGCCAACGTAGTCAGTGAAGATTCACGTGTTGCTTGGAGAAGGCCTCTGGAAAGAGATGGTCGGTACTCCAACTTTTTGAACAGGATGTTTCTGTGGGCACCAACACTCCTAAGCACGCGGTCGCATCATACCAGGGACCCCCACAAACACAGCGTGCTTGTGGAAAGGGGTAGCAGGGTTGACTGGGTACCACTCGGGGCCAAGCAAGCTCAATCCCAAGTCTCCAGACCCGAAAGCCCTATTCAACAACCCTACAAACTCTGCACCCCCAAACATTCCCGCACCCCAAACCCCCAAAACCCCTCAAATCCGGACCCCAGATTCCACTAAAGCCCTACACCCACAAGATCTTGGAGTTTTTGGCAGCCCAGGCCAGGGAGGTGGTGCTTTCTGCTGACCACCATCTTGCCCGCCGAGGCGTTTTCGCAAGTCGGGGTTTAGGGTGGGGGTTTAGGGTTTGGGGGATTAGGGTTTAGGGTTTGGGGGCGCTTGTTCGTGAGTAAGTTTACTCCCACTCAAGTACATGGCAAGGAGGTCTTTCTGCAATTTCTTGAAGTAGCATCCTGTGTCCCCAAGTAACACGTCTAATCGCCGCGTTCTTAAAATCTTTTTTACACATGGGATTCCAAAAACGATATTGTTAGTTCCTGCTATGCAGGGGAATGACTGCGGAGGGGTGCATCTGGGCCTTAAATTTGGCAGTCCAAGTCACAGCCTGCAGGTGACAGCTGCCGTCGCAGCCTCAGAACGAGCTGCTTGTGGTTTGCGGACCAGGGGCAGTGCATATCCAGCACTTCCCCATGCATCGCAAGCCGCGGAATCAGAGGAAGCGTGATTTTGATTCACGGTGGTGGGGTGGGCGGGGGGGGGGGGTTGGGGGGTGCAGACGAAGTTCCTCTAAGATCCCTGCTTCAGCTAGTGTGATCAACAGAAAACCACTCTGTTGCGATGATTTCATGACTAGAAGGGGATTTCAAGTAGGGCTTACCTAGAGCAAACATGATGGCCTAACAACATCCTCACCCTTAGCAAAGTGAAATTATTCATTTTTGGGCCTATTGCTTGACGTGCACTGGAAGTTAGGAGGGTGCCAGTCGTGCTTCATTGGCCAAGGATGCGGATCCGGTGTTCACCTTGCGAACATTTTCCTCCTATGCTGTGGAGGTGCAAAGCGGTGCAGCCGTTGGGCCACTTGTACGCCTAGGTGTGTTTTTTGTTGTTCTTCCTCTTCTTTTCCTCTTCTTGCTATGTACGGTTGCTGTTTGCGGCCAGTGATGTTGATAGTTTGCTATCTGAAACGCACCCCCCCCTCCCTCCACCAATCCCAACACCCCAAATCCCAATACCCACCCAAGAATCCCAAACCAAAGTCTGTAACGAAACCTTACACTTAGACACCCTAAAGGCCCCCTTGAAACCCCAAATTTATGATGTATATACATATGTACTTATATATATATATATATAGTCCCAACCCTCTCCCCCACCTCCCTCCCAAAAAAGGAGCTCCTGTCCAGTAGACCAATATGAGTTACAGAAGGTATTGTTGCACTTCGTTTATGAATTTTAAACCCTAGACCCGAAACCCGAGACCCTAAACCCGAAACCCTAAACCCTTCCGTGTGTGGCGAAAGGCCATCGATCAGCCGGCAGACGTCGGGGCGGTCACGGCCGGCTTTCGGGCTGGGCAGCGCCTGCCTTTCGCCCCGGGCTCAGGTTTTCCTCGGGTTTAAGGTTCAGGGCTTAGGGTTTAGTGTTTAGGGTTAAGTGCTGCCCTCAACACAGTGCTTTGCAGGCTGGCATCGTGGACAACGTGGACTACCGTTTGTCAGGCAGGAGACGCGAACCCGCAAAGGGAACCTCAAGAGTGTTTGGGCATAACCCTAAACCCAAACCCTAAACCCTATTGTCCGGCCGAATATCGGGGCTTAGGTGCTGTCTGTGTGTAGCCTGGAAGGTGGCGACCATGATGCGATCGCAGAACACTTGCTCTTAAGCAATGCCAGGATTACACCCTGTAAGCCCGAAAGCAAAAAGACTCTCAACTACACCCCAAATACCCATTCTACCCCAAAGCCCCACGAACCAATAGGCACCTGTAGCGCATGAGGGTTTTCGAAAGCAAGAGACCCCCAGTACAGACCCCGAAATATAAGGATTCCCTTACACTAAGGACCCCAATAAGGTACCCCTAAACCCTAAACCCTAAAACCTAAACCCTAAACCCTAGCCCTAAACCCTAAACCCCCACGTTAGGAAGAACAACGGTGTTTGAAGCTTTTTTGAAGGTCGCGACGACCACCCTGGACGTGCCTCCGCCTTGATCTTCGGCTTCCAGCTTCGGACTGCGCCGCTTGGCAGTTTAGGGCTTAGAGTTTAGGGTTTAAGGTTTAGGGTTTAGGGTTTAAGGTTTAGGGTTTAGGGCTTTAGGGTTTAGGGTTTGCGGTTGAGGGGGCTCTGCGGATGTCTACAAGGTTTATAGGGTTTACTATCGCGCTTTCACCAGGAATTCTGTGGGAGCGCCACGCGAAGAGTGTACCTATACGATGCAGACTTTTTGTAGGGGTCAACTTTCGGTCTGGATGTCCATGGGGAGGGTGTAGATTCCAGGAAGCCAAGATGACCTGGTCTGACTCATCCCCTTACAAGTCAATTCCCTTGAAAATTGGCACCTTGTAGGCACCTCATCCTATAGGTGCTGTACCATTTAGGGTACAGCTATACAGATATTGGCATGCCACCCTTGGGGTTCTGAACCCTGCAGCCCCATGAAGCCGAGGCCCAACGTCATCGGCAACGTGGAAGTGGAGGTTTCTCGGCAGGATGCGCGCGTGTCTGCGTCGTGCAAGTCCTTGCAAAGTGCAGAAACGCCATTCTTGTGGGTTGAAGCTTGTTTCGTCGCAAGTGCCAAGTCGCTTGAAGCGGAAGGCAGTTTGGAGCCTTGGGCCCGCCACAGCTCACAGAGTCTTCAGCGGACCCAGAATGCGGGATTTAAATGACCCAGCCTTGTAGGATGCAGTAGGCACCCCGAGATGTGGGACCTTCGTGACAGATCCAGACAGGCTCCAGTTGTCTTTGTATCCAGGTCGTGGCCCCACTGGGCTATCTCTTCAACGAGGACTGCGTCGCAGACATCAGCAGGGAGCTCAGAGCTTGAGCTGAAGCCTGAAGCCTCTTCTTCAGCCGCCTAAATGTCATCCCAACAAAACCAACAGACCCATCTTCTCCCCCCTTCTCACCCCTTCTCACACCTCCTCCCGGACGAACCGAGGTGACCGAATCTTCGGCGTGGGGCAGGGCTTCCCGGCACCTTACCGGCCGTCAGAGCCTCAGTTTTTTTTGGGCTGGTTGACTTGTCGTATGTGGTTGAGAGTCTACGGCTGCAGGCTATACAGCAAATGGGAATTCGTAGGGGGCTCCTAGCCTAGACAAAGCTTCACAGCCACAGCCGCAAACCCCCAAACCCAACGGAACCCGAACCCCACCCAGTGAACCCCAATCCCACAAAAACCCTGAACTCAAGAGCCTCTTAACCCTAAACCCCAAATCCGAAGCCCTAAGCCCTAAGCCCGAAACCCTAAACCCTAAACCCTCTGACCTCACCAAGGTTCGAGCCGGGAGTTGTTCTGGTCGCGTGCGCCGGCCACCGCAACGTGGCACGCCTCGAGGTGGGATCCATCATGGGCTTCCCCCCACCAAAACTTCTCAAAACGGTACCCGGTACCCCCAAAAGTCGAAGGTTTCAAAAAAAAGGTGAAGTTTTTGTTGTTTTTTTGGTTTGGGGGGTGGTACCCCTCTGCGGGAGGTTTCAATGCTTGATTTGCTTTTGCCTGTCTACTCTTGCGTGCCCTGTCCATCCTGAAAGGTGACGCCGGGGTTGCTCCCAGGCACTCTGTATGCAGGGGCCTCAGAGCCTTGGGTTAGGATCCCATTGAGGGATTGAGGATCGCATAGGATCGCAGTTTGGGAGTTGAGGGTTTAGAGGGTTGAGTTTCCTAAGCTTGGCAATAAGGGCCCAGAGGTTGCAAGATACCATTTCGGAAGGGTTTACAGTTGGGGCTCCTGGGCGTCCGGGCCAGGACCACATGGAGGTTTACAACTTGACCATGGTGACTTCCAGGGGCTGTACATGGACTTGCTTGGGTAGTAAGAAGTAAGGTTGTGAGCATGGCAACTATACCTATAATTACTCTGTTTGCCTCTAATCCTACTTGCAAGCATCCATGAATCTCCAATTACATTCCTCTGGGGCCCGGAAGGCGTTCAAGCTGCGCATCGACCAGCAGCCGGCAGCCACGCCTGCCCAGTGGCCGCACTTCATGGTGCTTCGAGGGTTGCCCAAAGACCATCATGACAGATGCATGACGGCACGGGGCCCGCGGTGGATGCCCACCGCCTGCTCGGATTTCTCAGAATGGGGCAAGATGTGTGCTAGGCTCGGCTCTAGGGCACGCCCCAACACCCGCCCTCTCAACAGGAAGAAGTCAGCCACGCTACGCTGCAACCCAGGCGCAGAACATCTGGTTTCTCAACATCGCGGACCAGGTTTGACAGCAGCATAAATCATGACAACCCACAGTGGTGCGCAATCCTGGGGCGACCGGCATCACGCCATGTGCTGTAATCTTTTATGGGCGTACGAAGCATGCTGAAGCTTACTAGTTTCTGACGATGCTGCAAGTGCAAAGTTGTGGCGCGTAAGGCGCGCCATGGTGACTTTGTCGTTGCCAGGCCTCTCAGGCCATTGAGGGCTATTCGCTGTGGTCCTTCACGGACTTGGCTGGGATCCCAGTCAGGTCGCTGTTTTGCACGCTTTTTTTGCATCATCTTCATGCGCGTAGGGCATGGAGTCGCCCGTTGTTCTCGGATCTCGTACAAGTAGCGCTTGGCTAGGCCCGGGACAATGAAAATCACGTAGCATCAGCTGGAGCCGATAGACTGCATGCTCCCTGCAGCGCGAGACGTCAACATGAACAAGCGCAATGTGACACCAGCACCCTCAACTGTTACAACAAGCAGTCTGACCCTGAAGGCTTTGACTTTGTGCCAGGGATGGGTTTAGGGCTCAAGGCTCCCAAATGCTGAGCCCCCTCAGTGCCCCCCCCTCAAGACTTCAAGGAGCCAAAGCTTCTTGGCATCCCGAAGTGGTGGTACCTGACCCCCCTTAACCAGGGTTTAGGGTTTTGGGCTTAGGGTTTAGGGTTTGGGGCTTAGGGTTTAGGGTTAGGGCTTCAATCCCTGGAGCCTTAAAGCCAATAAGCCATCAACCCCAAACCCTGAAACAAAACTGACCGAAAGACCCTTGGACAACCCTAAAGCACCTCAAACCCCAAACGCGATACCTGGGAGGCTTTGGCCCTGCTCCTGCAGACCATCATGCCCCACACGGAGACTGCAGAGAACGAGGCTGAACCACGGCTTTGCCCTAACCCTAAACCCTAACCCTAAACCAAGAAATCCTGAAACCCTAAACCCTCAACCCCTAAACCCTAAACCCTCAACCCTTAAACCCCTAAACCCCTTAACCCCTAAACCCTAAACCCGGCTTCGGGGTTCAACTCATGGCTCAGGGGCCCCGTGGGCATAGTACTAGTAGGGTTCAGGGCTCCCTGGCTTCACTGGCTGCAGGGCTAGTATGCTGGTTGCCAATGTAGCGTTTAGTTAGTTTGGGGTTTAGGGGTTAGGGGGTAGGGGGTAGGGTTTTGGGTTTAGGGTTTTGGGTTTTGGGTTCAGGGTTCAGGGTTTCGGGTTTAGGGTTTAGGGTTTAGTTAGTTTATGGTTTAGGGTTGGAATCATTTTTCATGGCTGGCGCTCTCTAGCCCTTAAGTTGTAAAGTTACACTTCTTTTTTTTGGCCCGCCCTGGCGCCGAAGGTCACAATTCTCTTCCGTCCTACGAAAACGATGACGAGCCAGGCTGTCTTTTGACTGGTTCTTAGTAGGGAAGGAGGGAATGAGGTACCCGATATAATCCCTTAAAGGGTATTGTATAGGGCCCTGAATTCCCTCATTCCCTACTAAGAGCCAGGGGGTCTTTTGACAGGAGTGCCAGAAGCTCTGGGATGTTTGGCTTGGGGGGATCGGGCTACAAGAGGCTCCCGAAAAAGCTTACGGAAAGAGGTAGATCACTTATAGCAAGGGAGGCCCCAGACCTTTGGAGCACTCGCATGACAAGATTGGGTGAACACCAAAAGGGATGGATGGTTGTGAGAGGCCTTAGGACACTCTACTTCGCGCCAGATGCGGAATTCAGCTGTTCTTTGGGGTTTTAGAGTTTGGGTTTTAAGGAGGGATGACAGGACCTTGCGGAGTCTTGCTGCAGCAAGTCGGCCTCTACCCGCAATTACGTCCAGGAGAAAACGAAGCCCAAAGCTCCAAAAAACCCTGAACCCTAAGCCCTAAACCTAGAAGCCCTAAACCTAAAAACCCTGACTTCGAAAACCCTGAACTCCAACAACCCTGAACAACAAAAGCTCTGAACCAGCAAAGCCCTGAGCCCTAGACCCTACTTGGATGTTCACGGGTAGTTCTCAGTAGGGTTATATAGGGTTTTAGTTCTCGCTATAGTTAGCATACTTCTACCCCTACTTATAATAACCTGAACCCTAAACCTTTGTTTGGCGCATCGAGCATAAGTCCTTTTACATGTGTGCAACGTCTGACTGTCAAACATTTCAGGTTAGGGCACGGGCATGGCAGGTTTTAATGGCAGATGATGAAAGATGAATGATAATATGTCGACGACGAGGACGAGGAGATCATAATACGTGATGAATGACGATGATGGCGATCTGCTCTAATATCTCATGCTCCAGTCATGGTCGTGCAGAAGTCAGACATGTACAGTCTTTGTTTATTGAGGTTTGAGTTTGAGCATGGCAACGACCGCAGCGCTTGCCCGCTCAAGAGCGCTCTTGTAGCACCTTCGTAGAAAAGAGTCTTTTGCCCCTCGCTGTATAGTCCCCGAACTTCGCTCTGTGCTTTGCTAATACTGGTAAGCCATAAGGGAAACCTAGGCGCCAGGGGAGGTGGAGCCGGAGAGCATAAGGTGGCGACTATACACCATAAGGGAAACCTAGGTGGTATTGGTCAATACGCTTGTGCACCCCTCAGGTCTTGCAAGCCTGAGTATCCTCTTGTACTCGCGATACAAGGGTGGCTTCCTGTTGGGAAAGGATTGGCCCCTGGACCCGACCCGTTGATAGGGATACTATCACCTGGACTACAACTTCAACACCTACACCTGTTTATAGCGATTCTCCTTCCAGCCCTGAGCTACTGTTGGCGCGAGCAACATTTCTTGAATAGTTTGTCTATTCCACCACCTCTTGCAACCTTAAACCCACCCCCGCCAGGGCGCCCTGCACGTGACGGCGCCCGAGGGCTTCCGCATACGCCGCGTGTGCACTGCCTCGGATCCTCGGCTCGGGCTTGGGGGTTAGGGTTTAGGGTTCAGGGTTCAGGGTTCCGGGGTTTAGGGCTTGGTTTCGGGTTTGGGGTTTAGGGTTTAGGGTAGCTTCGGGTAGCTTAGGGCACTTGGGGTATCGGGTCGGTTTAGGGTTGTTTAGGATTTGGGGTTTAGGGTTTAGGGTGCTTTTAGTGTCATACTATGTTACACTCTGCTGTTCTGTAGAGGTATACTGCGGTAAAGTTACTCATCTCTTCTCTTACTTTTATTTTTGCTGTGATACTCGTACACACTTCAGGGCTGCTTTTGTGGGGTAGATAGAGTTTGGGGCTGCCTGAGGTTTTGAGTTTACAGGGACTTCAGGGCTGGATGGGTTCGGGAGCTTTGGGGTTCCTTGCTCCGACTACTCACCTCATGAAAGAAGAGCCGCAACAGAGGCGCCGGCAGTTATGGGATTCTAGGTCCTAGGTCTTGTCAGCTGAGCCCATCATCATCCCGAAGTTGTCAGACCCTGCCTTGCTGCGACCTGAGAGAATGCCGGGTTGTCAGCTCAAGCCATCAGTCCCTCAACATCAACAGAACCTGAAACCCGCCGCTGACGGGTTGAACCTTGTGAGCGAAAAACCCAGAAGAGCCTCCCTAAACCCAAAACCCTGAAACCACCAAGTCCCCCCCCCCCCCAAAGAGAGGTTCAGCAGCTGGCCTCTGGCAGTGGTCTTGCGCAGACCCCTGCGGATGTGGAACTGTTCGGAAACCCAGGGACCCATATGGGATTCAGGAGATATTTTTCCCTAAACCCTAAACCCGGTTACTAAACCCTAAACCCTAAACCCTAAACCCTAAACCCTAAAAAAAGGGGAGCGCTTTGGGTTGGCCAGCAGCTTAGGAGACGGGAGGACGGGAATCTGGGCGAAGAGACATCCACCCACGTTTGCAATATGGCAGGATGTGGCCTTAGGGCCTTAGGTGTCTTCTGCTCAAATTGGAGGTTCACGGGTAGTTATAATAAGGGCTATAAGTATGGAAACTCTGCTGATAGCCCTATTTAGGGTAGTTTTGGAACCCTACTTGCAAGTACCCACGAACCTGCGAGAAAGTAGCAAAGCCCCCGCTGCTGCGACTGTTGGCGTAGTGGAGCAGCGAAGTTCGACAACCCAAGCTTTTCAACACTCACTGAACTCCAAACCGGAAATCCCAAAGGCCAGCAACCCCCAAATCAACAGACCGCAAACTCTCAACACTTTGAAGCCCTAAAACCCTCACACCCTCAACCCCGAAACCCGTAATCTTGCCCTAAACCGTAAACCCCACACCCCTAAACCCCAAACCCCTAAACCCCCGAAATCCCCCGAAATTCCTGCGCCTTAGCTTTCAACCCTCAACCGAGGCCAGGAGTAGTCTGCCAAGGAGAGCGCCCCGCAACCAACCGCTTCGAGGCGTTTAGGGTTTAGGGTTTAGGGTTGGGGTTTAGGGTTTAGGGTTTAGGGCTACCAGAAAACTTGGGACCTGGGGCTTCTCGGGTTCTAGGGTTTCAGGGCTGTTGGTGTTCTGGGGTGTTAGGGTTCTAGGGCTCTCGGGGTTTGAGGACTTTAGGGTTTTAGGCTGCAGGGCTTTAGGGGCTTTTGGCATTCTAGGGGCTTTAGGGATTCTAGGGGTTTGGGGTTCTCCTTTTCTAGTTAAGGGCAGGTACCAACCAAGATGCGAATGACCACACACACGCACACCAACAGCTGCGGCATTGAGGTGAGCTTCCTCTCGCAGCTGTCTCTGCTGGCAGGAGGCCAGACGGGCCATGCGAAAAGTAAGTTGGCTTTGGGTTAAGGGTTGACCAAGTCGAGCACCTAGCTTTGAGCCTACTCGTAGAACGACCTGCAGTTTGAGAGAAACTTTTGAGTGCAGTTTGCAGCTTCAGGCTGTCTAGCAGTCCAGCATTGCACCGAGAAAGAAGAGCACCTCTGGGTACTCTGGAACGAATCCTAAGAGCGCCTTCGTTCCTCTGGCCCATTTAAGAGCCCAAGTCTTGAATCTTCAAAGCCGGATGGCAGGTGTGCGATATCGCCTCCAGGTTTCTGTGACAGGGCCTCAGTCAGCTGTAAGCTTCGAAGTGTAGGGTTTAGGGTTGGGTTTAGGGTTTAGGATGTAGGGTGGAGGGTTTATGGTGGGTTTGGGGTTCTATAGGGCTGAGCTGGAAAAGGTTGACCCCGATTCTGGCACCCGCATGCTCCTTAAGAAGCTGCATGCCAACAGCTTGTCACGGAGACGAGCTGCCAACCCTAAACCCCCTAGTTAAACCCTAAACCCTAAACCCTAAACCCTAAACCCTAAACCCTAAACCCTAAACCCCGAAACCTCGAAAAACCTGAACCAAGGCTGAACCCCGACACTGTGAGCTCCACCCCTGGGTCCTGGACGCTGCAGAGCTTTCAGGAGGCCCGGGATTGCATCGGGGTTTTGGGGGGTTTATAGGGGGGTTTAGGGGTTTAAGCGGGTTGAGGGTTCAAGGCTTAGGGGTTTTGGGGTTTAAGGTTTCGGGCTTAAGGTTTTCGGGCTTAGGGTTGGTGTTTGCAGAAGGTTGAGGCTTTAGGGTGTTGAGCTGTGGGCTTCGGAAGGCTTTGTTCTGAACAAAGGTAGGTCCCTAAGCCGTGAAGAACGACTGAAAAAAGGTACAATGCGATCCTCACACAGAAGAACTCTCCGTTTAAGGATTGACGGCGTAGGGGTGCGCGGTGCGTTCTTCAGGTCGGGTTTTTGTAGGTCATAGCATTCTTTAGTTGGGTTTTGGAAGCACCTCGGCTTTCGAAGCCCAAGTGAGCCGCTCTGAGATTTGTGGGCTCAGGAGTCTCGGGTTTCTGCTCGGCACCCTGAGTCCAGAGTGATGCTAGGCCCTGCGAGGCTCTTAATCTCAGGCAGTGGCTAAGACGGAAGTCCAGTCTTTGGCAAAGCAGGTATAGTTTCATGGAGTCTCAGCACAGCTACCGGGAACCCCAGCTCATCTTCTCATGATGGCGCTCCCCCTTTTCTTCGGCGCGGAGCTGCCGGGCTGCCGTAAGTTGCTGGTGGTCTTTGCACATGAGGCGCGATATTCATACGCTCTGAAGCGTGGATGCGCAGAAGTGACACTTTGTCACTGAGCCCCCCCAAGCCTTAGCACTCCCCGTTGCGAATTGAGCGACTGCGTTGCTCTCCAGAGATCATGTTTGCTCTGATCGCTTTGCTAGCTCTTTTGCAGTAATGTGTGGAAGAGCTGTGAGCAGGAAGTGGACAAGGGCATGCTTGGAGACTACGCCGCGCGGGCACACGTTGAACTGGAAATCCGGAACTTCCAGGCCTGTGAAGCTCTGATAGACTCTCCCTCCCCCCCATAACAAGGGAGCGGCGCCCAGAGGAACTTCGAACCCACAAAACAAAGCATCCAAAAACCCGGCCTGAAATTTGGACTTTGATGCTGGACTCCAGACAAGACCACTGGAGCCCGGAAGGACCATGATGGCACTTGGCCCTTCTCGGATCAAGTCTGCATCTGGGATCTCTTCTCGCAGGCGGGAGTTTACGTCAAACTCGACTGCAGCTGAAAGTCGTTCAGCGAAATCATGCCGTTGAAGCTAGCTATGACCACGAATATGATGTTGTATATAATGTATGCGCCTCGCAGTGCCTCAGTTGGGTTCGGAAATTTTGACATCTCCAGGTCAGCGAAAGATTGGATGGATGGGAGGAGTGCTGCCACTTCTGGTGCCACAAACGCCGGGGCCGGGTGCTGCGGAGCCTGGGCGTCGGTAGCAGCCAAAAGCGCCAAAAGAGCGCGGCGCTTTTGGGGCTCCTTGTGGCTTCACGCCTCCTTGAGCAGAGGGAGGGGCCATGGCTGGAAGAGGAGCTGAGGCTGGCCAGGAAGGTGGGATTTTCGCCAATGCGCTGCCCAGGGGGGTTGTGCTTGTCTCAAAACCCAAGCTTTGTGCAGCACTAGCCCAAAGCCCAAGATGCGTTTCTCCAAACCCAGACACGCTGCAGTGAGGGCCCAAAGCCCCAAGGCCCGAGACTCTGAGGACCCTCAACGGAACTCCAAGCCCACGGCCCAAAAAACCGCGCGACAAGAGACTTGCCAAAGCCAATGGGCAAAAATGGTGACATCGCGGTATTCGCCTGGGCGAAATTTGAAACCACTAAGAACAACACATCCAACATACTTGAGGAAAACCCGCTCGAAATAAACGTCATGTCCTGCACGGAAAGGGTTTGCCATGAAGAAAGGCATATGCCCGCGAGTCGTTTCGTAGCATGAACCTTTGGTTTCATCACGACAGGGCTGGTTGGGGTCATCTTAGTTTCTTGTAGTCGGAGACTGCACGGTCGATACGAAGCCTCTTTCAGGTCACGTTTCCCCGCATTCAGCCTTCTCAGCAGCAGCCACTGGGGTGCACGCAAGCAGGGAGACCGGCCAATGTTGCAGACCCCTCGATGCGTCACAAGGAGGCTGGGCCAATGGCAGGTTAGGGTCTCGGTTTTCGGGTTCAGGGCTTCAGGGGTTCAGGGTTTGGGAGGATCTGGCCAGTGCAAAGACTGACAAGCCATCCAAAGTGTCCTGCATCGCAGGCGTGGATTCCGATGTCTGGATCCTGGATCTGGTGGTACGACCCATATCTGCTGGTGCTGTGCGAGGACAGCAGTTCGAGCCTCTTTGCCGACGCCCGGCCGCGCTTCCAGCATGTGGCTGAGGTGGACAGCTGCAAGGTCCTAAAGGAAGATCAGGCGTGGTGGCTGAAGGACTGGCTTGAGTCCCGGTTCCCAGAAGCCTATTCCTATGCCGGGATCTACAAGTTCCAAGGATACCAGGTCATCGGAATGGGTGGAACGGTGGAGCACCGGATGAGAGCTGCGTGCGTTGGGCTTGGGATGCTCATGTGCAAGGACAGATCCTCGCTGCCTCGGCAGTGGCAGCCGGTGTGGGACGAGGTGCATGACGTCACAGGCCCCCCAAAAGACTCGAAACACCGAAGGAGACGCTCAAAACTTCTGCCCGGCAGTGCCCTTACAGCATCCACCGACTTGCAAACACGAGCAGCCCGTCCTTGGTGTTGAAATGTTGGACATGAGTTGAGCAGCAAGCCCTGATTGTGGTGAGAACCCGAAGACATGCACAAATCCAAGCTAATCATACGCCCCAAGCAGACATTGAATGCAAGCCGACAATGCCCAATCATAATATCAAGAGGTGGCAATCTCTGGAACTGATTGGAACTGTAGTGGCCGGGCACGCAGAAGTGAACAAGCTGCCCAGACAAAACAGCGTAAGACCGAAGACTAGTCCCTTCCCCCTACTACTAACCCCCCCCCCCCCCCCCCCTACCCCCCCAAAAATAAATGCCCCCATTGTAGCTCGTATTTCAAACCTTGAGGTGCAACATGCTCAGTGGTTGCCAACTGCGGAAATCCAGAGATTCTATGACCTGCCGACGCAAGGCTTCTGGCAGAACATCGAAGGTTGGCACGCTGACCGCCAGCGGCAATGTCCAGATCCTTTGATGTGTGACCACTTGAAGCCTTCCGACGGCATCACGTCGACGGTCCTTGAGGAGTTGCTGCGCAGCTGTCAGCCCGCATTGCGCCGGCAGCTGCAGCTGAACGGTAACCGATACACCCAACTTGACCTCACACACTCTGGGCGACCTTGGCATCGCATCATCGCAGGCCACTCTGAGATGGAGCACATCGTTGGCCCTGGCATAACACACTTCGCCGTAGCTGCAGACCCTCGCAGACTAAACCCGTTCCACGGGGAAGCTGCCATATATTGGGTCGCACGCCGGGTGGACCAGAGCCTTTGCGCCTTCAGCTGCATGAAGCGCACTCACGACACCTGGAAGAAGAGCAGAACCAAACAGGACGAAACCATGGCTTTTCGCCTTGCAACCGGCTGGCAAGTGGCCAAGCGTTGGGAAGGTGGCTTGCCATGCGTGTTCGTGAACTTGATCCAGGCGGTGTCGTGCAAAGTGCACCAATTCCATGCGGGCGCCTCTTTTCCCTGTCAGCCACCTACTCAACCCTTACTGAGCCCCTAACCCGGATCTTCTGCCAGGCGTTCAAGGAGAGTTGCAACGTGGGCGAAGAGGAACCTTACGCCCTTGCATTCTGAAAGGTATGGTTTCGGGTTGGGCGTTTTTGGTGTTTAATACTTCACAGGTTTCGGGGTCTAAGTTAGGGAGGGTACAGGTTCTCCCCGATCTCAAAGTGGTTTAAGGTTTAGATACCGGCAAGTATCTGAATCTCGGAGTAGTGGCTAGTCTTTGATAGACCAAGAGCCGCAAATCCCCTAAAGCAGCAAGCAGCGAGGACTTCGTGCCGCCAGGCTCTAACGGCTACGATGCGTGGACACTGTCGGAGGAGACTGAGCGCAAGTTTCGTGACTGGCTGCAAGTCGGGCGACCTTGCCAGGAGCTGCCTTCCCCCACTTTCTTGTGTGACATGTGCACAGGCGTGAACTGCAAAGGAAAGCATGCGGCACATGTAAGGAAAGCGAAGGCCAAGACCCGAAACCCATGTCACGAAAGGAGGGTGCCTGTCTGAGGCCACACTGTCGGGACATCACCTGTGTTCACTGTGCATGAGTATGGATGTGTCAGGCTATCAGCCCCCACAGGCCCACCACTCACTATCGTGGTCCTTGCCTTCTTCTTGTCATGCCTCCCGTGGAAGCAGCCCTAAAACCCTAAACCCTAAATCCTGAACAGGAGCTGACGACGCTGAGGAGATCGGTCACTAGCCCGGAGCTACAGCAGGTGGTGGAGGAAGCCATGCAGGACTGCGATGGGGACCTTCCTGATTCAGCAAGATCCACAAGGCTGCAGCAGGGGGGGGGGGGGGGGGGGGGTTCGGTGGTACAGGCTAGGGTGTTGCGGGTGTTCTGGGGCGTATAGGGCGCTTTCCGGTTGATCTACTTCAACCTTAAACTCCTGAACCCATTAACTTGCGAGGCGGAGCCCCGGGCTCAGGCCGCTGTGGTGGCAGCTTCTCAAGGATGTGCTGCAGGACCCTGATGCGTCTGCTTGGAGGTTGAGTGGGCTAGTGAGGAATAGGGTTACAAGTACCTTCAACGCGGTTGCAAGTATAGCTCCCCCTACTTATGAACCGACTTGCAGCTACCCATGAACCTCCAAGTAGGGTTCTCCTGGGTAGCTCTATAAGTTATACTGGCTCCTAGTTATATTATAAAGTCCGCATATCATCCATAGAGGCTTTCTACTCCTGGCTCCCTAGATTTTCCAGATTTTTTGGGTACCCTCAAGTCCTGGTAGAATGAAGGCTGTGCTGAAGAGGGTAAGCCGTAGCCGTGCTGGACATTTAAACTCCCTGCAGGAAACGACAAAATCGCGGATGCTGTGGCAACTGGATCCGTCAAGGAACCCTGCTGCTGAAGGCGAGTATTCGCAGTATCTGCAGTGGCACAAGGCCAGCGAAACTCTCTTTGCGCATGAAGCCATCAGTGACCACTTCATCCATGGGCGCCACGAGGGAGTTTCGGTAGCAACAACAATCCAACAGATCGTGGACGGCGTCGTCAGAGGCGAGGACTTCCCTGCTTCTTGCTCTCTCTTGAGAAAGCGATGGTCCGTTTAGATTTTAATTGCTTTGCCCCAGAAAGGCACCATTTGGTAGGGAACTGACCAGGAACTGACCAGGTGTCTTTTCAAGAGTTTCTGCCCCTACTGCATACAGAGCTGAGCAACCCTAGCTGTTCGAGCTCCAGTCGCATCCCTACACTTTGGAGCTCTAGCCAGGGAGCCCGTAATTGCTAAGGCATTGGTGGCCATCTCTTGGCGAGGCAACTTGCACATCATCTGCGGAAACCGTCGGTTGTATGCGTTCAAGGAGGCCTCAAGAAGAACTGGACGTGAGATTTGGTTCAAAGCCATTGTACATGATTTTCCAAGGCTCACAAGCATTCCCGACGAACATTTGCGGTGGGCGTTCAAGATCAAAGCAGTGGCGGCCATGAACACCGATAATTTTGGCATGGCTGCTCGGATGCGCGGTGCGAGAGGTTGAGAAAAGGCAGCCCATGGTAAAGTTGATGAGTTGATGACATCAGGGCGGCTCAAACGGAGAGCTGCGCCACTGATTTAGGTGTTTAGGGTTTAGGGTTGGCTCTGTTTGGGCACCCCTGAAACCTGCAACCCTAAGCCCCCAGAGCCCGCCAAAAAACACCTAACCCCCCTAGCCCAACCGTCCCCCCGTCGCAAACTCCTTAACCCAATGAACCTTACCCCTTTCCCTAGCAGAAGACACAGAGTCCTTCCACTGTAGCCCTAGATTCCCTTCAAACCCCCGATCCCATAACCCCTACACTCAGCCCTTAGCTGCAACCTTAAGCCGTAAGCCCTAAACACCAAACCCGGAGCCCTAAACCCTGAGCCTTACTCCCTCAACCCTAAGCCCGAAACCCTCCAGGGCTCACTTCTGGACGTGGGTGCCTTGGGATCCCCGGTGCTCTCCGGCGCGCTCAGGGGCTTTCAGGCCAGGGCGTAGAGAGCAAGGGGGCGGGGGTTTGGGGTTGAGGGTTGGGGGTTTACGGTTTGTAGGGTTTGTAGGGTTTTGCAGTGTTTGTAGGGTTTCCGGGAGGCGGTGGGTGGGGGGGGGGGGGACAACGCTGCTATGGCTTTGGGGTTTGCAAGTTTTCCGCTGATTGCTGTGACCACGCCCAGTGGCAGACAATGGAGTAGTGCCTTCCAGTCTGCCTGACGCAGAAACGCTGAGCTCTCATAACCCACCCGAAGATTGATGCGAGTTGCTTTTTTCAAGTGCTTGATGGTGCGTGACGCAGCTTTGACAAAGTCAAGCAATTTTAATTTTTGCTTCTAGGTTTTAAACCCATGGTGCTGGCAGAGAATGGGGATGCGCCCGGCATAGAGGCGTGGTACATGGCTGCTTGGCAGAGTTTGAGGGCTCGTCAGCAGTGTGCACTGCCTAGGCCACGGCATGAAGTATTTTGCATGTAGGAGTGGCCTACCCCGCACTGTGATTCGACTGCGAGGACTTGACGACTCCTACGACCCTAAACCCTAAACCCCAAACCCCAAACCCCAAACCCCAAACCCCAAACCCCAAACCCCAAACCCTAAACCCTAAACCCTTCGTGTCGAAATTGCTACCCAGGCTGCGGAGGTGAAAGACCAGACGGCGGAGAATCGCCGCACCCCGAACAAGCCGGTGCCACCGGCTGCGCTGGCGGACCTGGGTGTGCTGGCCTATCACCTGCCACCAACAGGCCTTTGAGGGTTTAGGGTTTAGGGTTTAGGGTTTAGGGTTCAGGGTTTAGGGTTTAGGGGCTTCGGGGGGGTTCTGGGGGTTTGACGGCCTGAGGAGGCCCATGGGATTTTATTTTAACGTCCAATGTCGGAATCTTTTTCGTAAGGTTTAGAGAGCCCGGAGCAGCACGAATATCGCATGAAGCTGACAAGTCTCGACACACTGAAAGCCCCAAGAACACACACCCCCAAAGCCCCCCGAAGCCCTATCCAGTCAGGCGACTATCCGCCCAAGGCAGTGCCCTGGGAGCCAAAGAGCGGAATCCAGGACACAGGGAAGGGGGAAGGAGTTAGGGTTTAGAATAGGGCTTCTGAGGCCCTAGGGGCTTACAAGGGACTCAAGGGACTCATGGGGTTTACAGGGTTTGAGGCTTACAGGGCTCCGATACTTGCTTAAGGGCTCTGGGGCGTTCCGCGCACCTTTGCACCAACCAAGCCGCAATCCTCCATGCGCAGCGATTGCTGGGCCTTGCTGTGCAGGATCCGAAGCTGAAGCTGATCCGGGATGCAAGGGGCTACAACTATGCGGACATCATCACGTGCTCCGAGGCCGTGTAGGGTTTAGGCAGTTTAGGGCTTACGGCTTAGGGTTTAGGGCGCGGTCATCACAAGCTTCTCCTGCCTCTTGGAAGAGGAGTGCCTTCCTGACTACCACAAGAAAGAAGAGGAAGGAGAAAACGAAGTAGAGAAAAATGCCGGCCCAGAGGAGGATTAAAGCAGCCACCTCCCGCCCCCTTGTACAGTCAGCGGCATTGGGGCTGCCGTCACCACTGGTAGCGTCGGGCAGAAAGAATTAGCAATTCGCCGAGTCGCATGCAGTCGTTCCCATCAGCGTTCTTTTCCCCTGAGTCCAAGACAACAGGAGTGCCTTCCTGACTACCACAACAAGCTCAAAGCCTTCTTCGAGGAGCACATCCACTCTGACGAGGAGTGGGGATGTGTAAGAAGGAACTTAGGAATGTGCGTCTGCCCGGTAGCAGGTGGCAGTTGACAAGTGGGGGCAAGGCCTTTTTTAAGCAGTTCCCACTATGGCAGACCAGCAGAGGCGCCCTCAGAGTCTTGCTGCCTTGGGGCGTAGGAAGTGCGCTACATCCTGAAGGGCAGTGGGTACTTCGATGTCCGTGACGGCCAGGCTGGGCTGTCAAAAAAAGCTGGGAATGGCATGCATGGTTTAGGGTTTGGGGTTTATGTAGGGTTTAGGAGTTTAGGGTTTAGGGTTTATTTAGGGTTTAGGGTTTGGGGTTTAGGGTTTGGGGTTAGATGGCTGTACCTGTACCTGTGATCCCAAGCATTCGGACTCAGCCAGGATCAGTGGATCCGCTTGCAGCTCAACGAGGGGGACTTGATCGTCCTTCCGGAGGGTATCTACCACAGGCCGGACGCTTCCTGATCCCCCCCAACCCTAAACCCTAAACCCTGATCCCCCCCCCCCCCCCGGCTCCCCGGCTCCTGAAAGCTCACGGTTTTGACAACTAGCGGCTTGTGGTTTGTTGTGGAGTTGCTGGGGCGGGGGAGAGAGGGGAGATGTTGACTTGAGTGCCCGCGGAGCTGCTTCATTTCTTCATTTTTGGGGTGCATGCCCTGCCAGGTTTACCATGGACTCCAAGAACTTCACCCAGGCAATGCGCCGTGGCCTCAGCATCTCTTCCTCGCAGGCTTCGCACATCTGAGAACCGGCTCGGCATTCTGAGGCCTTGATTTTAGCCCGAAATAAAACGGAATTACGCAAATTCAAATTGAGAGAGCACCCCCTATTGCCCGGTTGAACTTATCAGAATCTACACATCGAGGCATCAACTGCCCGTAAAAACCCTGGGATAGCAAGAGCCAACCCACCCACCCACCCCTTCCCCAACAAAAATGATCCTACAGACCCAACAATCCACTCAGTCCTAAGTCGTAAAAAAAGCGAGAGATGCCCGAACTCCTCCCTTAAGATGGCAGCTCCCAGGCCTCTTCAAAGGCGCCCCTTGGTCCTGATTTCGGAGACTATAGATTGTCCTTCTGACTAAGCGGGGTTACCCCATGAACTCTGTCAGGGTCTAGGGCCTAGGGTTTAGGGTTTAGGGTGGGTAACGAAACCCTGCAAGGAAACTCATGATGAGAGGGCACCTATCAGGGGACCGTCTGTTGGAAGAGAGGGCTTTTTTGGCAAAGTTGGGTGATCGTCAGAAAGCCCGTGGGGGGGGGGGGGGTGGGGGTGCAGGGAAAAACAGGGGGAACTAGGGAAGGGAACACGGGGGATTTGGTCCTAAATTGTGTGTGCGGTTAGTCAGGCCTTGGGGCGTTCGTGTGCCCCCAGCTGAGGTGCCGGTGTGGACTCCCATCAACCGACCGGCCGACACCCACTTGTCCCGGGAGCGAGCCGTGGCTTCAAACTCCCCATCTTCGGCGTAGGTGCTTTGATGTTGTGCGTGTAGGTTCTTGTGGTGTTTTTGTGTTTTCGGTCAGTCAGCCAGTCAGTCAGTTGGCCAGTCCATCATCCGGTCTTGAACTTAGCCAGACAGTCAGTCAGTCGGTCCGTCTTCTGGCCTTGAACATGCCGCCCCCCCCTCCCAGCCCGCGCCACTAAAGCAAAACTAAGCCCAAAGGAACGGTTGCCCGCAAAGCCAGCCAAGCAATGCCCGATATTTTTGCAAGTGGGGCCGGAGGGGCTAAATCATACGATGCCCGTATTGAAGCAACTCCTGCCCCCCCCCCCCCCGTCCCCTCCAGCCATCGAAACAAAGCCAAGCCAAAGGCACAGCATGTTTGATGTCAGCATCAGGGCTGACATCCAAAGGTCTTTCGGAAGCCGAGCCGACATCAACTCGTTAATGATGGACCCTAAACCCTAAACCCTATATCCTAAACCCTAAGCCCTAAACCCACGACTGGCCTCCCAAGGCTACGTGGCCCGCTTCGGCCAGCTTGCTGAGGAGCAGAAGTTGAGATCGGCGATTGTGTCCCTTGGCAGGAGTTCCATTAAGGAAGCATCCGGTGAGAGCAGCTTCACTTGGGTGGTCGTCAGAATTATGGCCCCTTTTGGGGCCCTAATATAATACGGCACCTAATAATTAGGGTCCAAAAGGGGCCCTAAATGGCACGCGACACACAGGTCGGGCAAGGAATCCCCACCGTAGAAGCAAATCTGGTTACCTTAAACCCTAAACCCTAAACCCTAAACCCTAAACCCTAAACCCTAAACCCTGCGTGGGTTTCTGTTCCGAATCCTGTTCTTGGTTGGCTTGCCGAAGCAGAAGAGCAGCGCGCGTCCTTGGATCTGGCCCTCTGTTAGGGGCACCCGTTTTTTTGACAATGTTCTCAAGTAGCAGTTGCTTCTCAGTCTCAGGGTTGTGTTTGCGAGTAGAACTCTCTGCCGCTCCACGTGAACTGGAGGACTTGCTGTAGGAGTCTTGGCACAAACACGAATGCCATGCCCCCAGCCTGAAGCCCAGAAAGGGGGACAGTTGACATCAGACATGGGCCAGAAACCTAAAAGATCAATGAATCTATCCCCTGATTCATAATCCTGTACCCTGAACCCTAAACTCCTAAACCCCTAAACCCAGATTGCCGAGCTAAGGGCCTGCCTGAAGAGCTTCTTTCAGCAGGGCTGGTGCCTGGGCTCCTCAGGCACGGGCCCGAAACATTCATTGGGTTTCGTAGGGTTCGAAGGTTAGGGTTTAGGGTTTAGGATTTAGGGTTTAGGGTTTAGGGTTTAGGGTTTAGGGTTTAGGGTTCAGGGTTCAGGGTTTATCGTTTAGGGTATGAGCGTTGAGGCAGGATCATGTAGGACACAATACAGGTTTACGGGGTCCAGGGTGCATAGAGTTTAGGATCTTTCGGGTCACTTCGCGCTTCGAAGACTTCTGTCTGCTCCGTCATTCGATCTTTCCATAGAGGGCTCCGAGAAAGCGTTGTCCTCTTGGCGGAACATGGCAGGAATTGCAAGAAACTTTGCCCTACACGCCCTAATCAAGGCCAATACATTTATATAGTATCATGACCCCCAAAACCCTGTTCTAATTATTAAGGCCCCTGTTTTACACGCCCTAGTTGGGCCCCAAACCTCTTTGGAGGCGCCATGGCCGCCCGAGTGGGCAGCGGCGCTCACGCGCCAGTGCTGGCCACGCCAAGCGGAGTTCCCAAAGAGCTTCTGGCAGAGGAGGCCTGAGTTTTTGAGGGTGTTGGCATGTTTTGGCTTTGGGGCTTCAGGCGGCCCAGCGCCACGAGTGCCATGTGATTCCTGTTGCAGTGGTTGATGGAGAACTTCTGTGCTGGACTCAGCAAACACTCGTTGGAGCATGCCCTTGAACCCTCCCCCTCGAAACCCTGTGCCCATCCGCCTCTCGTCTTTTGTAGGATCTCTTCCTGCTCGCCGGCCCTGGCGGCGGCAGCGAGCAACTGAAGGAGCCCACGAAGCCTCTGAAGGCCGATTCAAGACTTGAGGGTCTTTAAAGGGGGTGTTGCTGTTTGTATCTTAAATTATATGTATTTTTATACAAAATAAATAAATTTAAATTAGAGATCTCGGGTTGTGTGCAGGGGGCCGTCTGACAAGTGCCCAGGTCTCGGACAGCGCGCAGGTCTTCTCGGCCATCTTCGAGAAGAGGCTCACGGCCCGAAGATTCAAGCCCCAAATCCCGAGGCTCCCAAGCTCCCAAAACCGGGAGGGAAGAATGGCGTCACTGGCTTCTTTGCACCATTACGTGCCGCCATCCGATGGCTGTACTTTACTTGGGTGGAGGCAGGCGGTCAAACTGATCAAACATCACGTGTTGATGGGCCAAAGACGCTAAAGAAAGGGCGGGGCGGAGGCGCCTCAGAGCAAGAAGCGGGAATGTGGCAAGGCCATCGGGGCCAGCAGGGGTGGGCGGCACGGGTAAACCTAAAGCAGATGCCAAGGCCATGAAGCCCCTATGAAGTCCTACATCAAAACCCTCAGGCCGAAAAAACAAACACCGAACCCCTAAAGACTGTTTGACAACACAGCAACAACGCAAAACAACAAAAACCAACAACTGAAGATATCACCTTCCAAACAGTCAACAAGAAGGAAAGCTCTCAGGGCCCCCGGCCCCCCCGCCTCTCCCCCCAAGAAGCACAAGGAAAACAAACAGACCAGGCAGTTCCTCCGCCTTGAACCTAAGCCCTACACCGCAAACCCTAGAACCCTAGAACCCGAAATTCCTAAAACCCTAAAACCCTAAAACCCTAAAACCCTAAAACCCTAAAACCCTAACCCCCTAAAACCCTAAAGCCCTAAAACCCTAAAACCCTATTCCAACAGCAGCGCTTCCAGGGCCGATGTGGGGGCCGTCTGCCACATCCACTCCGTGGCCTCGGTTCTCGCGGCTGCCGATGCGGGCGAGGACTGGTTTAGGGTTGAGGGTTGAGGGTTTGAGGGTCTTTAGGGTTTGAGGAATTGAGGGTTTGTGGGTTTGAGGGTTCCAGGGTTTTAAGGGTGTAGGGAGTTGGAGGGCTTGAGATTGTTTAGAGTCGGTGGTGATTGTACTGCAGTTGTTGCTGTTCTTCTATAGTAGATTCCTTGCATGCAGTTGTATCCCGTTTGTGATTTGATGTCTTAAAGGCGTCTTCAAGTTCTACTTGGGGAGCCCTTTTCATCACTAGCGTCCCATCGATCTGATACTTCCGCCGCAGCGAGTCTTGGATCTTGTGTTGCATTGTACAGTGACTGTGGTTTTCGCGAAACGTTACGTTGTTGGCGCGCATTTCCGCCCGTAGACCAGGTGTTTAATAAGCAGACTTCGAGTTTGTCGTCAAGAGATCAATTCATGGCTAGGTCGGCCCTTGAGATATTTTCCCCTTATTGGGTTTAAGAGGGTTGAGGGTTTAGGGTTAGGGTACATTCCCCCTTCTTGCGTTTAAGAGGATCGCAACCAGGAATATTCTTCAAAAGGTTTCAGGGTCATCCGAGATGGGAACCTTGACAGGTCCTGGAGGTGAGAGACCTGGAGATGATCAAAGGCGCCCACCTTTGGGGTGTTGGGGTGTTAGGGCCCTGGCCCTGGCCTAACCCCTAAACCCCTTAGGGGTTTTGGGGTTTTGTGGGGGTTTTAGGGTGTTGGGGTGTGGACATCAAGGGTTGGGGGTTCTTCTACATCTTCTGAATCTTCTGCCATACAGAGTTCGCCAGTCGGGGGCTATCTCGGGGTTTGAGCTATGGCTTCCCCAGCCCTAGACCGAAACCCTACTGTAACCCCTCAACCCTTGTCAAAACCCTGAACCCTAAACTTGTTTGGGATTCGGAGTTCATGGGTCAATTCGGGCTTTCAGGAGTCCCTCAACCTGCAGTAGCCTCCGCGACAGGCCTGGGCGTCCCAGGTGATGGGGTCCTTCAGGTGCCAGTCATCGACAACAAGGACGGGCAGTGGCTCAGAGAAGGGTTTGGGGTTTAGGGCCAAGGGCTCAGGGCTTTGGGCTTTGGGCTTCGGGCTGGAGGTTGGTTTCCCGGTCGCTGTCTCCGTCTCTGTCTCTGTCTTTGTCTCTCTCTCTCTCTCTCTCTGTCTCTCTCTCTCTCTCTCTGTGTCTGTGTGTGTGTGTGTGTGTGTGTGTGTCTGTCTGTCTGTCTGGGTGGGTGGGTGGGTGGGTGGGTGGATGGGAGCTTTTCAAGAGTTGTCCTGCAAGTTTGTTAAAGTCGCATGAGACACTTGTTGTTTTGAAACGGCTTGGGGGGCATTTCGGGTTTCAGTGTAGGCGCGTGAGCCGGAGCTCGTGCCCGACCTCCTCCGTGCCCTGGATCGTGTGCCCAACGCCCCGGCGGTGCTGGTAAGGGTGGCTTGGCCTTGGAGCTCCGCGACCGCTGTGGGGTTAGGAGTTTGGCATGGTAATGGTTGCAAGGTTGACACAGTTCATGGCATTGATGCCTGGCCGGGTCTTAGACTTTGCGGTGCTTGTTTTCAGGGGCACTTGCATGGGAAGCGAAGTCCTTGCATGATTGTGCAGATGACTCCACTCGACCCACCTGCACCCTACATCCTGGGCCTAGACGGCGCTGTTAAACACCCTGAGATGGATGGTTGCGTGACCTTTGGCTCAGGATCACGGCGCCTACATCTTCGGCAGCACCGCGGAGCCGTCTGGCGCATGGGGGTTTCGGGTTTCAGAATAGACCAGGGAGTCGCTCCACCTTCCAGGTCTATGCCCTACTTACATCAGTTCAAGCACACACTTGCAGCAGAAGCCCCCCCCCCATGAGAGCACACAGACCTCAACTTCGATCCTCGCAGATCACCTCAGGAAAGCAAAGATTGCAACCGAGTGCTTCGGCTTCATCCTGGATGTCCTGGAAAAGAGGCAGGGGGGAGGGGTGTGCAGTATGTGAGGGGTCACTAAAGTGGCACGTTTGCGTATTGATTCCCTCGCATCGGGCTTCCTTTGCGTAAATAGGACGGAATAATCGCCACGAGTCTCTCTCCACCCATCTGCGACTTCCGAGACTTTGGACATGTTCGGCGCATTCACTGTTTGTGGCGTTGGAAGAGATGTGATATCGGGCATGTTGAGCAACATATTCCACTTCCGCACCAACCCCCGTGACACGTGTGGGAGTCTCAAAGGGTCTTCAAAACCTCACTCCCTGAACTCCGGCAACCTTGTCAACTAGCAAACGAAGACGAGACGACCTGAAGAAGACGCACAGGACGAAATCTACAAGTAAGGGCGGCTACAGTGAGCAGTGAAAGCAGACAGCCCTGCCGGAAAGGCATTTCGACACAGGAGAAAAGGGGCGCTCAAAATCCTCAGCCCACGATGTCGAGAATTTCACGGGTGGCGCCTCCTAAACCCCCAGAGTCACGAGAGGATCAAAGCCCCTACGAGATAAACCCGGAGAATTCCCAGGCCTGAACCATCCGAAAAGCCTTACAAGCCCTTAAGCCTTGAACCCTAAACCATGCCTAACAGCCCTAGAGAGCCGGAACAGCCCCTCCTAGGGCCTCGGGGCGCACCTCTTCTGAGGCCAGGTTGTCAGATGGCTTCGAGTTCAGGGCATCCTCGGGGCTTCTCTGAAGCATGAAGGGCACTTTGGGAGTCTCTGAGGGTGTTGGGTTTGCATGTACGCCGTGGTTGTTGTGTTTCTTTTTCATCTCAGCCCTGAAAGCCTAAGCAAGCACCCGCCCTCGTGCTGAGGCCCTTCTGGTGGTCGGTCGTAGCTCTGTTCTTTCCTTGGCTCTCGGGAGGTCATTGGTGACATGGGGAGGGGGGGAAGGGGGCTGTTCTAAATTTCTTTTCCGTTGACGGGGGGGGGGGGGGGGTCATTCAGACACATGCCATGTCCTTCCGAGAGCTGCAGTTCGGCTCGTGCTTGATGCTACCTGCTGGTATTTGGGAGACACACACAAGCAGCAGCGTTCGGATCACATATGCCGGTCATTGCGCCGGGTGGTTAGCATGTGCAAGGAGTGCTGGCAAACTCATGAGTCGACCGTTCCAAGGCCATCCAGGCTTGTGCCAACCCTAAACCCTAAACCCCAAACCCCAAACCCTAAACCCTAAACCCTAAATCCTAAACCCTAAACCTAAACCCCAAGCCCTAAACCCTAAACCCGCTGAGGCACCCTTAAGCGTCCTGCGTGCCTCGGAAGGCGCCGCTCAAGCGCCAGCGAAGAGGGCCCTCGGTGGTGCTGCTGGATGTGGAGGGAACCACCACGCCAATTACCTTCGTCAAGGAGCTTTTCAGGTATTTGGAAACATGGTTAATCCCGAAGGACTAGCCAAAATTAGAATCAGATTCCCTAAGGAAGAGCTGAGGGTAATTTCTGTGCAAGGGCAGCAAGTTCAGAAGAGAGGGTTTGGGATCAAGAGTTGAGGACCCAGAGGGTCAGGGCCCTTAGAGTCTTCGAGTCGCAGTGGAGGCGGACGTAGTGTTGATTAAGCTTCTGATGGGATTGTTTGGGTCACAACTCCAAAGGCCTGAATTCTGAGCCCTATACCCTTCCCGATTTGTCTTGAACTCTGGGGCTGATGCGGGTGGCCGGCTCCCATCCTGAACAAGGAAGAGCTACGGCTGCCCCCATCATTTAAGCGGAGGGCACTGCCCCCCCTCCCCCCCCCTTCCTTCCCCCCCTTCCTTCCCCCCCTTTCCTTCCCCCCCTTCCTTCCCCCCCTTCCCTCCCCCCTTCTCTCGCCCACAGCGGCAGGACAAGCTCTTTCCTTTCGCCGCCGCCTCGGTGGACAACTGGGTACCGGCAGCCGGACCTGAGCTTTCCGAGGCGAACAAGGAGGTTAGGGTTTAGGGGCTTACGGTTTAGGTGTTTACGGTTTAGGGGTTTACGGTTTGGGGGTTTGGGGTTTAGGGCTTTTAAGGGCTTTAGGGCTTGAGAGGCTTTAGGGCCCTGGGTTTTTGTTGCAGGGTTTAGAGGGGTTTGGAGCTTCATGCTTTGGTGGGGGGATGTTCCCCCGATACTTACAGTCCTTACTAGGGAAGTTAGTACCCCCCCCCCCCCCCGATGTTATACTCTCTATTAGGGACGCCTAGTATAAGGGGGACTTAAACCCCTTGACACCTAAACCCTAACCCTAAACCCTAAACCAATATGGAGGTGTGTGCCCAGTTCGAGGCGCAGTGCATTGAGGCGCCGGCGGTTGTGGGTGCGGGCTTCGGGGTGTGGGGTTTGGGGCTGCTTTTGTTGGGTGAGGGGGGGGGGGGGGGGGCTGGGAAGGGTTGGGGGTGGGGGGGGGTTATGTGCTTCGCGGTTTCGGGTGTTTTTGGTTTAGGGTTTCTTGCAGGGCGTAATGAGTGCTGAGAGGGCAGCGTGTTAAAGGCAATCATCGAAATCATACTCTACTTTGGAACCCTTGACGCTTCAACACAATCGTTCTACCATTAAGCTCCTATACCTAACCCGTAAACCCCCACAACTGGGATCCTCCGGCTCGCCAGGATGGTGCCGCCTTCGATGCAACGGCTCCCATCAAGGAGGTCAGGCGGCTCACGAAGGAGCCGCTTCGATTTCTTGGAACCTCTTTTTCGGGTATGGGGTGGGGGGGGGGAAGGTTTAGGGTTGACCATACAACTTTCAGGTGGTTTTTGGCGTGAGACCCTTGGAGACAAGCCTGTAGACTCGAAATCCAAACTCCCGATGTTTTTGCTTAGAAGCCTTCATGTCTTCGAACAGAGAGGGTGGAGTTGATTCTCGGCAAGCCCTCTACACCCTTCAGTGTCGCATCGATATGCGGGCAAAGTCGGCAGGAATGGATCGCGAAGGACCGAAAAGTGAGTGCCTTGAAGGACCCGGCTGCATGTCATTGTTCACCCACTCGCCCAGTGTAGCGGTGTAGCGTGTACAGTCCTGATGCTACAGGTATTTACTCATTTAATTTAGCAGTCGAAGAAGCGTCGGAGCCCGACAAGAGTGCGACCAACACGTTGAGCTCGTTTCAGTAAGTGGTCTTTGCTCTAACCGGTGAACGTGGTGGCACATGCCCGCTCAAGGTTGACAGGATTCTCCACGAGCTCAGCTGTTGACGCAAGTTGTAGATAAGTTTTCGCTCTAGCTCCCTCCTGCCCTACCTTTCCCTCGCTCTCGCTCTCGCTCTCGCTCTCGCTCTCGCTCTCTCTCTTCTCTCTCTGTCTCTCTCTCGCTCTCTCTCTCTCTCTCTTGCCCGCTTTCACACTCATGCTCTCACGCCCTTACTCGGTGTAGGACATGGGCCCAGAAACCATCCGCTGATCGATCTCGTATACACGAGCCCTCTCAGGACTTACAGGGCCGTCTCTGGCGCTCGGGCTACGAACGTGGAGAGCTGAAAGGCCAGATGTTCGAGGCGGGACTATGACTCTGTTACTTGTAAGGCTTCAGGAGCTTTCAAGGGTGCAGCTCCTGCAAGTGGGGAATCATGCTGGTGGGGATGTCTTGTCTGAAGCAAGGCGTTCCAGCAATCAGCCCCGCAATCAAACTCCATTGTCTTGCGCGTTGAGACTTGCGCATTCCAACGTGTGCCGTTGCGTGGTTCACTACTTCATCAAAATCCTAAAATCCGGAAGGACACGCCGAAAGCCATGTCTGCCTGGACCGCAGCGGGGCAGCGTGTCGCGATCTTCTCCTCGGGTAGCCGGGAGGCTCAAGTTGACACTGAGGGGCGCAAGATACGGCGCATGATAGCTATGCCACGAGAAGCATTTGACTGGAATTCAGGTTGCCAGAGCGAGAGCGGACATTCCGGCTGCCGGGAGGAGGAAGAGAAAAGGAGCAAGAGAGAGAGAGAGAGAGAGAGAGAGACAGAGAGCGGGCAGGCCTTCGACCCTGTTGAAAGACAGAAACAGACAGAAAGAGATGGACAGGGAGAGCGAGGAAGAGAGTGCTTGACGGAGAGGAGAAGAAGAGAGAGCGGCAATCCCTGGCAGGGAGAGCCAATATCAAATGTGTGATAAGAAAAACGCAATGTGGAGGGGGGGGGGGGGGCGGGAACTCAGATTTTGAGAGTTGCAATGAGCATGTACGTTCCTAAAAACCTGGAGGGCGGGAAAGCAAGTACCAGTGAGGCGTGACTTGGGTGCATCCTTTCAAAGAGCTTCAGAACAGTCTTCATATTCACGTTGAGACGCAGGTTGTGTGAAAGACCGGAAACCTTGTGGATGTCCATGTTAATGCTGCTGGTTTTGTGTGGGGGAAGCATTGAACGATTCGTCTCAGTGCTCAGTTCGGGTTTGCGGCTGTTTTGGTTCCGTACAACCTGCATGGAAGGCACAGAGGCTGATCTTCCAGTACTCGGACAAGGGGGATCTTACTCCTCACATCGCGGCCTACTTTGATCCGAAAGCTGCGCAGGCCGAATTGGTGGCACGCTCCCGGAACCCCATCCCCTGTACACCTGTAGGCCCATCAACTCAGAACTTACACGGTTCGAATCCATCAGGGTCTGCAGTGAACATGTTGAGAGTCTTGAAACCCGAATCAAGATACCCCACAGGCCAGAGGCCTAAACCGCCCCAAGCCCACTCAAGCCCCTCAGCAGAAGTGCTACTGTCAAGCCCGTGGGAGGCGTCAAAACAGGAGGCCAAGGCTTACACGGAGATTGCCCTGTCGCTGGGCATTGACAGCAGCCAAGGCGCCAGTCGAGGTAGAAGTCCTGAGTAGGAAACCCCAAACCCCAAACCCTCAACCCTAAACCCTAAACCCCCAAAGCCATCCGATGCCAGGCCTCTTCTGCACCGACGTCCTCGGTGAAGCTAAAGCCGCCAGCGAGGCGCCCTCTCGGAACCAGGGTTTAGGGTTTAGGGTTTAGGGTTTAGGGTTTAGGGTTTTGGGGAGGGCTGGGCAGACGTCCCCCCACAGCAGTTTCCGAAGTCCCAAGACTCATGAGAAAGCTGGTCAGGTTCCTCCCTTTCAGCCCCATTCTGCTGAGTCCCACGTCCTACTGCTGAGTCCCAACCTCTACTACTTGTACCCCAAATCTCGCACAGTAGATCAAAGATCCTTTGTAAACCCTCCCTTACAGCCCGAAAGCCTGTCTTTTCAAGAGCCAGGCGGGCTGGCAGACGGTGCTTTTGGTTCGCCCCGGCAATGCCCCGCTGCCAGCAGGGCATGGATTCCGGGAAGCGAGGCATCGTTGAGCCCTAAACCCTAAACCCTAAACCCTAGACCCTAGACCCTAAACCCTAAACCCCAAACCCCAAACCCTAAACCCTAAACCGCAATTCTTCTGCACGACGAGTAGAGCGCCAGAGCATCGACATAGTACGATCGACATGGCCCATCATGGTCGTGTATTGCAGGCTTTTGCTGCGGGAAGCGAAGTTTATGCAAGGCTTGAAACGTCACAAATGTCTGCGGTAACCCACGTGAAGAGGCTTGCGAAAGGTTGCAATGTATAACATGGACCTCGGTTTTCGAGAGCGGCCGTGCTCGCAATTGTCTTAGTCGTGGTTGCCCGGTTGTCCGCACTGTTTTCAGTTTTCAGCATTCATCGTTACTTTTGAGATCAGCTTCGTAACTGTTGTTACGTTCTTTGCATAATTCTATATGCGTTGCTTTCGTTCTTTTCCTTATTGTCGCTATATCACCATTATCATTACTATCATAAATTCATCTCATATCTGCCATATGCCCATCATTGCTACCAGCTTCTATGATTGTCATCTGTGCTCTTGTTGTTATCATGTTCGCTACTATTGATATCGTTGTTGCCATTGTTACCGCTGATATCATTGTTACCATTGTGACCATTGTTATCGTTGTTATCATTGTTATCAGTGTTGTCATTGTTACCATGTTATTTCTCTCAACGTTGTCCTTGTTACTCGTATTTGTATTGCGGTTCTCATCATGGTTATCATTTGTACGTTCTTCTCAACATGACCCCCATGAGTCCTCTCCGCTTGCCAGGAGCCTGCTGGACGTCTGCTGAGACATGGCCGGACTCGCCATGTGACCATAGTACAGTAGGGTGCTGAGGTGCCTGGGACATTTATAGCACACTCAGCTCTTTGAGTGAAGCTTCCCAACTTGGGCCAGGAGGTCCTTGGAGGGGACGACGAGGTACATTTTGTTACTTACATTCCTGGGCACGTCATGCGATGTTGTAGGCTTGCAGTAGGGGGCGCGACCGAGCGAGCAAGCTCAATCAGCCTCGCCAGAGAGCACCTGAAGAATGCGCCTGGCCAAAATGCTTGGCGACAATCTGCTGCCCAACCTTTTCCGCACCTCGCAATTGATACCTGTATCGGTGTGCTTGAGTGTGCGGGCTTGCAGATCGTTTTTAGAAGGTCTTCCCACCGACACAAGTGGCCAGCACGGCGCAGCACTTAAGTCCAGTGCTAGTTCTGCCCACACAAATCTTCCATGTCTCTTTTTGAGCGAAGCAGATGACGTTCCCAAGCAGACCTTCGAAACCCCTTAAGCCCCTTAAATCAAATCCATTGCCAAGGCACAAGAGTTGCCGATCACAGCTGCCCTGGACCTACCCCAGGACCCGTTTCTTCATGAATGCCGCAGGGCCGGCGTTGCAAGTTTAGGATGCATGAGGCTGTTTAGGGCTTAATGACGACCTAGTATGTAAGCTTACGGTTTTCATGATGAACAGATTGAGAAAAGCGCAATGTTCGGTGGTCAATGTGTTCAGGACCTGACGCCAACGCCCGGGGACGTACTCATCGTTCCCTGGTGGTGATACCTTGCAAACCCTAAACCCTGTAAGCCCTAAAGCCTATAAACCCTGAACCCTCAGCGTTCCCTGATGGCGATACCCTGAAACATGCCAGCCCCCTAGTTGGCTGGCTCCCACCTTCACACAGCAGAGCCACCCAAAATAGGCATTTCCCAAGATCGAGGGCACACTTACAGTCGGAATCCCGCAAAATGAAGTATGACAACCCAGAGTTCGGGACGCGTTTCGCCGCCATGCCATGAATGGACCCCAGTGAACACCCTAAACCCTAAACCATAAACCCTAAACCAAAGACCGGTCCTCTCGATTTGTCTGGGTCGAGGTTGCAGCGCCCGTGAGTTTCGACTTCGCCGTGCCAGTTCCTGCCAGGGCCCCGAATAGCGGCTCTTCGTGCAATTTGTGTTAATTTGTGCTATTGTGGTAATTTGTGGAAATGGCTGTTGGCGGGAATTCTTGTTGTAAATAGGGGCTATTGTGGTAATTTGTGGTGATTAGAGGCTGTTGTGGTCGTTCATTGTGGTAATTAGGGGCCATTGTGGTAGTTTATTGTCATTGTGGAAATTGATCGTAATTAGGATGTTGCTTCCCAGACTTTTCGATCCAATCCCCACCACAACGGAGTCGCGGCCGCACGGCAGCCGAAAACGCAGAATGACATGGACTTCTTGGCACTGATATTGTCCACCTTTATCCAGGATGCCTTGGGAACATCCTTCCCCCTTTTATATACTAACAGTCCTTAATAGGGATTATAGCAGGTTCTACAATCCTAATTAAGGACTGTTAGCATAAGAGCGAACATCGCAAAGACCCCGAAAAGGGACCATCATGAGAAGAGAAACTGACACGAGCTCATCTAGCCTTTTTTTGGGAGAATGGTCTGTAAATATTTCGACCCCCAAGCGCTCTCCTAAATCAATAGTAACGGCCCAAGCGCACATGCGGTTATTCTGAATCTGGAGCTCCTTTTGGTGGCATGTTTCTTAATGAAAGCCCACCAGGCAACCTAACCTTGCTTGCCCTAACTCAGCCCGAAGCCTTACACCCCAAATCTTGGCATGTTCACCCTTGCACTAACAATCCTTGAGAGGGAGTTATAGTTCGGGGTACGAGAATCCCGATCAAGGGCTGTTGGTATAGAGGGCGAACATCCCAACCTGCAACCCTAAACCCTAAACCCTGAGCTTTGTCCCCAAACCAGAAACCCTAGACCCTAGACCCTAAACCGTAAACCCTAAACCCTAAACCCTAAACCCCCCTTAACCCTAAACCCTAAACCCTAGACACCCCTTAACCCTTAACCCTAAACCCTAAACACCCCTAAACCCTAAACCCTAAACCCTAAACCCTAAACCCTAAGTCTTTCAAGTCAGGATGCCTCCTTGGAAGCCGACCTCCGGAACTGCCGCGACTTCCGGGACCTGGCCCTCGACCTGCCGGCCGGAGAATGTGCAAGCGTTCTCTGGATTATTATTCTTCTTGTGTTTATGAACATTTTTAATATCATTCTTATTATTATTCTTACTATTATTCTTATATTATTATTCTTATGATTTTTGTTATTATTCTTCTTCTTATTGTTATTATTATTGGTATTATTGTTATTATGGTTTTGTTTTTTTTTTTTTTTATATTGGTATTGCAGCACCTAAACCTTCTTGGAGGTGAAGGGTGCTTATAACCCCAATTATAGCTGTTTAGGGGTTTGGGGTTTAGGGTTTAGGGTTTAGGGTTTAGGGTTTAGGCATAAGCTCCTCACCGTAGTTCCTGCCAAGCTGAACATATAAATTGTTTAGATCGCTTTATTGGCATAAAGAAATGAAGGTTTAGCATGTTTGTCAGAGAACGAAGCGTATGATTGGTTGGAGGCCATTTGCTTTGATCTGCCGAATAATGCAAAATGCGTGGTACTTCCCCCTATCAATGGCTGTGGTACGCATACCCCCGCTCCTTCTGAATTCGCCTAACTAAGCCTTGTAGTTGAACCCCCACCCCTCCCCGCATGACCCTTTCCCTAAACCCTAAACTCCTTAAACCCTATACCTGAAACCCTAAAGTCCCAAGCCTGAATCCCTTAAACCCAAAGCTCCTAAGCCCTTAACCCCCAAACCCTAAACCGTTAAACCCAACACCCCTCAGCCCTAACCCCCAAACCCCAAACCCCAAACCCTAAACCCTAAACCCTAAACCCTAAACCCTAAACCCTTAAACCCAAGACTCCTAAGCCCTAAAGCCCCCCCCAAGCTGAGCCTCGGCCCCGCAGTCTCTACAGCTGGGACCGCTCCCCCGGCCACGGTGCGCAGGCCCCGAGTTGAAGGAAGTTGCATGTGGGCTTTAGGGTTTTTAGGGTTTTAGGGGTTTAGGGGTTTAGGGGTTTTAGGGTTTTAGGGGTTTTGGGTTTTAGGGTTTTCAGGGGTTTTAGGGTTTTTAGGGGTTTTAGGGTTTTCAGGGGTTTTGGGGTTTTTAGGGGGTTTTAGGGTTTTTAGGGGTTTTTAGGGGTTTTAGGGTTTTTAGGGGTTTAGGGTTTTAGGGTTTTAGGGTTTTAGGGTTTAGGGGTAGGGGTTTGGACTTTTGGGATGTCCAGGACTTGTAGGGGACAGGGGGGCTGACAGGGTCTAGGGTTCGCCTTGTCAAGAATCCAAAGTTAGAGGGTTTGTTCAAAAGGTTGCGGAAGGTTTCAATGCTTTGTTGCAAGGCTTCTTCTCACGGATTTCGCAAAAGTTTTAGAGTTTAGGCAGGGAAGGTGCGCATGGCCCAGGGCTGAACTGCGCGGCTTAGGTCTAGTGTTTGGCGCTTAGGGCTGATCGAATTTGAGGGTCAGGTCTTTGAGGTGTAGTGAGTTTAAGGGCTGATTTCAGTCCGACTGGCCCGACAAGCTTCTGTGTACCAGGCAGCACCATTCAGTTCACCTTCCTCTCGTTCGGCACCCGGCTGTTGGGAGAGAGGGACAGCCAGCTCTCACTCGGGTTTGGGAATTTGCAAGTAGGGTTTTGGAAGCATGTATCATTGCACCAGCAAGGCATTGGCTCAGCCTTGCTGACTATCTGTAATGCTTTGCTTGCACTCAGCACCGCAGAAATCACGAAATGTCGCGGCAAGAATGACCGTTCACGGGCTATGGCAACCATAGACTACATGAAAAACAGCCATCCAAGCCCATGTTTCATCAATGGGAGCTGGTCACGCTCCAGCTGGGGTGCCAGAAGCGCCTATTCAAGTAAGTCAAGGATGTATGAGAATGAGAATTGGAAGCAGCTTTCGAGGGACGTGACCAACTGATCACAGCAGGCCTGGTGCTACTGGTGGTAGCTTCCGCTTTCGGGCTGTCTCGGCCTGGCCGACTCAGACGGCCGTGGCAGGTGCGAGTGAGGGGGGGGGGGGGGGGGGGTTAGGGCTAGGGTTTAGGGCTAGGGTTTAGGGCTTACGGTTTTAGGGCTTTAGTGATCTACAGAGGCATAGTTGCAAGCGGGATGCAGTTTCTCACGACCTGTAGATGCACCGTCACCCACACGTGGACAGGCCAGGATGCCTTCGTGGCTTCAGTGCGAACAACGGACTGAGGGGTGCAGACAATGTGCAGAAGCTGCTGCGACAATCACCACGGAAGTTTGGTATCCTTCCTCTGCAAGAGTTTCGGTCGGAAGCAGCCTGAGCTTGGTTCAAATGTCTTGACGAGGGTTCAGGGTGTAGGATTTAGGACGTTTAGGAATCAGCCACACCATGTCTGCTTGTGCATGCCTGGACCACTCCTGTCTGGGACCATGGGTAGTTTTTGCAGCATCTCGACCCTCGTGCTACCCAAACTAATCTTAGAACAGCACGTGGCAGCGAGGACGCATCCACTGGCCTGACCCGCACGGTGTCAGGCAGGTCACACGTCTGACATAGGCTCACATCATGCCTTCTCTAATTTTAGGGTCCTTTTTGCTGTACTACCAGCAGTAATAAGCGACCGCATTGTTGCCGGGATGGAATGGGGCTTCAAGCGGTGGCCTCCCGAACTCTCGAACCCCCAAACACTACTCTAGTCCCTTGTGCTCGGGTCACCTCGACGCCTGCTTCTCTTGGTCCTCAGGGCTCCACCCTGAATCAACCTCAACGACTCCTTAAGCCTCAAGCCCCCAAATTCTGCAGCCAACATGCCCTGAGCCAGGGTTGATCTGCTTCAGCCGGACGCCCTAGGAGCGAACAGCACCAAAAAAAAAACAAAAAAACAACCTGGCCCACCCGAAACGGGCTGAGCAGAGGAGTGGTGAAAGGTACAAGGTACGGCGCGGGGGGCTTGAACTGCAGGCACTTAGGGCATGGACCCTAAACTACTTAGGGATACTTGGAAATACTTTTTAATTTTTGGGCACTATAATTCCTAAGAAACAGCAAGAAAATTGATTTTTGCTAGGGTTCAAGTTCAGTATAGTAAACCCTTAAAGCCTAAGCCTTGGGGGTGGCTTGCTGCTGCGCTTGGAGCGCAGGGCGTGCACCGCTTGAGGCAGCTGTGGCTCCGAGGCGGTTCGCGGCGGTAGGGTATGGTAGGGTCTGAGGTTCGAGGTTGAAGGTGTAGGGTTTCGGGTTTAGGGTTAACGATTGCGGGTTTTGAGGTCATAGCTAGTTCCGGGTAGAAATATGGTAGACACAAGTCGGGCCAGAAGTACGCCAAATAAGGTGACAACTGCAGTGAACTCAGTTTTATGGCCCTGCTGATAAGTACCCATGAACCCCCAAGCAGGTGTTAGGGCTTTTTTCTTGCTTTGCGACGAGGGGCTCGTTGTGAGAGCGCAGCGTTGACGGTCGAAAGGAGCGGCCCCAGTCCGAGAAAGGAATGAAGGAGTTGGGCAGCGCCCCCCACTTCCTTCTCCCCAGCTCCTATCATAGCACCTCCTGCGACAGGCTGTAGCTGTAGATTGTGTTGAGCAACGTCCCGCCGAAGCTGAACATTTCGAGCCCTAGCTCCCGGCCCATTACTTGAAACCCCTGAACCCCACATCAACTGCTTACAAAATCCCTGAAGCGCTTTGTGGCACAGGTTCGGGGACTTTTCCTTGCAGCGTACTTCTGGAATCCGGGCAGATGCAGTGTTCTCACCTTGGCCTTCGTGCATCCACCCATGACTTGATCAGACAGCAAGGAAGGGTGTGCACTCCTTTCATTTCCAGGCTGCACATATTGAATGTATGTAGAGAGACCCCGAGCTGACAACAGGACTTGCAAAGTAGCTGCCCCCTTCTGCTCCCAGAGGTCCAGCGTGGGAGACATCCAGATCACCTTCCGCCCACGTCAGAGCGCGCAGGCAGTCAATAGAATTCGGTTTAGGGTTTAGGGTTCAGGGTTTTAGGGTTTAGGGTTAGGAGGGGGGCATTTCGCAGGGATCCTTCTACTGCTTGATGGATGTGCGCCCTTTCATCTAGGTCTGCGAGGTCTTCGGGGCCGACGGAATATCCTCGGAAGCCCCACTGGAAGCCCCTAAGCGCGATGATTTGTCCTCAGTCGCATCCCAAGGCTCTGTCGCTCACCTCACGGTCTTGGCACCCAGGCTTCGTTCAAAGCACTCTTAGGTGAAAGAAAAGCATGCCGGGTAGAATTGAAGGGACACTGACGGTGCTCGACTGAAAGACACGCTGGTCATTCTGATTGGGTATGCTTACCTTTCTTAGGTATAGGGAAGCAGCACTTCATGCCAAGGCTGCAGGAATCTTCCCGGTTGGGGATTGTCCTCTCCAACGCTGACTTGGAGGCCTCCATCGCTCATTCCGCCGTGGCGCTTTGCTCTGACAGGGAACAGGGGGGAGCCGTGAAAAAGGGGGGGGGGGTGACACCCCATTCCCTGCTAAGAGTTTATGAGACTGTGCGGTTACTTTCTTGGGGAAGTTATCATCACAAGACTGCCAAGATGCAACCCTTTCGGGTTCAGGGTTTACCATCAATGCCTCATCCTCACAGGTCACGGATGGGCCGCAGCTGGTGAAAGAGGCCACAAGAACCTGCCAAGTTGGTTTTCGGAGTCAGGGTTTGAGGTGTAAAAAGGGTTTAGGCGTTGAAAGGGTTTAGGGTTTGCAAGGGTTTATGATTTTAAAAGGTTAAGGCTAACGGTTTACGCTGTAAGGCAGACAAAGAAAGACGCTCATCGGCACAGAAGAAAGTCCATGAAGGCCGAGGCGATCCTTGCTACTGTAGCTGTTAGCAAGGCAAGAGCTAAAACTTGCACTCCCTCAAGCGAGAAAGGACCTGTAGCTCTGGTGAACCCTCAACACCTGTATAAACCCCAAGCCATGTGCTGCCAACCTCGCGCCAAAGGCCCTGAGACTTAAGACCGAAACACCCGAAAGACCACTAAAGAGGTTCTTGTGCTGCGGCCTGCGGCTTCG